CCACATACTTCTCATATTTCCACTGAACATGTCACTTAACATACAGCTCACATCGTGTGATAATAAAGATTTGGATCGTCACAGTTATATACGGATTACTTGTTACCACATACTTCTCATATTTCCACTGAACATGTCACTTAACATACAGCACACATCGTGTGATAATAAAGATTTGGATCGTCACAGTTATATACGGATTACTTCTAAACACATACTTCTCATATTTCCACTGAACATGTCACTTAACATACAGCACACATCGTGTGATAATAAAGATTTGGATCGTCACAGTTATATACGGATTACTTCTAAACACATACTTCTCATATTTCCATTGAACATTCATATACCGGAAACACATATCATGAGGTGTGGGGTAGTCGTGTGATTATAAGGAGCTCTTCACAGTCATACGCATCGTCCTATACCCGGTGTGGGATGTGCACAAGTACTGTAGTCAAACCCTAAGTGACGGCCTACATATTTTGAATATCCAACAAACTGATTGCATGACCTGGTTGTCTTTGCACACACACCGAAATAACCCGGATGAGATCATACAGCAAGGAAACACAGCGGAAATGCGTCGATCGTGGTCAACGCGAAACTCAAACAAATTGTTCCAACCTGGAAATACACTGAATGGCGGAAAGGAAAAAGAACCCATGTAAATTTGACTTACTATTTTTAGAACTTATGAGTCTTAAATGAAATATACAAATGTCCATTTTTAGGTCATGGCGATGTGAGACACATCTGAATTCATTATGCATTGATATGCGTCATTATGCGTGACTACCCAGTCTGTACATAGTTGATATGCTGCACATACCGAGTCGTGACTGAGGGACAAAAGAAACTATAGACGGAGTTGTTGTTTCTATGTAATCGAAATTTCACTGTTGTGAAATTTGATTATGGCTATATATTTGTAACAAAATGGCTCCTACCATGTTGTAAATTTGTGCCGAAAAAAATGTAAATTTGATGTCGAGATGTTTAAGATAGCCATCAGCAGTTTTGTTTTATGTGAACATTCTTTTTGAATCTTTAAACGTTGCAAATCAATATATATTTCCGCCAGTACAGTTCATTTTGTTATGTAATATCGCCAAGTTAGGATATTTTCAATTGAAAACCAAACATACACTCTGCAAAAAAGGAACCGCAAAAGTGATTTTAGATGTATGCTCAAAATTTGCACCCTTCATCGTTATTGATCCAGGCACCATATGTCACACATGGAACAGCAGGTTTTCAAGATGAATGTCATCTGTTCTTAATATCTTGTATGGCCACCATAAGAGTCCAAAGCTGACTGGCATCGTCGTCTCATGGAAGCAATCAGATCTCGAATTGTGGCCTGGATAATGTTCACCCACTCTGCCTGCAGTGCTTGTGCCAACTGTCGGAGGTTCTGTGACGGGTGCTGACGTGCTCGCCTTCGTTGGTCCAGTGCATCCAAGAATTGTTCAGTTGGGTTTAAATCTGGAGACCTGGAGGACCATGGCAGGACCCGTATATATTTTTGTTAATTTTTTGTTTCATTTTAGTTAGGCGGTCACCATTTCGTGAGTAAGAAATTGTACCCAATGAAATATCATTACATGCGTCAGACGACCCTGCTCAGAAGTTGTTTGATTAGGGTTACAACATTCGGGGCAACGGGTGGGACAGGATTCGTGAACACCTGGTGTCATCACTATTTGATGGTTGAAAACACGAGCATCAGTCTTAGCAAAATTTTCGAAGCTGTCATCAGAAGAATTGCATTTGAAACACGCTATGAGCAAGATTTTACCATGATGGTATCAACCTCGAACGTCAATGTCTACAAATCCGATCATAACATACAGTGATGGTTGCGTATATCTCTATAAAGGGTATGTTTCAAAGGTGTAGCTTCATATGAAATAAGCGCCCAGAGTTCATATTGAGAATCACACGCAACTCCAGGCAGTCATTGCATACATTTCCTACAGTACTTGTGTTTGTTTCACAGGTGTAAACTCAGGCTTTTGGTCCCAAATATGTACAAATATTTTTGTTAATTTCAAATAGACCTCCTGTGCAAAAAAACTGTTGAGAAATTTTGAATACCAGATTTGTTTATATGTAGCTGCTGCTGCTGAACGGATTACGTACCTCAGTGAACTAACCTGGGATAATCACGTGGCTGGACTAACGGCAGGTGTAAATGCTACTGAGTTCAGGACACTGGGATCTGGACGTAACGTTTGTATGACATCTACAGTGTGGCCCCTTGTCTCAACTGTCTCTTGTCATAGATGACACCAGTCTATGCGGTGAGTGAGTGGCGAGAACAAGTTGACACACACATAGAGAGAGAGCGGCATGAATACAACGTTATACAATGTACTTAAAAGCAAATTTGTCAAACATATTTTGACATCACAATATGAAGATACACTTGCCGACTCGGGTCTTTCAAAAGAAATCATTTTCAGAGTTCAAACCGTGTCAAAATAATCTCCCAAAATACGTCCCAAAATCACCCCGAAACGTGGGATGGGCTCACAGTGTGTCCTCCTGTAAAACCTCACTGAGGGTTTCATGGAGTCAAAAGGTGTGATGAATCTATTCTTATTAGTGTTGGTCTCTGTGGTCTTTATAGTTTTTGGTCTTCTAGATCGGGTCACGGGTGGCTGTTTCTCTGATTCATGGGTAATGTCGTCACACCACAAAGTGACAGTGGTGGAAAGTCTATGCTCGCGACCATTCTTCACCTGTGGCACTTGAAGGGGGACTTGCGCTACGGCCAGGAGCCTACTGCCTATGTGAGGACGCTGTAATACTTGTGTCAAACGAAGACATTGTCTCTGTGTAATGACGATAATCACTAACTGCTAGAGTCATATGATACATTCATCTGGAAAAATGGTAAGTGAGTGAGTGAGTTGGGTTAAACGCCGCTTTTAACAGTATTCCAGTCATATCACGGCGTGTCAGCGTAATGAGGAAGGAAAGCCCGAAGTGATGCAGGTCTCAGTCATTTACCACTTCGGTGAAACCCACGAACCCGGGTATGGTGCTGACAAACCTAGAAACATAATCGGGCGAACCGGGATTCGAACCCACAATCGTGTCCAGGGGACGCAATTCTGCACAGCGAATCGCGGCGCCTTCGACGACTGGGCCATCGGAAAAATGGTAAGCACCGGTACTTCTATATTTGCATATATCTATAACTTCCATTTATCTTTCGAAAATATATACAAATGACACTTTTATCATTATGATAATTGTCTAAGATACCAGCATTACCACCGATACCTGCTGAAACGTTTGTTTGTTTGTTTAACGCCGCACTCAGCAATATTCCAGCGGTCTGTAAATAATGGAGTCTGGAAAAGACATTCCAGTGATTGACATCAGGAGCATCGATCTACGCAATCGGGATACGATTACATGCATCAACCAAGTCAGCGAGCCTGACCACCCGATCCCGTTAGTCGGCCCTGAGGACAAACGGGTTGCTGAAGCCCAATTCTATCTCGGATATTCACTGTTTGTTCCTCAAGATGGTCACAAGTACTACGTCATATATCACGTGATGCAAAGAAGCGGGGTATACAAATATAGGCCATATGCAAATATATGCAAATATATGCAAATATATGCCATGTACTTCTGGTTTCTGCATGTATAGATAAGAGAATACCACTATGTAACCAAAAACACTTTTATTTCGTCAGAAAATTAATACAGGGTTAGGATTCACACATTTTACCCATGTCGGGAATCGAACCCCAGGTCTTCGGTCTGACGAGCGAACGCTTTAACCACTAGGCTACCCGACCGCCCCCACTTGAATGAAACAAGCTAGGGCTGACTGTTGTCCGGGTTTCCAGCCCCTGTAGTCCCACGCGGGAAACAAGGAAGTGCGGGTGGGAGAAAGACGATACATGTTTTTACAACATTAGTGACGGCGGATTAAAGGTTACTTTTACAAAGACGCATTTTTATCTAAAACGTTTACGTTTATAAATGCGTTTACTGACATGATCGACATTGAGAATCGAGCACCATTAACTTCAAACAACTCTTCTTCCGTTAATCGCTGGCGTCCGGAGGAAATTGCGTGCGTTTCTGAAGAAGTTCTTATGGCACTTCCCCACTGTCCGTCTCTGTGACCGACACAGAGCGTGGCAGCAAGGGGATACGTCTGGAACATGCCGTGGACGACAAAACAGGGAGGAGGACTGTTTGCCATTGCTACAAACGACAAAAGCGTTGTCGTTCTGATGTCGTTACATGAGACATTACTTGAGAACTGTAGACTGCAAATGATATTTCTATCGGAAGTAATGACGTTCCATACTAAGTATATCTAGTCTAACATATCCGGGGCCTAAGTCACACTTGCGTTAAATAACGTACTTAGCGTAGAAAAATCTTTCGTTGTTTAACGTATCCATACGTGGTTCATTGTAGCTGTCCGTGGTTATCTGTGTTCACAACAGATAGCCACGTAAGCTGACATTTTTGTTAACGTAGTAGTAACTTAGTTTAATATAGTTAGATGTAGTTTGCCGTTGTTATAACCATAGTCTACTGTAGCCAAACGTAACGAACATCGTTGTTATCAAGGCATAAAATATCTACGAACAACTAAGGTAAACTACATCTTAGTAGGGGCACAAGTCCGTCTATATAGTTCAACTTTCGTTCAACTTCACCCGGTTATACTACACTACACTACATTTACCTGATTGACATTAAAGAACGTTCAGTACAGCGAACTGAGTATTGGTACAGTAGTCTACGTTTTGAAAATGCTATATCACGTCTTGCTAGGTGTGCTCTTAGCATCTGGAAGTTAAATTAAGTTACAATACGTCGAAATAAGTTAAACTAAGATAACTAGGCAGCAAGTATTGGTTGATACACGTGATATTTATAACCCATGATGACACCAGTCTGATCATTTGCTGTCTGACGTCTGCAGACACAACAAGAGTGATAGAAGAGTAAATATGATTCGGTTCTGGGCTGTTGTCAACAAAGAGCTGCTATGTTATGCCCAGTGTATCATGCAATTTGAAGAGGATGAAGAGAAGCAGAGAAAAAAGAGAAGATGGTGGGGTCGTGACTGGCTTCTGCGCAGATCAATCCATGGTCAGTATGACGCCCTGATGGCAGAATTACAACTTGAGGATCCTGAAGCTTTCGTGAACTTTCTGCGCTTGGACATAGCCACATTCCATGAACTGTTAGCAAGTGTAGAGGACCGTCTCACCAAGAATAGGACCCGATGGCGTGATCCTGTGTCTCCTGGACTCAAGCTGGCTGTGACATTAAGGTTCTTGGCTACTGGAGACTCACACCACTCACTGATGTATAATGTCAGACTTGCTCACAACACCATCTCAGGAATGATTGTTTCCGTGTGTAATGCTATTTTGGATGTCATGGAAGCTGAGGTTATGAAGACTCCTATCGAACCCCAAGATTGGTTACAAGTGGCAGAGCGATTTCAAGGAAGATGGCAATTTCCACCTGTCTTGGGTGCTCTTGGTGGCAAGCATATCGCCATACAAAAGCCCTCCAATTCAGGCTCTACGTATTATAACTACGAGGGGTTCTGCTCCATTGTATTAATAGGCCTGGTTGATGCAGATTACAATTCCGATGGATTCAGGTTGGTGATGTTGGGTCTAGCTTCGACAGCCAAATATGGAACCACTGTGCCCTCCACCAATCAATACAACAGGGAGCCTTTATCATTTGATATACCCTATTACATCATTGCAGATGATGCCTTTGCCATGCAGAGTTGGCTAATGAAACTATTCCCTCACCGGGCACTGGCACACGATGAGCTAGTATTCAATTATCGCCTTTCAAGAGCTCGCCGTGTGGTTGAGAATGCCTTTGGGATACTCGCAAACAGATTCAGGTGTCTGCTTCGCACTCTCCAGGTTCAGGTAGATACTGCATCTTTGATAGTGAGAACGTGTGTGGTGCTGCACAACTACCTGAGAGAAAGGAACCCCTCCAATGATGTCATGACCCTGGACAAGGAAGATGCAAACCACAACTTGTATGACCCAATAGTTCTGACCCTCATTTTCATCCCTTAAATATGACAAAATGATCTCAGATTTTGCGTGAATACTAAGGAAAGATGTCTCTATCAAATTATTTGAAAACCTTTAAAGGGAAAGATTTGACCGATTAAATACAGTAATGTAGCTTTAACTATATATAAGCTTTATCTTTAATTGAAATGGGGCTCTTCCAACATCTATTTGCAATTTAGATTCTATCTATATTTGAAAATAGGACCTTATTTACAGAATTTGTTTCAAATGGTCTTTTAATAGGAACAGGCAGTTTGTTTTGGTTTGTTAGCACAAGTTAATAATTTGGCTGTTTTCATATTATATCATATCATATCAACAAGATCGCATTTGTATTTCTTATTTCAACTTTATGTTTAAAATACAAACAAACCTACCAAATAAACATGCAGGGAAGCATGAATAGCCTTTGATCCTCCCGGCAGGATGTGGTGACAGTGGTTGCCAGCTAGGAACAAACGTAAATCCATTCCTCAAAACCTCCACTCTAGAATTCAAGGAAGTCCTGTAGAGAGTGCGAAGGAGGTGCACTTGAAGACCACTCTGACTGTCCCTGCTGCGGCTGCTGTGGTTGATAAACATGCTGCCAGGGTGGCATCCATCCCGTTGGGCACTGTTGCTGCTGTGAAACCGCAATATTTGAAGCCATCTGGTAGTCCCCACTGGTGGATGATGTGACTGGAGGGATTGTGTGTGGCTGTTGATGCTGTGCTTGCATCTGAGATAGCAGATGTGGATGAGGTTGGGACTGTTGTAGCTGTACATGTGCCTTTGCTTGAGTCCTCGCTTGCGCCTGTACTTGCGCCAGCTTCCTCTGCCTGGACTCCCGCCTGTATCTGATAATCCGATGTTGAACATTCCCTTGAAATGAATCCCATGCCTCATCATCGAATTCTGCTGCTGATATACCAATGAGCCTTCCAAATGCCATGCGATCAGTCTCCTCCTGAAGTTGACAGAGAACAGGAGAGCTTACCAAAAATTAAAATTCATATTTCATGAAAAAAAATTCACATTTTGATATTATCTTTCATTTAAAAATCAATTTATAATCATCAATCATATTTATTAATCAGTCGTAAACAGTTAAGTACTGTAAGTTTATGTCAAAATTTTCAGTTAAAGTTCAAGAAATTCAAATACCAAAATCAATATCACGATGATATATCATTTCAATAATTGACTCTTATAATACATGTTCTGTAACAGCTGTTCCTGCTGCCTCTGGGTTGTGGCAAAACTTTCCTCAATCTTTTGGATGACCATTGCAGTCTCAGAGGTCTTACGGTTTTTTCTTGATTGAGCTGTGGAGGGAGGTTGATGCTCTTCACAACACACCGGAAGATCCTCTGTGTCTGACTCTGAGTTAGGAGCTTTTCCTTCCACTGCAGCAGGCTCTCGAAATCCTTCAGTTGGGCAATGAGCTGCAAGTAGAAGAACAAGACAAGATGTTAATTATATAAAATATTTGTGGCATTGAATTCTATTTTTTTTAAAACCCATGGGTCAATGGTTGTACTCACATCCACTCCACACCTCTTTGGTACCCTATACACGTGTTATATAGTCTGAGAAGCCAAGTCTCGCCTTCAGCCACTCTTCTCCGAGGGTGAGATTCTTTCTCCCAGCACCAGACGCTGTTCTTGTGGCCTTGCCATAAGTGCTTCTCATATTCGGGAACCTTGTGATCAGACGGGGACCCGATGCATTGGTACAAAAAATATATTCAAAAACAAATTAGTCATTTTGTTAAAGAAACATGAAGACCTGAGGTAAATATTACCAGTATTGTAAAAATGAATATTTGGAAAGAAAAGTCGCCGATTGGATTTTACTAATTTGATAACAAATTACAGAAATATTGAACACACCATCAGATTCCTTTGCCTGGATGAGTGCCGCACGTTCTTCCCACAAGGCTTCCTTCTGAGTTCTTTTGCAAAAAAATGAGTGGTTCTTGTTGAATAGTTCAGGGTGGGCTTCTACAAATTCAAACACCCGAACCTCCTGATCATCTTTGAGCTTTAGGCCAGATCTCCTGGGTGCTGACTTTCTTGGAGCAGCTGCCTCTTCCTGGACATTGCAACTCTGAGAGTGACATCAACTTCATCAATAGCCTGCAAGTCTTCATAGATCGGATCCTCAGCAACCCCAGAAACAGCTGGAACCTCAGGATTCTCATGAACCTCAGTAACCTCAGCAATGTCACAAGCTGGGGTTTGACCTCTCCTGTTTCTTGTTTTCCTCATGGCTAGACTTTATTTAAGATAACCCTAACTAAGACCAAAATGACGAGCGGAATGAAACATATATGTACTTTGTCAGGAATTCAAAAGTGAAAGAATGATGAAAACCACATGTCTCTTTATATACCCTGTACCTATTGCGGGAAATGGGCGTTGTTAACCCTAGTTTAACGTAATGTAACGCTTTTAAATGTAGTTCAACGTACCTGAATGTACTAGCTACTGTACTTTACTGTCGTCTAAAGTAGCTTAACGTAGGAAAACGTAGATGACGTGTAGCACCCTTTTCGTACTTCAATGTTGTTCACTCTAGTACAACGTACTTGTCTGTAATTTGACGGACATTTCCCTGGTAACACTTTGATATAGAAACGTTGTTCGAAGGTAGTCAAGCTTTTTTTTGACATATTACGACACGTTAGTGTTATTTTGGCTACGTTAATATCCCTAAAGATAACTATAGCTACTAACGCAAGTGCTTGTTTGTTTGTTGTTTAACGACGCGCTCAGCAATATACCAGCTGTATGACGTCGGTCTGTAAATAAAATAGAGTCTAAACTAGACAATCCAGTGATTGATAAAATGAGCATCAATCTACGCGATTGGGATACGATGACTGAATCCAGCGCGTGGGTTGTTTGCAATAATATTCACATCTCCATCTGATCCAGCACACAAATATTGAGTGAGTCAGTAACAGGATCGGGTGGTCAAGCTCGCTGACTTGGTTGATGCTTGTCATCGATCCCAATTGCGTGGATCGATGCTCATGATCACTGGATTGTCTGGTCCAGACTCGATTATTTACAGATCGCCGTCATATAGCTGGAATATTGCTGAGTGCGGCGTTAAACAACAAACAAACAAAACAAACATACATACAACTATTGTCTTCTACAGTCCAAATTATTGCGATCTAATGACATTGTACATTTTTCAGGTTTAAGGTCGACTATTTTAAAAGTCAATAATATTTATCAAAATACCTCTAAATATAACAAAGTTATAAACATCATTTAGAAACAAGTATTAGTCAATGTCGAAACACTAGTATATGAAACTTCAGGGCAAGTGATGACCAACCACCAGGTAGCTTTCTGCTAACACAATGCTTCAGAATCCCCGTGCATCAGACAACAGTGCGACCCATGCCCCTTAAGTGTACGAGGGTATCTGTGGTGATGACTCGTGAACATCTTAATTACTTGGATCTGCAACATGTGCATGCGATTCCCATGCTGATAACATTATTACAGTGTTCCTGGAATAGAAGCACTGAAACAGTCCAGCACTGAGTGTACCACTATTGCATTAGCTACCTCAGTATAGATACCAAGACACTGAACAGACGCCCGGGGAGCCTCCATGATGGGTTGATGCATGGCATGCCGTGCTGATGGCTGGTTATATTTACTTTGGAGATTTTTGTCCATTTGTCCAGGGAAACACCCAGCAGTGGCTGCTCATCATTTATTGAAGGTGCTGCAGGAGACTTGCATTTTCCATTTACAGCCAATTTGTGTTTGGGGGAATGTTTTTGTCAACTCATTAATTAAGATGTTTTTGCGACTGCGAAATGAGTTTAATTTAAAGTTTAACACTCAAATCCCCAATCAATTGCACATGACACGTAATGATTATGAGGCCGTGTTGAGTGTGCTCAGATTTTCTGTTCCTTTCTGTATTTATGTGTTGTGATAAGGAAATCAATATGGATTATGCATGTTCACAATATAGAGTCATGCTCCTGCAAAAACTGCCAGAAAACCTTGGGAAGAACATTAATTTTACCATATTACATTTTTGGATTAAACGAGGAGGTCCGAGTGGTCTAACCTATTTAAACCATAGCCGAGTGTAGACGACATAAACTCCTTCGTTTACATTCTAATATAAAAGTTGTGATTGCGGCCTATCACTTTTGCGAAGGTATGTAAATAGTATTTCCTCAATTCATGCTGCAGTCAAACTAACATATATGGCAGACGCCTAACGTTGGCGTGCACGTCTTGCGTGCAATGCACGTTCATTTCGAACCTTTTAGTGGTACAAGAGATTAACTATTCTTGTTCGAAGCTACCATTTGTTATATTTTGGGCCGTTTTACTCGCATGATATAATAAGTTGAATGCACTTGTTTGTTGCCACTTCGGGAAGTCCCCACATGTTATATTATAGACGTGTTGTCGGGAAGAGTACATGGTATATGATAAACGTGTTTGTCGCCACCTTGGGAAGAGTACATGTTATATTATAGAAGTGTTTGATAGAAGAGTACATTTTCCTCACAGTACATACATGAAATCGTAAGAGTATACCATCAATACAGGCAGGTTCTCCTGCCACATGACTCAAATAAAGTGACATTTAGGACACCGCAGTTTTTATAATAGGAATAACAGGAAAATAGGTTTCATTTTGTAAACACTGAAGACAGATGAACTGGTTTGTATACTGGTGTTTTATTTATTTCCTCAGTATACTAGTCGTGTTTCAGAGCAAACGGGAAGTTGGCAGGATTCGGACTGTGCAGGGGGGTTCCGGCAAAGGTCCTGAAGGTGTTACAACGCGACCTGTCAGCCACTTCATACACACTGACATCAACTTCATCTGACTGCTCTATGGTCGAAATTTTTGTTAACAAAAGTGAATGAAACTTTGAATACAATTAATGAAATAGGTTACAAAATTAATTCCAGATATACAATTAACAATTTTATAACCATAGAGTGTAATTACATAATTATTTTTCGTACTTCAGTAGGGATTTGTTGACATGGTACTTCCGGTGTTGCTCACGGTGTTGCTCTTTGCATTGCGTTGGGAAGAAAACATAACAAATTATGATGACGTGTATTAATTATGCGCACCCCTCACTAAACAGCTGTGTATTTTTTTGTAAAGATCGCAGGTTAGAAACAAAGTACAGTATGCAAGATAATTTCAAACCAAAATTTTTATCTCGCACGTTTTTAGAAATAATAACGATGTACACATCACTCATATCATTAATAGACGGCAACTTAGTAACTGTCTGTTAAAAAATAAACAGAAGTTTTTAAAGGAATGAAATTCCATGTATTATTTCTGCTGTAAGCCAATTGGTTAAGATCAATGTGAATGGCAGGGACTATGAATTATTTTGTACTGTCTGCCTTATATATCCTCAATTATCAGATCCAAATTCTTGACTGGTGATTGGTTAAAACAATAGGTTCAGAAATGAAAAATCAAAATTTCAATTGAAAAGTAGGAAATATGTTCAATGGTGTGAACATGAACAAGTTATGAATAAATTCATAAAATCATGCAAAATCACTTAATATATTTGTGAATTTTTACTTTATAAAGGTAACTGCAGAAAATGGAAATAATAACCAAGAACATGAAACTTTATAGAATTTATAAGGGCAAGTGAAAACATCGCAGGCCAAGTACAAAATACTATCTACCTGCCCTGCAGGACAAGTTGCTTGAGAATTTTTTCGAGCCCTGCTTTATGTATATTACATATTTCAGAGACCCCAAAGTCTATTTTTGAAAACCGAACCTTTTAAGTTTTTACATGCCATGAAATATTATCCATACTTCAGAGGACCCATAGAAACATACTTTCTTCTTAAATCCTGTTAATACTACCACTGTAGCTAACCTGATTATGTATTCAATACCCTAAATGTCATGAAAACAGTCGCCTGAGATAGTGTTTCTAGAAATGCTCACATCAGATATCAATTGTAAACCTATCTTTCATAAAGAGAAATGGGTTGTAAACTTGCTAGTAATTTATCTAGTTTAATCTTTAGATATTTATTGGCCTTTTGGCATAGTGTTAGTTTAGCGGTCAGAGCCTGCTTGTTTATATCAGTCACTTATCAGCTCCAAAACCAAGCTTGGATATAACTGAAGTACTTTTTAAAGCAGTGATGAACCCAGCAAAACTTGTTTTAAGGTAATTAAGCACAAATTAAAGAAACATTTTTCACATATATTTTGTGTATCTTATCCAAAAGAATACAATCAGATAAGACTATTAACTTCAGCACCTGGATGAGCACTATTCAAGAAACTAGTGTCTCATCTAATAGGTGAAAATGTAAGGGAGACATTCAGCTTCATCAGTACAGCGATGTCAGAGAAAATGTTGGACAACAATAATCAGATGATGACATAGGCAGTATTTGGCCTGGTATGATAGACAACAGACACTGCACCATGACATGGTGACCTTTACTATAACAAAACAATCATGATTAGAATGGTGTTTATTACATTTATTGTAGACACTCACAGAGGATGAAGTATGATGAAATGAAAGCAAAGTGCCACTGACGTGAAACTGATTGTGCAGAATCAATGATGTCCTCATCATGACACTGTACTTTATAGGAAAGGAAAAGAAATTTAAGCAAATCTCTTCCCTTCTGCAACATCTCCACTGCTGTCAGATGCAACATCTCCACTGCTGTTGGATGCAACATCTACACTGCTGTTGGAAAAGCTAACATTCTGCACTCAAATAGGGCGAAAAGTGTTCACAAATAATGTGCACAGCTATATTGGTATTCTCTGTTGCCAATTCACAAATCAACCCTATAATCCGTCAATTCTTTTGACCTATTGGAAGTTCCTGACTCTTGTAAGAAAACTGCCTATTGAACTCCATTTCTCTCTTTCTGTCACCTTGATACAGTAAAGAAGATATATTCAGAAATATCCATATACATTTTCTTCCCTAAGCCACAAAAAAAATATTTTGGAGCTTCATCAAATTCCCAGACAAACTTGTGTTCCTCCACAGGTCATCTTCAAAGACTGAAATGTCTATTCATTGTCTGTGTGTTTATTGCCTGCCACTTAGCCTCTGCAGTCTGTAAGCATGTCCACATATAAAACCCCTAAACACACCCACCCACCCCACCATGACCTTGTGCTGAAGTTTATAGGTCACTCTCAAGCTGTTGCAGCAATAACCTCCTCCTCTTCTCCAACTCCCCTTCACTCAACTCACTCTCAGTGCTGTCGTAGTCATCATCTCTCTGGAACAAATAACCTCCCATTACTTGTCTGTCTCTGTGGATAGGGGTACTTAGTGGTTTACATGCAATAGTCAAGTATTTCACTGAATGATGTTTCATGCCACAGCAATCTTGCAGCTATCCTGGCAAACATGGTTGTGGCTGAACAAGGACAATCAATAGGCTACATCACACATCCTAGCCACCCAACTCACAGTTGTCTCTCAGACATGCATGGGGCACTGGGAACCACATCGGCCCCACAATGCCAGCTGAGTCTTACAACAGTGAGGATCAATGTTTCTCAAATCATTGCTTACCAAGGTAATATCTGGGAATACTGTTTTACATCAAATCATAAATAGTAAATAATATACTGTATATCATTTGTCAGACAAAGAATTGTTAGCATGCAACCATGGTAACTACTGATGTACATGGGAAACTTGGATTATCTTCAATCTGCACAATACATGAAGATGCTCCACCTACTCAAATTCAACATTGTTTCATCTCACTGCAAAAGCATTTATCAACTATGCATATAAGATCCTTAACATATTTAGAAAACATGTTCAAGGCTCATTAACCATGTTATTTATTGAGACATCAAACCATGATATTACTCCTCAAATGTGAACAGTAATTGATTGTTTTATTGTAGTCAGCCATATTCCAGCTACCAGTATATCCTCATGGCCTGAAGTACTGTGTCCTGGGACAGGGAAACCAGTAGATCATCAATGTCCCACTAAACCAGAAAGTCACAGCCGATGTCAGGTTTTTAGGACATGCATGCGGGGGCCTATTCTGCCCCGGATACCAACATGTTAGATTGGGCTGGTCATCCAGAATGTGATATTCATCATCCCAAAATTCATTGTTTCTATTTCTTGTAAGGAAGGTCATTTTTCCCATTTTCCCCCACAACTGGGAGATCACCAGCAATACTGGCATGGCATCGTTCTCACCAAGTGTAACTACATTTCCCAAAAGCCCTCATGCAATGAATTCCATTCTTTAAATATCAATCAACAAAAAAAGAATGATATATGAGGTTGCCTATTTCAAACTTTTTCACATGAAATGAATCGTAGTCAACATGAATTGAATCAGCAATTACTATGTCTTCTCAGAAAACGTTCATCACCAAGAACAACAAAATATCAACAATGAAATTTGTATGAAATTTGAAATTGTCCACAGAGAAAAAAACAGAATAAATTTGAACGCATTTTGATTCTTCTTACACATCTCTTGAGAAATGAAACTCTGAAATGATGAATGAACTTGTCTCTAAATTACAGGCCTTAAATACTTAATCAATCAGGATTGGACCTTTGTGTCATTAATTCAACATTAATGATTATCAGAATCACTATACATTCAGACAAGAATAGAAAATAACAGAAAAGAAACCCAAGAAGAGTGTATTCAAGTTTAACTTGTATTTCTTCTAAATCAGAATCTTACAAAAATAATTCAGGGTTGACTGATTCAATAATACAGTAATCCAACAATAGACAAACCCCTGAAAGGTCCCTTGGTAGAGGAGTGGGCTTATAATAGGTGTTTCACTTTTCAAATGAACATAGAGGATGTCTGGGCGCAGTTATAATCACTTGACTGCCATCCTGTGGTAAGCTTCCCTTCCCGCCAGACAGTGATTCTGGTGACTTGTTGTTGTAAGTCATGCAACTAAGTGAGTGGGTGGACTCAGCCCCCAGCCTTCTACAGATAGGAAAGAGGGGCACCCAGCATCCTATAGTGAGAGAGTGGAATTCATGGACAACACCCAGTGTCGGAAGTGTTATACACAGATCACTCTGGGGGACATCTTGGTATATTCTCTCAAAACATGTCCGAAACCCCCACATGATACATGCTGAAACTGTGAGAGTGAGTTCACTGAAGCATACCTGACGTGGTTCGCAAATCCTCCAGGCCACAAATCAACAACAAAAGCACCTGATGGCTCTGACCAGTAATCCCTACACTGGATAATGTTGGAGAATTCCTCGTTTTTACTGTAGGATACTCCCTGACTCTTCTGAGACACTAGCTTAAAGTTGGCATAAACTATTCAGCTTGTACACCCCACTCATGACAACACATTATGCTGTAGTGAGCATCCATACAGGTCAAAACATAACATAACACACCAAACAAACCAGTCTATGACCAAGGACTACATTTGCAATTGGCAATCAATGTTTGCCATCTGCTCTCCAGGCCAGACACTAGCATCAACATGTCAGGTACGTGAGGTGAAATTGGGTTTAACGTCATGTTCAAGAGTATTTCACTTATATAGTGATGGGCACGTGTGTGTGGCTGCTCGTACTAGTCCAGACTAATGCAGATTTTATAGAGCTAGCCCACTGAGATATCATGCCACAGTTTAGCATGAATACCCCACTCTGACAAAGTATACTGACTCCTAGCCGACCAGTCCTTGTTTTATCCCTTTAATGATGAGTGCCAGCGTGGGTAACAAGTACAATCATTTAACATCTTTTGGTATGATGTGGAATTAACCCCGACTCCCCCTCTCTGGGCAGACACTCTACCCACTGCACCACAGTGGCGGTCCATCATGTGATGGAGGCGATATGTTATTAACACAACACAGAAAACATGTAACAAGGAACATCAATGCAAATGTGTGGATGAGTGAGTGAGTGAGTGAGTGAGTGAGTGAGTGAGTGAGTGAGTGAGTGAGTGAGTGAGTGAGTGAGGTGAGGTGAGGTGAGGTGAGGTGAGGTGAGGTGAGGTGAGGTGAGGTGAGGTGAGGTGAGGTGAGGTGAGGTGAGGTGAGGTGAGGTGAGGTGGGGTGGGGTTTAACGTCGCGTCCAAGATTATTGCACTTATATAGCTACGTGCATGTACATGTGTGTGTTTGTGTGGCTGCTTGTACTAGTCCGCACTGATGCCGGTTTTATAGTGCTAGCACACTGAGATACCATGCCGCAGTTTAACATGAATACCCCACTCAGACACAGTATACTGACTCCGAGCCGACCAGTCCTTGTTTTAGCCCCTTAATGCCTAGCGCCAGACAGGGTAACAATAAGTACCATCTTTTAACGTCTTTTGGTATGACGCGGTCGGGGATCGAACCCCGGACCTTCCGCTCTCCAGGCGGACCACAAGACCACGGAGGCGGTGAGTGAGTGAGTGAGTGAGTGAGTGAGTGAGTGAGTGAGTGAGAGTGAAATCTAAGTTATTGTGTGGATGAAGATGGAGAGGGTTGTGAACTACGATGTGGTTAGAGGGTCAATGATGGCTGATGATTCAACTAACCTTCTTGGAAGCATGCTGAAAAGGGAAAAACAGAGGATGTTATGTATGTCAGTCAGCAAGCACGTAATACTGTACATGATAACAAGCTCACTCCAGACATCCTAAACCTAACATACTTGACACCCCACTGCAATTTGTAGGTAGGTTAATTGAAAAAAAAGGAAATAATTTCTGATGAGGTTTTGAAAAGAGTGAGTAAGTGAGTTGGGTTTAACGCCTCTTTTAACATTATTCCAGTTATATCACAGTGTGTCAGCTTAATGTGAGAGGAAAGCCCGAAGTGATGCAGATATCATACGTTTACCACTTCGGTGAAACCCACGAGCACGGGTATTGTGCTGACAAACCCAGAAACATAGTCGGGGCGAACCGGGATTCGAACCTACAATCATAGGTTTCTGGCATGCCCAAAGGATGCAAATCCGCACAGCGAATCGCGGCGCCTTAGATGACTGGGCCACCCGTGCCCCCGGTTTTGGTAAGAACTGTATGATGCCCTGGCAGCAATATTCCAGCTACATCCCACCTGCCTGTAAATAATCAAGTCTGGGCCAGTGTATGAGAAACAAGCTACACTGTTGTCATTTGACATGAGACAGGTGCATCGGGCCTTACAGTCCTCATCCTTTTGTAATCAGCCTGAATTCCCCCAAGGAGTAGTTTCAGACTAGTGACAGATGTGGTTAACCATTCAGGGTCACAAGAGGAGTAGGGACAGATTACTGGAAGCAAGGTTTCTCAACATTGAACACATACCAGGGTTCTTGTAAAACAAGAATACTGTGTTATCACCATCCCCCACCATGGGGCAAATTAGAATTCTGATTGTTCATATAGTAGTGAATATGAACTATATTAAAGAAGCCCTATAAAGCCTTAGAAGAGATAGGCACTTGGGCCCGCTTTATGTCATCAGAAAAAAATAATTACATGTGAAGCTAATACACACAAAAGAACCCTTCTCTGGTTAAAATAGCTCAGTCTTGTTAAGTATCTCTCAGATAAGCTAACATCAGTAGTTTCTGAGAAAACTTGTTCCGATTGCAGACACTATGTAACAAGTAAACTATCATGGATCAAGGGCCGTAACTCTGTAAAAAAGTAATTTATCGGACAATTTTTCGAATTCAGTCTTGACAAGTATCTCTTTGATAAGCATGCAAACATTTATTCAAGTAACTTTAGTAGTTTCTGAGAAAAGTTGTTCCCACTCAGTTGAAAAGCAAGGAGCAAGAGCAATAACTTGGTAAAAAAATGAGTTTACGACACCAACTTTCGAACTCATTTGAGATCATGACCAGTAACATCAGTATTTCTCTGACTTAGTTAGTTTTTGAGAAAATTTGTCCACTTTGAGAAGCGGATGGAAGGAAGGAAGGAAGGAAGGACAAACTCCATTCCTATATCCCTCGCCCCACTTGGTGGCGGGGAGAATAACCTGGCGTCATGTCCTGATGTATATGAAATCATACACAAAGTCTTACATGCGATTCTCAGAAATTCTATTCTGTAGGTGGAAAAACTGATATATTGCTTGGTATATGATCCAGATGTGTTCATCTGTCAGTGTCTAGGCTCAGTATCAGCACGAACACCACAATCACAACGATGCATTGGACATATAAGACACTGTTAGATCCATCCATTCCCAACGTGCAGCATGCCCAAGCCAACGCAAGTTTGATTTCCAACAACACATGATAGCATTTCATTGATTTCAAACAATGTTGTCTGTCTATAAATGTGCTCAGTATTAAAAAGGAGGAGCAGTAATTGACACATGACATTTGGCAATCTCGGTTCCCATTACCGCAACTCATTACCTGTCTCATATCCTTGTGGTAATACATGTATCATTTTCTTCCAAACAATTTTGAAAAATGTTCCACACAAGATTTACTTTTAAACAGATTTGAGTACACAGACTGGGTTCAGATGTCTCCATACTAAACCAACACACAACTGCAAAGAACCTGTTTTGACTTATAATGCTAGCCTGTGATTACTCCCGAGTTATCCTGTCTTCCTAAACAAATTAGCTCTCCGTCCATGCTGCTGTTTTTAGCAGAGACTGGGAGACTCTTTCACTAGAATCACACCCACATTGCCATACAGAGGGAAATAAAACACAACAAACCTTATCATGTCTGTCTTTCCTGGAGGACGGTGTTGGAGATTTCTTCCTACGAGAAGACTTACTATCCCTCTCTCGTTCCCTGTCCCTGTCCCGTTCTCTCTCACGTTCCCGTTCCCGGTCCCGATCGCGGTCCCTGTCACGGTCCCGTTCCCGGTCCCGATCTCTTTCTCTCTCTCGATCATGTTCATGCTTCTCATCACTTGAATAGCCAGAACGTGACGGCTGAAAAACACACACCAGCCTTACAGATGAAGAGCTAACACACTATTGTTGTTTCATTAAATTTAATTTATAAATCTGTGGAAAAGTCAGTCTAGGAAATGTGGGTTACAAATTCTTGGCAGCCATCAGTGTCAACAGTGTGGGGACTTACAGATCTGGAGATGTGCTTCTTCTTCTTCTTCTTCTTGTGTTTCTTCGATGTCCGTTCAGGCTCAAATTCTACATAAACAAAATGCAAACTGATACTCATAGAAGTGAGAAAGGAGGACAAGTCATCAGCTTATTTCCTCATATAGGTGCTGCAACAACAAATTGCTTTTTCTTTAACATCTTTTGTTACTATAATCAGAGTAACCTCATGGTCAGTCATGGTGGTCAATCAGGTCAACATCAACTTGCAAAATGTCCACAGAATGTAACAGAAATGAGAACAACTCAACCAGTGGCTGCTAGAGGCCTCCTGATGGACGCAACCCACTATCAGTTGTAGAAATCTACAGTTTCACTTCACATAAGTCAGTTGATGGGATCAAGCAATATTAATGGTAGATGAAAAAAACCTCTAAGACAATGGGATTTTAACTGGTGACTTCTTCCACCCCCTGGGGATAAAGGGCAACAATTGTCCCCAAGCAAACTATGCTTGACATAAGTGATGACAGGTGTCCAGGCTTGGTTGAATGTGTGTCATCGTGAACTCCAACAGCGTTGATTGTTGCTCATAGTCTCAATCACAGGATCATCTCGCCCAGACTTGATTATTTATAGGCTGTGGTCCTATAGCTGGAACAACAAACAACAAACAATACACAATACACAAACAAACCTAACCTCTGTCTGAAGGTGTTCCGGGACTGGGAGACCTGGACTCAGAACGGGATTTCTTCTTCTTTTTTGCTTTGTGTCTTCGATCGTCTTCTTCCGAATCACTCTGAATAAACAAATAATATTCAATTATTGTGACACAACATAATGGAGTCCTGAATCAAAGACAGCCAACAGGCAGTTTAATAATTACATGTCTGTACAAATGACTTACGGAATGTGACCTTGACCTTGACCTCTTGACCTTGTGTTTCTTTGATTTCTTTCTCTTTGCATGGTGGTGCCCACATGTCTCCTCATAGGCAATGACATACTCCCTGAACAGTCTCATTCGCTCAGACTCAAGAGTGATTGCCTCAAAAGCTGTCTCCTGTTCTAACTTTGATCTTATCTGGAACAAAGAGAGATTCCTCTGCTATGAATCAATATCGTTTCTTTGATTAGCACATGAATGCTTCAGTGTTCCATAATGTGAAACCAAAATCCAGCCTAAATGTTTACATTACCATTACCAAGGTCATTGTGACATACTGCATATTGAATTAATGCATCACCCAGACAGCCAGTTTACACAAATCCATGGATAGTGTACACAGAGATTGGTAGTCGAGTGTCTTTCCATAAACCTTAACTTTACATAGTACATGTATTACAATTTGTCATTTCACAGTTACAGGTGTAGGTAGTGTTGGCAGCAGACCCAGGTGTAGGTGTAGGTAGTGTTGGCAGCAGACCCAGGTGTAGGTGTAGGTAGTGTTGGCAGCAGACACAGGGGTTGGTGTAGGTAGTGTTGGCAGCAGACACAGGTGTAGGTGTAGGTAGTGTTGGCAGCAGACACAGGTGTAGGTGTAGGTAGTGTTGGCAGCAGACACAGGTGTAGGTGTAGGTAGTGTTGGCAGCAGACACAGATGAAGGTGTAGGTAGTGTTGGCAGCAGACACAGGTGTAGGTGTAGGTAGTGTTGGCAGCAGACACAGGGGTTGGTGTAGGTAGTGTTGGCAGCAGACACAGGTGTAGGTGTAGGTAGTGTTGGCAGCAGACACAGGTGTAGGTGTAGGTAGTGTTGGCAGCAGACACAGGTGTAGGTGTAGGTAGTGTTGGCAGCAGACACAGGTGTAGGTGTAGGTAGTGTTGGCAGCAGACCCAGGTGTAGGTGTAGGTAGTGTTGGCAGCAGACACAGGTGTAGGTGTAGGTAGTGTTGGCAGCAGACACAGGTGTAGGTGTAGGTAGTGTTGGCAGCAGACACAGGTGTAGGTGTAGGTAGTGTTGGCAGCAGACCCATGTGTAGGTGTAGGTAGTGTTGGCAGCAGACCCATGTGTAGGTGTAGGTAGTGTTGGCAGCAGACCCAGGTGTAGGTGTAGGTAGTGTTGGCAGCAGACCCAGGTGTAGGTGTAGGTAGTGTTGGCAGCAGACCCAGGTGTAGGTGGAGGTAGTGTTGGCAGCAGACACAGGTGTAGGTGTAGGTAGTGTTGGCAGCAGACACAGGTGTAGGTGTAGGTAGTGTTGGCAGCAGACCCAGGTGTAGGTGTAGGTAGTGTTGGCAGCAGACCCAGGTGTAGGTGTAGGTAGTGTTGGCAGCAGACACAGGTGTAGGTGTAGGTAGTGTTGGCAGCAGACACAGGTGTAGGTGTAGGTAGTGTTGGCAGCAGACACAGGTGTAGGTGTAGGTAGTGTTGGCAGCAGACACAGGTGTAGGTGTAGGTAGTGTTGGCAGCAGACCCAGGTGTAGGTGTAGGTAGTGTTGGCAGCAGACACAGGTGTAGGTGGAGGTAGTGTTGGCAGCAGACACAGGTGTAGGTGGAGGTAGTGTTGGCAGCAGACCCATGTGTAGGTGTAGGTAGTGTTGGCAGCAGACCCATGTGTAGGTGTAGGTAGTGTTGGCAGCAGACCCAGGTGTAGGTGTAGGTAGTGTTGGCAGCAGACACAGGTGTAGGTGTAGGTAGTGTTGGCAGCAGACACAGGTGTAGGTGTAGGTAGTGTTGGCAGCAGACCCAGGTGTAGGTGTAGGTAGTGTTGGCAGCAGACCCAGGTGTAGGTGTAGGTAGTGTTGGCAGCAGACACAGGTGTAGGTGGAGGTAGTGTTGGCAGCAGACCCATGTGTAGGTGTAGGTAGTGTTGGCAGCAGACCCATGTGTAGGTGTAGGTAGTGTTGTCACCTGTGTCAGGGTATAACATAGCATGTACTTACGTCATCCCACTTGGTGTCAATATCTATGGGTGGAGACAGCTGTTTCAACAGAGTCTTGAAAGATCCCTCCAGTCGCTTCAGCTGGAAACACAGGATATAGTGTTAAACAGACTCATGTACTTGTCATACTATGCTATTTAAGCAATTTAAAGTGACATACATAGATAATCGTGATATATCCCAGCCAGATTACAACATAAAGTGTGAAAAGTTCTCACCAGTATCAGCTACCCTTTAGGGAAGCTAGGCTCTAGGTTTATACTGTACTGTGTGGGTGAATATTGCTTAACATTGAATTAGAAACATTGCAGCTATCTTTGTCTGAGGTCTCAATATAAATAGTTTCAATATGAGTAACCAAAATGTCTTGATACCGAAATAAATACACATCAGTTTCTTCAACTGTATCACCGATGTGACATGCCATAACTCTTTGAGTACTTGAGGTGAGACATATACCTTCCTGGCCTCGTCCTTCAGCCTCTCTTTCTCACGAGCCTCAGCCTTCTCTATCAGCTGCAAACATGAGATATACAGAATATGTTCACCTGTAGTTTCATCAAGTGATATCATTCATAAAGAGAGAGATTGACTTAACACAGATTACAGTATTTCAAGACCAAAGTGTCAGGGTTGTAGATGTTTGGTAAAACCAGTGTACAAAGGTATGCTGCTGACCGGTCAACCAGGAATCATATCAAGATCGGGGAACTGGGATTTGAACCCTCTGAACATCGAGGTGCGGAGCCTCAGACCACTGGTTTATCTCTGAACCATCAACAAAAGATAATGTATGTCATGACCAGCCACTGACAAATTTATGGTACTCCTAACCTCACATGAGGTCTGATCCTGTGATACATACACTATTATAGGTGAGCTTGATGTTGCCGGTGTCAAGGCTGATAGCCCGTCTGTCACTGCTGATGACAGCTGCAAAGTCATCGTATGTCGTGCTGACCTCCACCACAAAGCCCTTCTCCTGTTTTTAAACAAGCACAGTGTATGACATTAAATATAGTAGATCTGTGAAAGAAACACATGTCCAATACCCGATTGTACTTGGGTGTAATGGAATGATGTAGAGAGGTGGTTACTTCGGGGCCATGATCTTGGAAATTAGGTTGGGAAAGATGGGTGAGATACAACAAGACTAGAGCGCATCAGATGTATAAAGCCAGGGTATCTTTTCAACTGGAAAACCAAATAACAGTATTCATTCTGACAAGTCTCTTTGAATGTCTTCAGTTCTAACCTTTATCACATATCACCGTCTGGCCCTGTAAGTGAAATGTGTCAATATATCAGTCCATTGTTTTTTCCTAGTCTCTGACATTAAACAAGCGGTAATTTTACCTCACTGAGTCTACGACTGTTATATGTCTGGTAAGCACAGTTGTGTAGTGACACTGATTGCTGTATAAAATCCACATGCCTTAGTACATTCTAGCAAATAATGCTCCATCATTTCACAGTCTAGGTCATTAATCCAGATAATACTGATCAAAGGACTGCCACTAATTGAGGAAGACTGACTTTGCTGACTGGCTGTTCATTGTTGCAGGAAAGGCCCAATCTTTACTTATGATCACTGGTGGAATATCTGCACATAGCTAGAGGGACACTTATTACTCAGGTCAGGTTATTTAGCATATAGTATTTAAAAGAGATACTTCAAGTCAAATATCCTCAATAGTCCCAAGGACTTCAAGAAGAAGAGCTAATATCCCTGCCAGTTATTAAGTGTGTGTACTGTACTTACTCGGAGAATCTCCTTCACTATCTTCTTCTCGTCATGGAAGCGGGCCTTGAGGTCCTCAACATAGAACTTGAATAGGTCGAGCGGGGTTGAGCCAGGCTGTCCCAGCATCATGGTGAAGCGCAGGTCTTGACTAATGATGGGATACAGGTCCATCCACAGAGACATGGAGTTGAGCTTGCCCTGGTCGTGCAGCTCGTCCAGGAGAACCTGCATGTCAACACAGATCATGTTAGATGAAGCTACAACAGAGACATGGAGTTGAGCTTGCCCTGGTCGTGCAGCTCGTCCAGGAGAACCCGCAAGTCAACACAGATCATGTTAGATGAAGCTTGTTGGATGCAAACATAAATGACTATCTGTGGTGGTTGCAGAGAATTTGAAAATGTCAAACTTAGCACCAGACAGATGATGTCCACATACACCAAACAACAGATCAGGTGCTGTCCACATACACCTAACAATAGATCAGGTGCTGTCCACATACACCAAACAACAGATCCGGTGCTGTCCACATACACCAAACAACAGATCCGGTGCTGTCCACATACACCAAACAACAGATCAGGTGCTGTCCACATACACCAAACAACAGATCAGGTGCTGTCCACATACACCAAACAACAGATCAGGTGCTGTCCACATACACCAAACAACAGATCAGGTGCTGTCCACATACACCAAACAACAGATCAGGTGCTGTCCACATACACCAAACAACAGATCAGGTGCTGTCCACATACACCTAACAACAGATCAGGTGGTGTCCACATACACCAAACAACAGATCAGGTGCTGTCCACATACACCAAACAACAGATCAGGTGCTGTCCACATACACCAAACAACAGATCAGGTGCTGTCCACATACACTAAAGAACAGATCAGGTGGTGTCCACATACACCAAACAACAGATCAGGTGGTGTCCACATACACCAAACAACAGATCAGGTGGTGTCCACATACACTAAAGAACAGATCAGGTGCTGTCCACATACACCTAACAACAGATCAGGTGGTGTCCACATACACCTAACAATAGATCAGGTGCTGTCCACATACACCAAACAACAGATCAGGTGCTGTCCACATACACCAAACAACAGATCAGGTGGTGTCCACATACACTAAAGAACAGATCAGGTGCTGTCCACATACACCTAACAACAGATCAGGTGGTGTCCACATACACCAAACAACAGATCAGGTGCTGTCCACATACACCAAACAACAGATCAGGTGCTGTCCACATACACCAAACAACAGATCAGGTGCTGTCCACATACACCTAACAACAGATCAGGTGGTGTCCACATACACCAAACAACAGATCAGGTGGTGTCCACATACACCAAACAACAGATCAGGTGGTGTCCACATACACTAAACAACAGATCAGGTGGTGTCCACATACACCAAACAACAGATCAGGTGGTGTCCACATACACTAAACAACAGATCAGGTGGTGTCCACATACACTAAAGAACAGATCAGGTGCTGTCACCCACTGTCACTATACATGCTGAACACAGCTTGGAATAACACAACTTGCAACTGACGAACACTAAAAACTATGGCAATGGCTTGCTTTGAACTCACAATGACTTTGTATGCTTTCACTCACTCTGGTAGTGTGGGAGGGAATCCCAGCTGTGACTCAGCCCAAAAAAGTATGAGAATCTGTACTTTCCTAAGAAAGTGTTATCCTAAATATAACATTTATTCGGTTTGCCTTCAATAAAACAAGACAAAACATAATAACAGGAATTCCAGTTTGGCTAATGCTAAAGATATCCTTATGTCAGGTAAAATTTCAGGCTTTTTAAGGGTGTTACTGTTTGGGCTAATAAATGTTTCAGGATAAATTGCATCCCTAAGAAAGCCATTGTAGATGTGATCTCCTTGATGTTGTGAGCACACATCTAAGTGCACAGCTCTGTCCATCTGAGGCAGCTTCATGTAAAATTATTGTTTGTACAGAAGGGCATGTTTCAACAGAAGGGTTTGTAGGTTCATGCACAAATGTAAAAGCATGCAAAGTTTCCTGAAGTGGTTGGATAGATTAGAAGTGAATTATCAACAGTGATAAATAAGAAACATAACATTATCATTTTCTTATTCATGATTTGAACATATGCCAGAAATAAATAAACTATCCCCCTTTGTATCTGACTATACCACTGTATACAAGCATCACCTACCACACAACAGATAATGCTGGGACGTACATCATGGCGTCACTACAACTGTGATGAAGGCCTCACTTTCTCTAGTCCTTAAATCTCTTTATGACCACTCCCTAACACAGATGAAAGGTAATTGTCATCAACTCAGCTATCAAGTATAATGTGCCATGAAATGTCTGCTGCCTATTTTTATGAACTGAAGAAAATAACTTTGCCAGAGGAAGAAACACCAATTTCTGGGAAATTTTTCGCGACTTTTTCTTTCAAAACATTTGGTACACGTCAAACTTTATTTCTCAGCATCATTTCACAAATGTTGGCAAGACTAAAAGAAGAGAAAAGCACCTGCTTCTTTTTGGCAGATACATTCTCCATGCAGTGGAATGAGGATCCTTGAGAACACAGTGACAGGGCCACAGTGAGTGCTGTGACGGAGGCGTGTGGGGGTGATGTACATTACAGGCTGTCTAGCTCCCACATACCAGCATAACATGTCACCACGGGACTGTGTAAGCCAACTCCAAGACCTTCTTCCTTTAATTACAAGAGCAGGTGCAGGCTGAGATAATTCAATTCTGTCCCTCTTCTTTGTTCAAGCACCAGCGCATATTTAATCTGACGACAGCTACGGGCCACGGAAGCAAGTGCAACTTTGGTAACAATTATAGTGATTACAAACATAAAACTGTCATCAGTTCTGACATGCCTAAAATTTAGGTATGTTTTTTCATCTGAAAGGATGAGAACGTTCTCTTCTTCTGAGACTTGAATTGTCTATGATGGCAACTGGCAGTATTTTTCAGAATAATTAGAACTGTTTCTTGGGCTTATTGATTTGTTGTACATATGACTCAATAGCACCGTTTGTGTACTAATCAATGGTAAAAAACAGCAGCGCATTGTAACAGTTCTGTCCAAGAAATAGTTCTATTGCGTGATGGGTCTAATTCGGCAGTTACACTGACTGATGTGTCTCAGAAGCAGAAGTTGCAATGAGTTGGTTTTCAGTTGCTTTTTGAAAGTATTTCAGTTAGATCACAGTGTGTCAGTTTAATGTGTGAGGAATGCCCAATGTGATGAAGCTCTTGTACAATTACCACTCTGTGGAAAAGCTGATTAATATACCTCTAGGCCTACAGACAGGGTGGGTTTCACTGTACACTGGGACAAAATGTCAGTATACATGATAGCATCCACATGACATTATTAACATTTATATGTTTATATTTCACAGTGTAAATGTAAATGATTAATGTTTCTGGGTCAAAAGTTTTCATGAGTGAGTGAGTGAGTGTTTTACGTCGCTTTTAGCAATATTCCAGCAACATCACGGCGGGGGACACCAGAAATAGGTTTCACACATTGTATCCATGTGGGGAATCATTGTCATGAAACAAGGGGACATGAGGGAATGGATAACAGCACAGCCATTGTCAGAGATCCCCAGTCAGCCCGGGGACAAGGTCACTAAACGAATAATCGCCGCGAATAGCTGCAAAATTGCTGATGCGGCGTTAAGCAATATTCACTCACTCACTCACTAAACGAATAAACTGACAGTTGTCCCCACAGCACAGTCTCAGGACTTGACATTGATGCTGCTAATTAACTTAGTAAAACAGGCTCATACTGCAGAGCCAGGAGGCTCATCAGCCTAAGTTTACAAAATATTCCCACAATCAATGTCCACATGTCCACAGGTTTCCATTCACTCAGCTACAGACTTTTGGGAAACATGTAATTGAAAATAATGGAATTCTTTACATTTTTTGTTATATTTTGCAAAGAAGTATATCATTAACTTTGTTTATTTGATGAAGCTTATTAAGGTGACAAACATCAATGCCCAGCATTTTAAAACTTTAATTTGAATTTGCAAATAGTTTCAACAAAACAACATCACAAAGATTTTATCAAAATGTGGTGTTATCATAAGAAGAAACACACCATGCCAAATGTCAGCTTCATGAGTCAAGGAAGAAGTCAGTAAAGAGCATGCAAAAAGAACAAAGCTCTTTCCAATGCAAAGGTCAGTGTCAGGGTATTGTGAGAGTCATAGCTCTGTGGCCCAAGCAAAGAGTGAGCGAGTGAGTGAGTGAGTGAGTGAGTGAGTGAGTGAGTGAGTACCCTAGCTCTGTGGCCCAAGCAAAGAGTGAGTGAGTGAGTGAGTGAGTGAGTGAGTGAGTGAGTGGAGTGGAGTGGAGTGGAGTGGAGTGGAGTGGAGCGGAGTGGAGTGGAGTGGAGTGGAGTTTACGCCGCTTTTAGCAATGTTCCAGCAATATCACGGTGGGGCACACCAGAAATGGGCTTCACACATTGTAACCATGTCGGGAATCGAACCCGGGTCTTCGGCGTGACAAGCAAACGCTTTAACCACTAGGCTACCCGACCGCCCCTTAAGCAAAGAGTAATTTGGCTTTGACCAGCCATTGGGTAACTGACACACGTGTCACATTGGCCAAAACACTGGCCAGCTGTCTGTGGACAGTTTGAGTCTGAACTTGTGTCACTGTTTACCCTTACACCTCATTGTGTAGGATGGTTAGACTTGGCCTGGACCATAAGACTGACTCACACAGAAGCATTCATAGTTTGCACACAGATTTTTCAATTCATACCTCCATGAACAGAACAAAATACAGTCAACCCTTATAAATTAAATTCGACAATGAAAACATGAGTTAAGAACAAAAGTTGATTAAAAACAATTATATAAATCAAAGCAGACAAACATGATGAGATCGATAAACATTCCAGGTGTAGGAATACAAGGTGATCAGGTGATTGTTTCATTGATGCAGATAACTTGAAGTCAGAAGCTAACGATGGAGAGTAATGTCAAACAAAGTTTATTGGACTGGTCAATCAAGGCAAAAGGCAAGGGGAAAAACTTTTACGAATCAGGCAAATATGTCAGAGAGAAGGCGGCTGTTTCAAATGACATGGTTAGTAATCGCCAGATTCAAACATTAGTCTCATGAAACTGAAAGATATTGCTGGGAAAATGTGAGTTTGGAACTCAAAGAAACCCGAAGAAAACAGACGACATGAAATTTGATATGCTAACCCTGAACAGAAATCTAAACCTTCACATCACACTCATCCACAACTAACATTGAACTAGTGATGTCAAACTTCATGAATTTTAGAATGAAATAACATGTTTCACAATGTTGAATGTTTGCATATGCCTTAAAAGACCCCAAAGACTGTGATGTGACCTACTTTATTTACTACCCTGTGATGCACTCCATGATGCCCCAGGCACAGGACCCTTAGACTTTCAAAATTAGGCTCCCAAACGCTCTTGAATTTTGTATGAGGCATGTTCCTGAAGTCCTCTAACAGTCTAATTGCTTCAAAATGACCAACACACAGAGTTTTCCTCAGAGGAAACTCAGTACCCAGTAGGTTCTACATTGTGTCAGGAACGCATGTGTCACCTACCACAAAGCTCTCCCTGTTGTTTGGACACACAATACCCAGTAGGTTCTACATTGTGTCAGGAATGCATGTGTCACCTACTACAAAGCTCTCCCTGTTGTTTGGACACACAATACCCAGTAGGTTCTACATTGTGTCAGGAATGCATGTGTCACCTATCACAAAGCTCTCCCTGTTGTTATGACACACAATACCCAGTAGGTTCTACATTGTGTCAGGAATGCATGTGTCACCTACCACAAAGCTCTCCCTGTTGTTTGGACACACAATACCCAGTAGGTTCTACATCGTGTCAGGAATGCATGTGTCACCCACCACAAAGCTCTACCTGTTGTTTGGACACACAATACCCAGTAGGTTCTACATTGTGTCAGGAATGCATGTGTTACCTACCACAAAGCTCTCCCTGTTGTTTGGACACACAATACCCAGTAGGTTCTACATTGTGTCAGGAATGCATGTGTCACCTATCACAAAGCTCTCCCTGTTGTTATGACACACAATACCCAGTAGGTTCTACATTGTGTCAGGAATGCATGTGTCACCTACCACATAGCTCTCCCTGCTGTTTGGACACTCAATACCCAGTAGGTTCTACATTGTGTCAGGAATGCATGTGTCACCTACCACAAAGCTCTCCCTGCTGTTTGGACACTCAGTACCCAGTAGGTTCTACATTGTGTCAGGAATGCATGTGTCACCTACCACAAAGCTCTCCCTGTTGTTATGACACTCAATACCCAGTAGGTTCTACATTGTGTCAGGAATGCATGTGTCACCTACCACAAAGCTCTCCCTGTTGTTTGGACACTCAGTACCCAGTAGGTTCTACATTGTGTCAGGAATGCATGTGTCACCTACCACAAAGCTCTCCCTGTTGTTTGGACACACAATACCCAGTAGGTTCTACATTGTGTCAGGAATGCATGTGTCACCTACCACAAAGCTCTACCTGTTGTTTGGACACACAATACCCAGTAGGTTCTACATTGTGTCAGGAATGCATGTGTCACCTACCACAAAGCTCTACCTGTTGTTTGGACACTCAGTACCCAGTAGGTTCTACATTGTGTCAGGAATGCATGTGTCACCTACCACAAAGCTCTACCTGTTGTTTGGACACTCGGTACCCAGTAGGTTCTACATTGTGTCAGGAATGCATGTGTCACCTACCACAAAAGCTCTACCTGTTGTTTGGACACACAATACCCAGTAGGTTCTACATTGTGTCAGGAATGCATGTGTCACCTACCACAAAGCTCTCCCTGTTGTTTGGACACTCAGTACCCAGTAGGTTCTACATTGTGTCAGGAATGCATGTGTCACCTATCACAAAGCTCTCCCTGTTGTTTGGACACACAATACCCAGTAGGTTCTACATTGTGTCAGGAATGCATGTGTCACCTATCACAAAGCTCTCCCTGTTGTTTGGACACACAATACCCAGTAGGTTCTACATTGTGTCAGGAATGCATGTGTCACCTACCACAAAGCTCTCCCTGTTTGGACACACAATACCCAGTAGGTTTCTACATTGTGTCAGGAATGCATGTGTCACCTATCACAAAGCTCTCCCTGTTGTTTGGACACACAATACCCAGTAGGTTCTACATTGTGTCAGGAATGCATGTGTCACCTACCACAAAGCTCTACCTGTTGTTTGGACACACAATACCCAGTAGGTTCTACATTGTGTCAGGAATGCATGTGTCACCTACCACAAACATCTACCTGTTGTTTGGACACACAATACCCAGTAGGTTCTACATTGTGTCAGGAATGCATGTGTCACCTACCACAAAGCTCTACCTGTTGTTTGGACACACAATACCCAGTAGGTTCTACATTGTGTCAGGAATGCATGTGTCACCTACCACAAAGCTCTCCCTGTTGTTTGGACACACAATACCCAGTAGGTTCTACATTGTGTCAGGAATGCATGTGTCACCTACCACAAAGCTCTCCCTGTTGTTTGGACACACAATACCCAGTAGGTTCTACAGTGTGTCAGGAATGCATGTGTCACCTACCACAAAGCTCTCCATGTTGTTTGGACACACAATACCCAGTAGGTTCTACATTGTGTCAGGAATGCATGTGTCACCTACCACAAAGCTCTCCCTGTTGTTTGGACACACAATACCCAGTAGGTTCTACATTGTGTCAGGAATGCATGTGTCACCTACCACAAAGCTCTCCCTGTTGTTTGGACACACAATACCCAGTAGGTTCTACATTGTGTCAGGAATGCATGTGTTACCTACCACAAAGCTCTCCCTGCTGTTTGGACACACAATACTCAGTAGGTTCTACATTGTGTCAGGAATGCATGTGTCACCTACCACAAAGCTCTCCCTGTTGTTTGGACACTCAATACCCAGTAGGTTCTACATTGTGTCAGGAACGCATGTGTCACCTACCACAAAGCTCTCCCTGTTGTTTGGACACACAATACCCAGTAGGGTCTACATTGTGTCAGGTATGCATGTGTCACCTACCACAAAGCTCTCCCTGTTGTTTGGACACACAATACCCAGTAGGTTCTACATTGTGTCAGGAATGCATGTGTCACCTACTACAAAGCTCTACCTGTTGTTTGGACACACAATACCCAGTAGGTTCTACATTGTGTCAGGAATGCATGTGTCACCTACCACAAAGCTCTCCCTGTTGTTTGGACACACAATACCCAGTAGGTTCTACATTGTGTCAGGAATGCATGTGTCACCTACCACAAAGCTCTCCCTGTTGTTTGGACACACAATACCCAGTAGGTTCTACATTGTGTCAGGAATGCATGTGTCACCTACCACAAAGCTCTCCCTGTTGTTTGGACACACAATACCCAGTAGGTTCTACATTGTGTCAGGAATGCATGTGTCACCTATCACAAAGCTCTCCCTGTTGTTATGACACACAATACCCAGTAGGTTCTACATTGTGTCAGGAATGCATGTGTCACCTACCACAAAGCTCTCCCTGTTGTTTGGACACTCAATACCCAGTAGGTTCTACATTGTGTCAGGAATGCATGTGTCACCTATCACAAAGCTCTCCCTGTTGTTTGGACACACAATACCCAGTAGGTTCTACATTGTGTCAGGAATGCATGTGTCACCTACCACAAAGCTCTCCCTGTTGTTTGGACACTCAGTACCCAGTAGGTTCTACATTGTGTCAGGAATGCATGTGTCACCTATCACAAAGCTCTCCCTGTTGTTTGGACACACAATACCCAGTAGGTTCTACATTGTGTCAGGAATGCATGTGTCACCTATCACAAAGCTCTCCATGTTGTTTGGACACACAATACCCAGTAGGTTCTACATTGTGTCAGGAATGCATGTGTTACCTACCACAAAGCTCTCCCTGCTGTTTGGACACACAATACCCAGTAGGTTCTACATTGTGTCAGGAATGCATGTGTCACCTACTACAAAGCTCTCCCTGTTGTTTGGACACACAATACCCAGTAGGTTCTACATTGTGTCAGGAATGCATGTGTCACCTACTACAAAGCTCTCCCTGTTGTTTGGACACACAATACCCAGTAGGTTCTACATTGTGTCAGGAATGCATGTGTCACCTACCACAAAGCTCTACCTGTTGTTTGGACACACAATACCCAGTAGGTTCTACATTGTGTCAGGAATGCATGTGTCACCTACCACAAAGCTCTCCCTGTTGTTTGGACACACAATACCCAGTAGGTTCTACATTGTGTCAGGAATGCATGTGTCACCTACCACAAAGCTCTCCCTGTTCTTGCGCTGCTGGCGCTTCATCCTCCGCCGCTCCCGCTCCCGCTCGTCATCATACTCCTGCTCCAGCATGCGAATGTGGTCCTCAAAACAGATCAGGGCATCCTCCTTGTCCATATCTGACACCAGAAACAGTGATCAAAGTCAGTCGGCATATCAGCAGTGTTGAAAAAATAAAACCCCAGGTTGCCATAGGACCCACAGACTTTAGACCCTAACTTAAACTCTTCAGACCCTCATTTAAAAAACTACATCTTATTGTGACCAAAAAAACAACAAGTAAATTTACTGCAGGCCAAAAGTACCCATGTAACTTTGAAACTATGAGTTCAACATCAGATCTACCTGCCATGGGCCTACAGGCAGGCATTTACTTGAAACAATGCATATCACTCTCGTCAACTTAAGCACCCAAGTCAAATTTAATTTATCTTAGACCTCTAATAATTGCAAACAAGGCTAAACTCAACTTAAACATACTAAAATGACACAAAGATATAAGTTCAGGCTAGTACATAATGACTTCATGAGACCACACAGAGCAAGCATTGGGTGCCAACCCCCTAGGTAACGGAGTGGACAAGAAAACCTGCCCCAGGTCGTCCTGTAAGGCAGACCCACCCCTGTTCCCTGGACACCTGTCAGTGTTCTGTTACTCAATACAGACTGGGATCATTACAATCTCTCATTTGTAAAGAGAATTCCAGTAGCTGCATGCTATTGAAACAATAATCAATACCAGTTCTTCACTTTTCCCAAAACATCCATTAACTCTAAATGTGATTGTCCTTTGGACTGGTTCGTGTTTTGTATTTAAGATAAGAATAAAATGCTTTCAGAACTATTATCCATTGATCTTATCTGACTACAAATGAGTTTGTCGCCAGGCATTGTCTCTAACACTGCTTCTTCCATGGTGAGTGTGTATTTTCAAAATACAGACAGAGAGTGAGTGAGTGAGTTGGGTTTAACGCCGCTTTTAACAGTATTCCAGTCATATCGTGGCGTGTCAGCTTAATGTGGGAGGAAAGCCCGAAGTGATGCAAGTCTCAGATGTTTACCACTTCGGTGAAACCCACGAGCACGGGTATGGAGCTGACAAACCCAGAAACATAACCGGGGTGAACCGGGGTGAACCGGGATTCGAAACCCACAATCATAGGTTTCTGGCATGCCCAAGGGACGCAACTCTGCACAGCGAATCGCGGTACCTTAGACGACTGGACCACCCGTGCCCCCTACAATACAGACAGACTGAGAGGGGAAATAACCAGGCAGCTGAAGACTGCTGACGAGTAGTAACACCCATGACTGAACATGCTGGTGTTTGTTGCTTAACACACCACGCCTGTATTCCAACTATAAATATTCAAATCTGGACCAGACAAACCAGTGATTGATATCATGAGCAACCACAATGGCCATAAGAGTACAATCACATGCATTCAACTTCATCACCGAGCCTGACCACAGAAGTCATAACTCACCTCCGACAGCCAGCACGGGTTTCTAACTCAAAATGTCCAGCAGTTAAACATGGGGGTGAGGGTGATGACAAAAGACACCATCCCACATGGAACAGTGATCGATCATATTACTTGACACACTGATATCCTGGCTATCCTTGACTTACAGTAAGCAGCAGGTATCAAGGTAATACTCATTTTTTTTATATTTGGTAACAAATATTGAAAATTATACTCCGATGAACACATAAAACTGTCATGGACAATTGGCAAAACATAACTATATCAGAGACAATCCAAACTACTGTATAATCTGGTAATAAACTGCATTATTTGAGAAAGGTTGTCAGACAGGGAGATTTCCCCAGGTTCAAGTGCTCCCATGGGTACAATGTGTGAAGCCTTGTGAGAGTATTGCACTCATGCGGCACTAGTGCAACCATTGACTATAAATTTACCCATGGAGGTAGAATATTAACTTTCCTATCAGAATGTGTATGTAAAATAAATTGGAAATACAAGACTGGTTTGAAAAAGGACAATGCTTAGTAATGCATGAACAGGAAATCTGGACTTTTTTACATACACCAAGACAAGAGATGAGTACATGGTGCACCAACAGTTTTCTTTGACAGCTCTACGTAAACTTCTGTGAGCAGACATAATACTGTCTGAAGCCTGAACCGCTTATGATATAGCAAAGTGATCTGTATGCTTATGTAATGTTACACATTCTATGACGTCAAAAGAAAATACAGAGATACACATCCATGTGGCAGGACTCCCTTTGTTTAGAAATAGTACATTATTCAGTTCTCTGTGATGGAACGACAACATATTTCTGTATTGTTTTGTTCATGGGGAAGCAAACTGTTCTAACAGACATTTCAATATTGAAACCATGTACCTCTTGGTACCATCACAAATAATATGGTGAAATGGAGACCTTAGACTCCCACGTGCACCTGAATGTGTAAGTGTAATCTGACTCAATGTGCACATTATTAATGAGTAGCAGCCTCATCATCAAATGTACTGAATTACAGGAGAAGTAAAAGATTTGACATCATGGTTTGTTTTGTCTCTGAAGGCATTAGGGAAAGGCATTTTGGTATTTCTAAGATGCTTTGCTAAACAGTCAAACAGTATTAGAAATTTTGGCATTAGTCCTATAGGTCCTTGCCAAACTGCCTAATAGCTAAGATATCACAAGGACCAGTAGAAATTTGCCATTATCAAGGGTTTTTCAATAATATGTTATCATTATAAGGACGAGAAGACCAAAATTGTTAGTTTCCATCACTGCCAAAGGGTAATAAACTACAGTTATATATACACTATAACACTTTAATCGTTCTGGGAAAAACGATACATTATTACAACAAACATGGGGTTAGAGCAAACCTTATAACTTTTCTGAGAGCCCGAGTTTAAGACTAACCTTGTGTTTTATTAGATATGGGTTTAAAATCAAATCTGTAATAAGCGTGTAAAACTATACTTTATTACACCACACATGGGGGTAGAACAATTGTGAACAAGCAAATATAATTTTAATATCGGACATGCATGCATTCCATCGGAATGCGGTTGTTCCGCCTCATTTGTTTCAGTACAATACATTTATATGAAGAGGAAATTATGAAGTAAACCCTTCTGAGTCTTCAGTTATCAGGATAAATTGTAAAAGGTTTGCCCAACAGATTGGGTACATGTCAAGTTTGGGATTTTTAACAATTTTTACAGAAATAAAGTACTCTCCTGAGAATTCAATATGTAAGAAATAGTGAAACATGAAAAACAAAAATGAGAGGAGTAAATCCTTTGTGGTCAAATGTGCACCTGGCATCAATATTCTGTCAATTAAACCACCCAAAACAATTTTAGAAGTTGCTGTTAGGAACTTGCCACAATGACTCACAATTACACTGCAAAGGTAACATGGACATGCTGCAGTTTGAAACATTTACATGTTAAAATACTAAACTTGTTTGTTTCTAGCTGTTTTCTCATACAGAATAGTTGACTTGACTCAGTGTCATGGTGATGGGTGTAAGTCAGTTGTCAGTTGTCCTACTTTACCTTTATGAGTGAGTCTATGGACGCTATTCTGTCAAGTGACTGGGTTTTCCACACAAAATGTTGTATATGCAGTATCGAGATACATATCGTATGATGGCTTCTGTATCAAGATATGTATGGTAGGGTGTGTTCACTGACAGTAGTATGCAGGATGTTTACAGGAGGATTATTGTTGATTAAGGAACTTGGTCAGTGTTGCCTTTGTGATTTAGTGTCAAGCTAAGACAACTTCTGTTGAATTTACCAACTCAGTGTAATGAATCTGGTTTTAATTAATCAAGTCTTGCTACAACACACACATTAGGTTATCCCCAAGAAATGTATTATTCAAAGTGTTTAAAATGCCTAAATTTATAACTGGTTGATCAAGTAGCTGTTTTACAACAGACTATTTATAACTGAACACATTGAAAACAATAAAGTCACTAAAATATGAATGTTTTACGAAAGTGGAGAATACATCATGGAAGCCCTGTGCCACAGAAACAATCAGATCGTGACAGTTGAAAAGAACAGACCCACAACTGAATGTCAACCTCTTTACCTCAACCAAAAGGTTGTAAGTCACTTTTTGAAAGGCATATTATGGCAATCAATTGATTTGCAGTTAACATTAACTTTCTCTTCATATTCAGAATAAATCATTGATGGCCAATAAAATAATTGACAATCAACATGGTAACTCCAAACTAACTGCAGCAATGTTACTTGTTCTGCAACAAGTAATACTGTATGCAATTGCTCAACCAGATGGATTTCCTTCACAATATTCAACTTCAACACTCTCTGGGACTTTGGTAGTTTGGTGGGGGGGGAGTTGTTTATTTGTCAATCTAGAGTTTTTGTCCCAGACTTTGTGTGCTAGTTGTTTCTTTGTTAGTTGTTAATTTTTTGTCAGCAATATTCCAACCACATGACCGAGGTCTGTAAATAATCAAGTCTGGACCAGACAATCCAGTGATTGACATAATGAGCTTAGATATGTACAATACAATACATGCATCAACCAAGTCAGCAAGCCTGACTTCCCGATCCTGAAGGTCAAGTGAGCACATGGGTTGCTGAAGACAGATCTTCACCGACTGTCTCCGTTCTTTGGTGATATCAGACAGCTTGGTGATCATGACATAATGTGACACCATGTTTACTATGTTATGATTCTTAAATCAGCACTCCTGAATGATATCAACATGATTAATGTTTAATTTAATGAGCCTTGTTAATTAAATAAGGTTCCTGTTTTCTCATCCAAGTGTAAAAAAACTCTGCAACAATGAAGCACCACCACAAGCAATGAACCCTCATCCTAGTGTTTTACAACATCAACATTCATCATATAACAACAGATTTGCTGACTTGAAGAAGTATACTTCAGACATACCATGGAAGTCACTCGATGTCACCATATTTGGACATGATAACTGACCAGTGAGACTGTCTTCCATGTGGGCACTATCAAAGTAATAACTACCAGTGTTACTCGTACATGTCAGTAATGTCACACCACACATAAGAAAGATGTGGGAAATACATAACTGCATTTGTTTTTATCATGTTTATTCATTTGAGAAATTAGTAGCAAAGTGTTCTAAAAGAATAAGGCTTTATCTACACGTGGACAAATATTCAAAAAGTTTGAATATTACTAATAATATGATGACTATGTTTATGTAAGAATGTTGGTCCTGTGTTTCTGTATGTTCTGTAGTAAAGTGGGAATGTGGTCAGGCAAAATGCACAGTATAAGGCTGAAAACAAAAACATAATTGGTTCTCAGGCAATAGCTTTTGAAAATATCGTACGGGTGGGTGGCCTTTTTTTTTTGTGGTTGCGTACAAACTAGTAAGAATTCAAATCCATATATCGCTGTGTATAAGGCGAGTTTTTCATAACTAGAATTAGGAGGCTTTCTGTGTGTGGGGGGGATGGGGGGTGGGGGGTTGGGGGGGGGGGCAGCATCCTTTACACAGGGTTGAGTTTTTTAATGTTTTTGTCCGCAACACAAAGACATTACTGATAACATGTAACACCAGAAATACCATGTCAACAAATCCGTACTGAAGTATGCTAATTAATCATATAATTACACTGTCTGGTTATAAAAAGTGTTCATCATATATCTGGACTTATGGTTGTAATTTTATTCAACATTTCATTCAATATTGTTTCAATTCATTTCGGCAAAATGGTATGTGAAGTGATCAGAAGATTGCAAAACTCAACATTATTTACAGCAACCAGGGTCATATTGCTGCTCTTGACACTTTGAAACGAATTTTAGTGGATAGAAATATCATAAATGCCATACATTGAATCGCCGAAAGTCACATTTGTTGTAGTTTGACCATTATATGTCAACAAAGTTTTCGCCATCGCGGGCGCGGGAGCATCGATGAAAAAATATCAGGCAATGGCGATCAGCTGAACCAAAGTGCTTCGCTTATCGTTATTAATTTATTTCACATATATATAGTAAAGCTGCAACTAACATGATATTGGAATAAATTATTCCTGATAAAATAATAGTTTCAGATCCCATTCTTCCGCTCATTGTATCAAAATCCTGTAAAATTGACCGAATCACCTGTAGATTTCGAGAAACGTGTGTACAGATGATTGCTACTTCCGGCTCAGGTTACGAGACAAGACACACGGTAATCTTAATCTCTGCATATAAAACAATGCCAAACAGAACAGGAAATACAATTTAATCGGTAAATCATCATGTCTAGCAATGTTTTATCTCAAATTTGTATGGGCCAAGTCTAATTGTTATTATCTGTTCGTTTCCCTGAATTTGCTGAAGGGATACGATGTAATTTTTTTCTGTGGAAGACAAACACATTTTTATTGCAAATGTAGGGATTTTGTATGCACTGGTGACGTGCTTCATTCTGATTCCCTTTATAGATGGGGTATATAATTTAGCATCGATTTCCCGCTTATTTTACACATGTAATTGTAAATCTTAAACTCTGCGTATGAAGTATTGTCCCACATACGGTACAAAAAATACCATTAAATTTGTATTTGAAACCATCATCATGTCTTGTGATGTTGTATCGCAAATTTAATGTTTTCATTGACCAAATTTGCAAACAGCAAAACAAGCACACAAACTCCTATTGCCGCCATGACCATAACACACGAGATGTGCAGTAATTTGAGTAAAGCAGTGAGCATGAGAGGGGAAGTAACTCCACGTTATATTGGATCGCATTGTTTTTAAGTTTTGCAGCACTTCACTGTTGGGGGCCATGTGTTCGAGACACGGAAAATTTAAGGATTTCTTTTTTTTTTTAAAATGGAAATAAAAACGAAACGTGCGGCAGACTTTATGATGATGCGGCGGTGCCTGAGAACCAAGAATATTTTTTTCTTTTACCCTAACCCTTCCTTTTTTATTCAAACAGTTAGACTTGATCATAAATCTCAGAAAAGAGTTGCAGCCAGCAGACAACCATAAGCGTGATAAGTATTCAAATATCTTACAAACGTCATTATACAGAAGTCCCAGAGGCTGTTACATGGGCAAAGGGAGGTAATACCAGTGTAACAGGAGGCAATCACTGATGACCCTGTGACGAGGATTGTGTTGACTCTGGCATGTCTAATGTCTACATACAGGGGTGTTCAATTAGTATGCCCTACTTGCCCGACCTGGGAAAGTAAAGTGGCGGCCAATTGGAAAAATAATTTAGTTGCCCTCGGGCAGGTATGACAATCTGAAGTATTAACTTAGAAGATGCATTGTGTGTTTGTCAACTGCAGATAAAATATGTTACTTGACATTTTTCTATTCCACTTATCTCCCAATAGCTGTTGCTGCAGTTAAAAAGAATTTGTTGTTAAAAGTTGTCTTCTTTTCTCTAATTTAGCAGGGCAAGTTGATGATCAGACTGGGCAAGTAAAATATTAAGGTATAAAATAAAATATAAAGTTTACTTGCCCTTGGGCAAGTAGGAAATGTTGGTATTGGAACATCCCTGTACACCATTGATCAAGTTCTCTGTACTACAGCCTTTAAGTTTAAGTAGTAGAGAGAGCAATACTGATTGGTAGATCCAATTAATTCTATTTTTCAACCATATTGACTGGATTTGGGTTTCAGCCAAGACATTTGCTCATGAAATCTGTGGCTTCACATGTAATGACTTTCTTTTGGTATATATTATTAAAGTTTTATCAAATCATTAAAAAAAAATGACACTATAAAGGTTTCAAGGCTTATTCATACACTGTGGTATTTGGTACTTGATGGGGAATGCACAGAGTGCACAGAGTCTCTGGTCCTGTTAGTAGAGAAATACAAGCACCTTTCACAACCACACTACACCCTCGACAGGGTGTTACCAGATACCAAATGGTGCATCTTATATCCATGAAAACTGAATGCAAATGAAAAATGGATGCAAATATAATACAGATGACTATGTCTGTCTAAATCATTAAAACTAAGTCAATTATAGCATTCAGGGCAGATACAATCCCCACACACCACAGAGGCGGTCAGTGAGCACAGTATATTGAGATTCAAAGATGTTCACATAAAACAAGTACGCAAACACATGCAAAAGCATTACACAAGAAAACCCACAAGAAAACCCACAAGAAAACCCCCGAGAACTCTGACCCCAGTTCCATACCTTCCCACACATGATAGTCTGTCCATCTTTACCACCTGCAAACCATCCTACAGTTCCCAGCCTACATCTATGACAAAGAGGAGACAACACTGTATGAACTCACTCTGTAGATCCGGGTCCTCTGTGAAGCGGGGGTTGTCCAGCAGCATGGCTTGAGCTTCCGACCATGTAGTGCAGTATGTGAGACTCGGCATGCTGTCAAGGATTTCATTGAACAGTTTGGTGTTGCGCTTTCTTAGTGTCTTGGCTTCCTCCTGAAGGCATGAGAGAATGAATGAGAAGCTACAGAAGTGGCCATGTTCATGCTAAATCCACACACCACGCAACAAGACACTGTTGGTTGAAGTGAGGTAAAAGTTGATGTTCTCACTACACCAACACAAGGTTCATACAAAAATTAATGTAGTCTTTTGTTCACCATGTTCAGGCCTTCTCAAATCTTTCATCATACTAGGCTAAAAGTAAGTGTGCTTTCAAAAGATAAATGAGGAGAATCTTACATTGATTTTCTGTCAGAAAAGCTCCATTTGTACATTCAATTACACAATCAAAATATTAAAGTCCAGACATATTATCTATAGACTGAATTACAGACTAATCTTTGGCTATATAATGTGATCATGCAGTATTAGAAAAAGTAAATACAATATATTTATTGGTATAGTCCTTGAGTTAACTCATTGTTTCAAGGCATTTAATGAAATATTTAGGGCTTCTCACAGCAGATTCCAACTGAAGGCTTTGTCAAGCTGGGCACCAATCCAGAAAGCAATCATAGCACTATGACTGTCATAACTGATGTGAAGAATGGGAGTTACAATTATCTTAGTGCTATGATCTGGGGAACAGGCCCTGGAGTTCACACTGCAGCTGCCTAAGATGGAGTTACCTACCTTTTCCCGTTTAGCAAGGAGATGCACAACATCATCAAACAGATCCCGGCGGTCTCGCTCGTTGACTGCCCGCCACGCCTCCAGGTCTCCAAACATGTTGTCAGCTTTCCTGTAGTTAATATTAGTACGATAAAGTGAGTTGTTTTCAATCACAAACAGTAACAAATTAGACATGTTTAGAAATTACTGCAACAGCAATTTAAAGTTATTCAGACAAGGGTTTCCAGTGTGTGAGTGAGTGATAGAAAGCCATAAGCTACAGTCAGCAATATTACAGCTGTACCACAACAGATGATCAGTAATCCAATTTGGACGAGATCATCCTCGATTCTATTATGATATAGACGCTGGACCAATCCACACCACAGCTTTCATTTCACTAACCTAGAACAAACATTCTTTTACTCATGTGCTTGAAGCCAACAACCAACTGCCTCTTCTGAACGAGAGTTTGGCTTAGATCAAGATTCGTACAAGCAAAGTGACTGGTCTTGGTTCAGTCCAATATTTAATCAACTGAGAAGGAAGTTTAGCTAGTAAAGATATTTTGAGAATTTTGATGGGGAGGGGTGCCCTAGTGCTACTATAATTTCCTGCTGTATCTGAGGAGACCGACACAGAGGAGAGCCAGTTATCAGTGATATCACCACTTGTTTCAGTCATGAAAGAGCATGGTAGCTCATGAGTCCAGGGTAAATACCTTAGCAGAAAGGAGACATGATACGCACTCGATACCCGAGAATGGAGCAAAAACCAGTGGTTGATATAACACAAGCACCTATCAGGCCAATCTCATTAAAATTCAGATCTTAGTTCTCGCTATCACTAAACTAAGATCTGAGGACATCCCATTAATGGTCATGTCAGAACCACCTTTCATCCAACCAATCAGAGCGTCACTTACCAGATCATGAAAATGACAGTCGGAATGTGTTTTCTAATCATGCAACCACGAAATATTCAACATGGGGTATTCCGAACGACAGTTACAGGTTTTATGATTATATCCATACAATCTAGGCCATCTTTAAGCCATTCCAGAATGTACTTCTTATCTGTTTTAATTTTTTTAATCGAGAATAAGTCAAAATATGTTTCGAAGCGTAGTCGCCAGTTTGAAACTTGAGTCGGAAAGCTCAAGAAAGCTGCCTTCTGATTGGCTAATGTCGATTTCTTGTCAGTCATTTCATTGGTCGGTCAAAATTCACAAAAGGTCATTCCGATGTGACCCATAATGGGATGTCCTCAGATCTTTGCTTAGCGGTTGAGAGTACTAAGATCTGATTTTAATAAGATTGCTATCAGGCAGGTCATGCATTGTAACTATGTTATTCTGTTCTTGCAGACAGTGTGTTGAATAACACAGTGACATTTCTACAGTACAGTGTATCCTCTGATCACTGTCATATTCTAAGCCAATGTGTGCCTGGTCCAAGCACTGTCAGCCTGACACAGGAGCCTACCAATGAGGTCTCAATGAGCGTCTGATCATGTGTCCCCTCTCAGCCTGTCCGGACTGATTGTAAGGTCTACAGCAAGAATTCTCAACAGATTCCAGAAAATATTGTAGAAAGTCGGAAGGCTACTAGATGATCTCCTGAATCAGTATAAGGGGCAGTGGGGTAGCCAGCCATGTTGACTCATGTCGCCAAAGTACAGGGTTCAATTCCCAACATAGATACAATGTGTGCAGCCTAATTCTGGTGTCCCCCGTCATGATACTGCAGAAATAACGTTAAAACCGACTTCACTCACTCCGAAATCAGTAAGGTTAAAACATTTTTGGATGAAATGACACTTTATCAAATATTTCCACCTTAGTATACAATGGTATATGTCAGTGAAGTAGGCATTCTCTACCTCTTCAGCTGCTACATCAAACAGTGGGACAATCGTACCAGTATTTCACTGTAGAGTTCATCTTCTCATTGTTACACAGGAAGTGTTCAAGGTCTTCCTTGGCCTGCTTGGCTCGTAGTCGCTGCTCATCCTAGCAACACAATAATAAGCAATAAATGTGTATGATGTCATAACATCATGAACAAAACCTATTAAAGAATAAACACCAAATGAAAGTTCAAAGAAATGTTGTGTTGGATAAATAATAATATACTCCCTTGTCATGCTTCCCGTTTATTTTGTCAAAATCTAATAGCAGGGAAATGAATCTCATTAAAATCACATCTTAACCCTGATACGCTTACCCTTCTGGGCAAATATCTGACAACCTTTCACGTCACATGGACCCTGAGCAAATTTTGACCATCCAATCCAATGAATCATAATGAATGATGTTTGGGTTTCTTGAGCCAATCAAATGTCAGCTTTCAGATGAAGCTTTGGTGTCTTTCTTTATCACCTTGGGAATTTTGATCATAGCAAAAGAAAACCACCACATAAGACAAATATTCCCTCAACAGTTCACCATTGTGGTGTAGAGGGCATGGCACTCAGAAACAACAGGGTGTATAAGATATCAACAACAATATACTACCATGGGAGGTGCCCCAAGATCTTTACACAAAGTAATTAAATCAACACTTACAATTTTATATTTCTGTATTTGGCATTCTGCTTCTTGGCATGAAGGCAAATAAATCTCAGGCCTTAGTTATACTTAGATCATGTCTTTGGCGTAGTCACAACCACACAGTGTAAAACGCCCTGCAGCAGTGGTCGTACCTTCTCCTCCTTAGCCCTCTGTGTCTTGTATTCATTGAATGCTTGCTTCTTTTCATTGAGATGTTTGAGCGCTCCATAGCGTGGGTCATTGATGATGAGTTTCATGGCCTGCTCCCAGGAACAGTTGGACGGCACCTCCTGCAACACAGGTGCAACACATGTACATCTACATCATTCTGCCTGCAACACAGGTGCAACACATGTACATCTACATCACACTGCCTGCAACACAGGTGTAACACATGTACATCTACATCATACTGCCTGCAACACAGGTGCAACACATGTATACATGTATCACACTGCCTGCAACACAGGTACAACACATGTATACCTGTATCACACTGCCTGCAACACGGGTACAACACATGTACATCTACATCACACTGCCTGCAACACAGGTGCAACACATGTACATCTACATCATACTGCCTGCAACACAGGTACAACACAGGTACAACACATGTATACCTGTACCCTACTGCCCCATAACAGGTGCAACACATGTAAACCTGTATCATACTGCCTGCAACACAGGTACAACACATGTATACCTGTATCACACTGCCTGCAACACAGGTACAACACATGTATACCTGTACCCTACTGCCCCAAAACAGGTGCAACACATGTATACCTGTATCATACTGCCTGCAACACAGGTACAACACATGTATACCTGTATCATACTGCCTGCAACACAGGTACAACACATGTATACCTGTATCACACTGCCTGCAACACAGATACAACACATGTGTACCTGTACCCTACTGCCCCAAAACAGGTGCAACACATGTATACCTGTATCATACTGCCTGCAACACAGGTACAACACATGTATACCTGTATCATACTGCCTGCAACACAGGTGCAACACATGTATACCTGTATCACACTGCCTGCAACACAGGTACAACACATGTATACCTGTATCATACTGCCTGCAACACAGGTGCAACACATGTATACATGTATCACACTGCCTGCAACACAGGTACAACACATGTATACCTGTACCCTACTGCCCCAAAACAGGTGCAACACATGTATACCTGTATCATACTGCCTGCAACACAGGTACAACACATGTATACCTGTATCACACTGCCTACAACACAGGTGCAACACATGTATACCTGTATCACACTGCCTGCAACACAGGTACAACACATGTATACCTGTACCCTACTGCCCCAAAACAGGTGCAACACATGTATACCTGTACCCTACTGCCTGCAACACAGGTACAACACATGTATACCTGTATCATACTGCCTGCAACACAGGTGCAACACATGTATACCTGTATCATACTGCCTGCAACACAGGTACAACACATGTATACCTGTATCACACTGCCTGCAACACAGGTACAACACATGTATACCTGTACCCTACTGCCTGCAACACAGGTACAACACATGTATACCTGTATCATACTGCCCCAAAACAGGTGCAACACATGTATACCTGTATCATACTGCCTGCAACACAGGTACAACACATGTATACCTGTATCATACTGCCTGCAACACAGGTACAACACATGTATACCTGTATCACACTGCCTGCAACACAGGTACAACACATGTATACCTGTATCACACTGCCTGCAACACAGGTACAACACATGTATACCTGTACCCTACTGCCCCAAAACAGGTGCAACACATGTATACCTATATCATACTGCCTGCAACACAGGTGCAACACATGTATACCTGTATCACACTGCCTGCAACACAGGTACAACACATGTGTACCTGTATCATACTGCCCCAAAACAGGTGCAACACATGTATACCTGTATCACACTGCCTGCAACACAGGTACAACACATGTATACCTGTACCCTACTGCCCCAAAACAGGTGCAACACATGTATACCTGTATCATACTGCCTGCAACACAGGTACAACACATGTATACCTGTATCACACTGCCTACAACACAGGTGCAACACATGTATACCTGTATCACACTGCCTGCAACACAGGTACAACACATGTATACCTGTATCATACTGCTTGCAACACAGGTACAACACATGTATACCTGTATCATACTGCCTGCAACACAGGTACAACACATGTATACCTGTATCAAACCTATTATTTTACCAGAAATAACATATTCTTATACCTTGTTAATTTAGATGCAGCTCTACATCTATTTAAAATAAAAATAAGCATAAGCGTGGCACTTTAGTACATTGCCGGATACATTTCATGTATGGAACACATTGACAAGTCACTGTTTGACGCTTCCTGCAGTCTTTCTATTTTAATTGTGAAAACAATACGTTGACATAAAACTAGTGAAACAACAACAATTATGACTTTTTATTAGTGAGAGCATGGCATCTATGATATATGTATCCATTCTCTGACAACATTTCACAGTGTCAATAGCAGTAATCTGATCGTGATTGCTCTAAATGAGATTGGAGTTGGTGTGATCTGCCAAACAGATGACACATGATGTTACCATAATTAATGTAAACGATATTGAAGTAAATATGGAAAACAATTAATATTCATAGATTAGATCACTTTTCATAACCAGATAGTGTAATACTGCAGCAGATGTAGCCCTTGCACATATTTATTTAATTCTTCATATAATCTTAATTCTGTAGTGTCTGCAACTGAGTGTTTGCTTTTCTCTGTTTAACTCTTACGTAGTGGTTAGGATAGTTTAAATGTAGTTCATTGTCCTTCATGTTGTAAGCCTTTAACAACCCAAGCCATGACGTGCTCAACTGATTGGCCAAGCTAACCCTCTAAGTTAACCCTTTGTCTCACTGCATGTACTCAGTCTGCAAACACATTCTACACAGACAAGTTGACAGCAAACCACTACATCAGGTTAGTTGTATATGTGTGTATATATTTGTACTGTATATTATTGCATTTAAATATTGCAGTATATTAAACCTGTATTATTAGTAAACTAAAAGTGTCTAATATTATCTAAATCTCAGCTATAATCTATTTAAGAAATTGTGGTAAACTAGGCTTATAAATTGTAAGCTTTTGTAATTAGTAATGTGTAACTTTTCTATCTCTTTATTCTTGTATGAATGAGACAAGAGTGCAAGTGTTGTTTTACGGAATATGCTATGTTAATATTATGGTACACATTTTAGACAATCAGAAATGTTTGCACCGTAATTTCCAGCCACCTTTTTCTTGTTCACCTCAGCGGCGCAGCTTAGAGCTGAGATTTGATGGTTGTTTTAAAATAAATGTGAGGTAAGGTGACCACAGATGAACCTGATTGTGTAGCCTATGGTTTGTTTAGCAAGTACCAATAGGTTGAAATAAGTGCCATTCATATTTCATGCGATATCGAGCTGTGATTCGAACCGAGTGCGAAATCTTGAAAAAGGACCAAGATGGTGGGTGTCACTCCTTGTCTATATATATAGAGGGATGTGATTTTTTTTTTCTATTTGGATATATTGTGCTTTACACGCTATCATCAAATTCCTGTGCACTATTACATGTTGAGTCTGTTACTGTGTTACATATCAAATGTGTCAGACCATACTTATCATGTAACTAGTTCTATTATTAGATCAGTAAATATTTATCGAATAACCTGGTACAAAGTCGTCATATGCCTCAATGTATTTTGTAAGAAATTCATTAATCTTATTATACTAAGAATAATTATCCATCTTCCCGAACATTGTACACAGCTAAAATAATGCAAAATTCATTTTACTTATTATTCTTTTTCATGTTTTAGGGTGTACAAACAATTTTACGGTACTCTTTTGGTACATTCACTGCCCTGCTACAATACCAGAATTAACTTGTGTACTGTGGTACAGATTTGTTGACATGATATTTCCAGTGTTGTGTTGGCAGTCACTTAAATAAGTAATAAAAACTCATAGCACGTATGTATTATGCACACACCCTCTCCACAGCTGTATTTGTGGAGAAAAATAAATAAGATTGTATTTCCATACTTAACTTCAGGATCATCTGTTTACTGATATATATTATATATGCAAGCTTGAGTGATTAATTTGCACCAGTCGTCAAACGGCCAGGAACACCCTTTTCAGCCAGCTCTTACTACCAGCATGAGGCACACATGGTAGCTGAATATGTAGATAACAAGTCACCTTCTCCTTCAGCAAAGCCTTGAATGCCTCCACCGCCTCCTTCTTGTTCTTGAACACCAGCGGGACTTCTTTCTTGGGCTGCTTCACCTCCTCCACGTCAGAGCTGGAGAAAAACAGTCATCTTCATCATCTATTCTAACTCTGGCTCACGACTGAACTGCACTCACCAGGCACATTTTATCTGTCTCCAAGTTTTCACAAAGTCTCCTTGCAGTTAAGACCCCCACTTATCTTCCGAGCTGCTACATGCTTGCCAGTCTGGTGTCTCACTGTACATGTACACAACACTGATCGTGTTAAGTCAGAGAATGCCTGGCTGCCACTAATGCATGGCAGTCTGACAGTGATCTCCCTGAGGGTCAGTCGGGTCTTGACCCTCTAGGGGGACGAATGCCTGCAAGATGCCGCCTCGCCAATGCTGCATTATCATTATATGTATTCATATTAACATCACAAATAACATGTTGTGGACCCAAACATGGACATTCCAAAAATAATAAGTCCAGGATACAAGAAGAGCTCAGTGCCGGGGTACACAAAGTATGTGATACTACCAGTTGTCAGACTTTCTTTTTGTGGAAGCCTTTGTGTGCTGGCAATTAGGTGCCTCACTCTGGCAGTGTGGGTTCGAATCTGGAATGGGACACAACCCCCAAAGGTACTAGAATCTGTACTTTAGTGACCACTTTGTGTGTTCATATGACAGCAGTGTCTGGTCCAGACTTAATTATTTACAATCAAGAATCAACCAATATTGGTTTAAGTTACCATCCTGAATTCTTTGGAGCAGTTAAAACTAGAGTGAGTGAACTGATGTCCTCCATATGAACCAGTTCACATCAGTTAGTCTGTCTTAGGCCATTCTAGCCACGGCCATGTAACTACTAAGCGTAAAAAAAAATATATCTCAGGCACCGCCGCATCATCATAATGTCTGCCGCACGTTTCGTTTTTATTTCCATTTTCAAAAAAAAAATCCTTAAATGTTCCGCATCTCGAACACACGACCTCAACTGTGAAATGCTACAATACTTAATAACAATGCGATCCAATATACCGTGCAGTTACTTCCCTTTTCATGCGCACTGCTTTACTGCGCATCTCGTGTGTTATGGTCATGGCGGCAATAGGAGTTTGTGTGCTTGCTTTTCTGTTTGCAAATTTGGTCAATGAAAACATTAAATTTGCAATACAACACTTGACATAATGATGGTATTCAAATACAAATTCAATGGTATTTGTGTACTGTATGAGGGACAATGCATAGGTTATTTGTCTCGTAAAATAAGCGGGAAATCGATGCTAACTTATATACCCCGGCTATAAAGCGAATCGGAATATAGCACATCACTAGTGCATACAAAATCTCTACATTTGCAATAAAAATGTGTTTGTCTTCTGCAGAAAAAAAAGACATCGTAGCCCTTCAGCTACGGAACAGACTATATCAATTAAACTTGGTCAATACAAATTTGAAATTTGAGATAAAACATCACTAAACATAATGATTAGCCGATTAAATTGTTTTTTGTTCTGATTGGCATTGTTTTATATGCAGAGATTAAGATTACCATGCGTCTTGTCTCGTAAACTTAGCCGGAGGTAGCATTCAGCTGTATACACTTTTCTCGGAATCTACCGGTGATTCGGCCAATAATATAACTTTAAAGAATTTTGATACAATGAGTGGAAGAATTGTATCTGAAACTATTATTTTGTCAGGAATAATTTATTCCAATATCATGTTTAGTTGCAGCTTTACTATATATATGTGAAATAAATTAATAACCATCCATAAGCGCAGCACTTTGGTTCAGCTGATCGCCATTGCCGGAAATGTTTTTCGAATGGAAGAATTTGACCAATCACTGTCCATGTGCCCGCGATTTCAAAAACTTAATGTTGACATAATAGTCAAACTACAACAAGTATGACTTTCAGCGATTCAATGTATGGCATTTATGATATATGTATCCATTCTCTATCCACTAAAGTTCGTTTCAAGGCGTCAATAGCGGTAATATGACCGTGGTTGCTGTAAATAACGGTGAGTTGTGCGATCTTCCGATCACTTCACATACAATTTTGCCGAAATGAATTGAAACAATATTGAATGAAATTATTAAATAGATTACCAACATAAGTCCAGATATATTATGAACTCTTTCTACAACCAGACAGTGTAATTACATGATTAATTTGAGTATTTCAGTACGGATTTGTTGACATGGTATTTCCGGTGTTCCGTGCCCACAGTAATGTCTGTGTTGCGGAAAAAAAAAACATAAAAAACTCAACCCTGTGTCAAACCGCCTTGAAAGCCTCCTAATTCTAGTTGTGAAAAACTCGCCTTATACACAGCGATATACAAATTTTGGATTCTTACACAACCAAAAAAAAAAGAAAAAAAAGGGATGCCCGCCCGCACAATATTTTCAAAAGCTTTTGCCTAAGAACCATTTTTTTTTTTTTCAGCATTGACACGTTTTGACTTGTGTTGAGAGCATTGAGAGGATTTATTCATCAGAGCGGTTAATCAATGCAGACTTGGCCGACATTTTACGTGAAAACATCGGACAAACAAACAAAATCAGCTTCAACTGTCTGCATAAACAATTCATAACAAGTACTTAACATAGCTTTGACAAAGGTAGTAGGACCAATCCAAACGACAATGTAGTGTTTCCTTGTTTTACTTTTAGCCAAATGCACAACGTTTTGTAGAAGTCATGTTAGGGTATCGATATCGTTTGATTATGGCCTAGCAATGGGACAAAACAACTTATTCATAGTGGGAAAAGCCACAGAGATACAAAGTAAGGCTGATAGAAACACCATCTTGGTTCAAAAATCAGAAAGTCTCTGGACACAGGCAAGTGACACGGTGCACCTACCCGCTATCGGAATCCTCTGGCTTGGCTGGAGGTGCTCCCCCTGGGGCGGCGGGGGGCAGCTCAATGGAGGCCAGGGTGGCCTGCATGGCCTGCTGGATGGCAGACGACGGGGTGGACGACTGTTTCAGCTGGGGAATCGGGGCAGACACTGTCGACGACAGCTCCTTCCTACTACCAAACCATTAGACAAGAATTCTATCAAATTATTTGTTTAAGTTATGATATCATTACAAACATGAGGAAACTGTCAGGTTGGCCTACCCTTATGATGAATCCAGTTTACACATCCATGATATCTTCAAGTTGAGAACAAATTTCAAAGATAATCTGTGTCTAAGATTGCATTACAGAAATGAGATAAATCAGTACATAGTATCTATCCCTGCACTAAACTCACCTTGCTTTCTGGTCAGATAGCTTTTCTGAAATCATAAAAATACAGAGCTGTTAGTGTCATAATATAGTGGCATGTATTACCCAGGATGGATATACAGTATGCATACAGTGAAGGTGGAACTACATCAGCATCATTAGAAACTGGCACTAGTCCTATAGCCCTCCAAGCTTAAGCATAAGGACAAGTAGAAATTTGCCATTATCATGATTACTGACGGTTTTGCTGTTATCATAGTGGACTAAAATGTTAGTTTCTACCGCTACAACAGAGCAGTGTAGGTGAATGGCTCATTTTGTCTTGTCTGTGTTTCAAAAGGTAACATAGTTGGGCATCAGATAGTTTGCAGGATAAACAGATACCCTTATGTCCTTTAGGTCAAAATCAGATAATACAGTTTGAGTTGTGTCTTCTGCAAGAAGATGTTTTGGTTGAGTACGAAGCAGATTGCTAAACTGTGGATGTCAGCAGGGTCAAGTAGGAAACAAAAACACAAATATGTAATATTATCCGGAGTGCCATCATTGTCTTCCTGGACATGTTGGAAATAACAATTTGTGTGTTCAAGCAATGCCTCTACAAGTTACCAAGGTTACACAGTCTTACTTTCTAATTCCTCCAGGTCTTTGGGCTTGGTCCACTTGCTCTCCTTGGTCTGAGAGTTATGGTAGTACACCTTGCCATTGTCGGACTTGTACTCCTTCCACGGACACTGCGACAACAACCGCTGAAACACACAAACACCAGTAGCTACACTACCATAGAGATGGACAACCCATAGGAACGGCTGACGACGGAGTCTACATCATTTATGGTGGTCATGTTTCTTAAGTGGTATTCCTTGACCAGTCTATGTTTAAACATACAAGACATCTTCATGAACCTTTACGCATATACATAATCCTAGTCTAAGTTGTTGTATGTTGTTTTGACTGTGTTCTATCTTCATCTGTATGCTATGAATTTCTTTCTGCCCCAATGCATGTCACCTTGCATAAAAACTCTAATTTTCAACATAACCACCGTAAGTCATACACATCCAAGAACATGAAGTGTTCATTGTTGACCAAAACATGGCCCACTTGACTGTAAATAGTATGGGCCATTTAGAAATGTCAAAATGCTCCATTGAGCATTGAGTATTCTATGTATCACACAGAAGATCTAGTACATGGTACCACAATCCATCGATACAGGGCCACAACAGTATGATTGATGTCTTCACGGAGACGCTCCAACACACAGGTTCACGCAGTGCCTGGCTCATACATTCAACAAGCAATGGTTCTAAAGCCAGCAGGGGGCAACTTTCTTCAGACATGAATCTCATTCTGCATCACCTACCATTTTGCGTAATTATACAAAAAAATATCAGTAGCACTACATTGTTTTTACCAAACAGGTTCTAGTTTTCAAGCATGCATGCGTTACCTCTGTGTCGGACTTGAGGTCGTCAGGCTTCTCCCAGCTGGACTGCTTGGTGACATTGTTGTAGTAGTACGTCCTTCCATCTGGCGCCTTGTGCTCCGTCCACACACTCTGATAACACAACAGTACTTTACACTACTCACCACACCTTTAGTTTCTCTATGTAAATGAGAGAGTGTTCCTGCAAGTCAGCAACATTCCAGTTACATCTGACACTAAACATTCTGGGTTAGGCATGACCAACAACCCATGACACGTGGACACAGTCAGATCACACAGTCACAGGACCAGAGTAATCAGCTCTTCTCACAACACAATATTTGGACAAAAATCGGTGATTCAACACATGACCATTTAGGGTTTTACATAACGCACAAATGTTGGGATTGGACACAGGAAGAGAATCGACTGCATCCCAGAGGACGCACAATAATCTTCATTGTACCTACAGCGCATCAAGAGCAGTTATGGGGGTCTTTTTTTTTATCCATCAATCATGACCACTGTCCACATGATCATTGATTCATTCCAGGCTCTAAAGTAATTATCTAAACGTACAGTACACTACAACATTTCATTACTTTACCATGTTTACAGGACCCTCAATACTAATTATTGGGGGACCCCTGGATTGTCTCCCCTTCTGTGTATTTCTGAGTTACTCTGTTGTATAAGGGAGAGTCATAGAGTTCTGACTTACCTTGTCTCCACCATCCACTGCAGTGGTTGATGATGCAGATATGACAGGTGAAGATGTGGAACTGCCTGCTCAACATACAAAGAGTACTCATGGTACATACAGCATATACAACTCATACTATAGTAAGTGAGTTGGGTTTAACACCGCTTTTAACAGTATTCCAGTTATATCACGACGTGTCAGCTTAATGTGGCAGGAAAGCCCGAAGTGATGCAGGTCTCAGACGTTTACCCCTTCGGTGAAACCCATGAGCATGGGTATGGTGCTGACAAACTTAGAAACATAATCGAGGCAAACCAGGATTCGACAACGATCATAGGTTTCTGGCGTGCCCAAGGGACGCAACTCTGCACAGCAAATCGTGGCGCCTCAGATGCCTTGGCCACCCGTGCCCCCTTTCACTGCAAGAAACATATTCGTGAATGGAAGAAGTATGTTCAGACTGATTTAGGAAAACAGTGCCCAGCAGTTGTATTCATATAGATTCTCAGAATTATCTTGCGTTGCATACAAAGGTTCTTAGCTGGTTATTTTAGTCAAAACACAGCATGCTTATTGCTGAGGTTTTATCCATACGACTAAAGAAATTTTAACATCAAAGAGTAACTTTTGGAATGAAGCTTTGTTACTGAATCAGATTTCACATGATTTATACAAAGCTGACATGACGTAGTACTTCTTCCTGAGTTATGCTGCAACCATGTGTAGTCACGAAACAGTCACTGAAAATTTCTACCTTTCTCAGTTTTTCTACCTCTCCTCAGTCTGTCACTATGGTCACTCTCAGGTGAGCCATGCGACACATTCTGAATATCGCTAACATAACTTGTGGTCGGTGATTCTGTGATACTGAGTTCATTTCAAATGTTTTTGACATTATCAGAACTGTGAGTACTATATTTGCAAAAATGTGTTGACTTGATTCTGATTTGTGATTTTCCGCCAACAAAAGGCGCTGATAGTACATTGTGACGCATAACATGCGCATAAGGCAACGAAAATCATGGCGTTTACATTCAATAATAGAAGCAGCTGTCCTGTGGTGTACACTGTTTTTAAGACAGTAAGTCACTCCAATAACTACAAAAAATAAACTCATCCACATGAATACGCCCCTTGTCCCAATCAATAAAAGTTTGCGAGAATCCTGCAAGGCTGCTGCCTCGGCAGAACATTTCTGTCCCAGGTTCTCAGTTCCAGTGTGAGTAGTGAATGGAGTCCCACATCAGTCAACAGTATTATTATCAGAAATAGTAAGACTGGAATATAATGACACAATCAGCCAGATCACACATTGTAACAATCCCAATTCTTTTAATCTCTTACAACATAATGTACTGGGGACTTTCCTTTTTACCCAGAAACCCTAACATGCCCAACATGAATCCCTGCCATCTGAGTACAATAGGAGAGCCTATCACATGTATATGTGGTGAACAGACCCAATACTATATCAGCCTCTGTTGTCACCATGGGTGGCTCCACACATCCTTACCATGGTCTGAAAACAGTGAAGCTTGAGCCACTAGGCTTCTCCACTACCCTGACACCTGCAAAACAATCTGATGACATTGGGTACACACACTCTCTAACATGTTATGCAACCAGCCTTGAGTTGCGTTGAATGCCGCTTTAAACAGTATTCCAGTTATATTACTGTGCTTCAGTTTAATGTGTGATGTCTCAGACAGTGCTGAAGATCCTGGAAACATCATAATCAGGTCGAACAAGAATTCGAAACTACAATCTTAGGTTTCAAGTGTGCCCAAGGGAAGCAACTCTACACTGCAAATAGCGGTGCCCTAGACAACGGGGCCCCCTGTGCCCCCAACTGGCCTTGATATGACATAAACCTGTTAACGTGGCTAACTCACACTTACCTCCAGGGAACATGGGTGGGGGCATCCCCATCGGTGGCGGCATGCCGGGGGGGAATCCAGGAGGGGGCATGTTGGGAGGTCCACTATATCCTGACAAATTAAACACAAACATATCATTGGGAGTTGGGTTCAATGCCACTTTGAACATTTTTCCACTCATGTCATGGTGTATCAGCTTAACATGCTTACGTGGGACACATGTGGAAGGAAAGCCTAACATAACATATGTTGTCAAATCTGGGATTCAAACCCACAAACAGCGGATCCTGGCATCGCTAAGAGACAAAACTCAACAAATTGTGGTACTGTAGATGACTTGGACATCCATCCCCCCTACCTTTACAGAGATAATCAAAGAGGAAGTCCCCCTGTGTGGTGAACATGCCAACATGGCCAAGACCAAGGTAAACTAACTTTGGGTTTACTTCTTTGCTTAACTATCTCTCAGTTGTTCCCCACACCAGTTCAATAGTTCCCCACACCAGTTCAATAGTTCCCCACACCAGTTCAGTAGTTCCCCACACCAGTTCAATAGTTCCCCACACCACTTCGGTAGTTCCCCACACCAGTTCAATAGTTCCCCACACCAGTTCAATAGTTCCCCACACCACTTCGGTAGTTCCCCACACCAGTTCAGTAGTTCCCCACACCAGTTCAGTAGTTCCCCACACCAGTTCAATAGTTCCCCACACCAGTTCAGTAGTTCCCCACACCAGTTCAATAGTTCCCCACACCAGTTCAATAGTTCCCCACACCAGTTCAATAGTTCCCCACACCAGTTCAATAGTTCCCCACACCACTTCGGTAGTTCCCCACACCAGTTCAATAGTTCCCCACATCAGTTCAGTAGTTCCCCACACCAGTTCAGTAGTTCCCCACACCACTTCGGTAGTTCCCCACACCAGTTCAGTAGTTCCCCACACCAGTTCAATAGTTCCCCAGTTCAGTAGTTCCCCACACCAGTTCAATAGTTCCCCACACCAGTTCAATAGTTCCCCACACCAGTTCAATAGTTCCCCACACCACTTCGGTAGTTCCCCACACCAGTTCAATAGTTCCCCACACCAGTTCAATAGTTCCCCACACCAGTTCAATAGTTCCCCACACCACTTCGGTAGTTCCCCACACCAGTTCAGTAGTTCCCCACACCAGTTCAGTAGTTCCCCACACCAGTTCAGTAGTTCCCCACACCAGTTCAATAGTTCCCCACACCAGTTCAATAGTTCCCCACACCAGTTCAATAGTTCCCCACACCAGTTCAATAGTTCCCCAGTTCAATAGTTCCCCACACCAGTTCAATAGTTCCCCACACCAGTTCAGTAGTTCACCACACCAGTTCAGTAGTTCCCCACACCAGTTCAATAGTTCCCCAGTTCAATAGTTCCCCACACCAGTTCAATAGTTCCCCACACCAGTTCAGTAGTTCACCACACCAGTTCAGTAGTTCCCCACACCACTTCGGTAGTTCCCCACACCAGTTCAATAGTTCCCCACACCAGTTCAATAGTTCCCCACACCAGTTCAATAGTTCCCCACACCACTTCGGTAGTTCCCCACACCAGTTCAATAGTTCCCCACACCAGTTCAATAGTTCCCCACACCAGTTCAATAGTTCCCCACACCACTTCGGTAGTTCCCCACACCAGTTCAATAGTTCCCCACACCAGTTCAGTAGTTCCCCACACCAGTTCAATAGTTCCCCAGTTCAATAGTTCCCCACACCAGTTCAATAGTTCCCCACACCACTTCGGTAGTTCCCCACACCAGTTCAGTAGTTCCCCACACCAGTTCAATAGTTCCCCACACCAGTACAATAGTTCCCCACACCAGTTCAATAGTTCCCCACACCAGTTCAGTAGTTCCCCACACCAGTTCAATAGTTCCCCACACCAGTTCAATAGTTCCCCAGTTCAATAGTTCCCCACACCAGTTCAGTAGTTCCCCACACCAGTTCAGTAGTTCCCCACACCAGTTCAATAGTTCCCCACACCAGTTCAGTAGTTCCCCACACCAGTTCAATAGTTCCCCACACCAGTTCAATAGTTCCCCACACCAGTTCAGTAGTTCCCCACACCAGTTCAATAGTTCCCCACACCAGTTCAATAGTTCCCCACACCAGTTCAATAGTTCCCCAGTTCAATAGTTCCCCACACCAGTTCAGTAGTTCCCCACACCAGTTCAGTAGTTCCCCACACCAGTTCAGTAGTTCCCCACACCAGTTCAGTAGTTCCCCACACCAGTTCAATAGTTCCCCAGTTCAATAGTTCCCCACACCAGTTCAGTAGTTCCCCACACCAGTTCAGTAGTTCACCACATCAGTTCAATAGTTCCCCACATCAGTTCAATAGTTCCCCACACCAGTTCAGTAGTTCACCACATCAGTTCAATAGTTCCCCACACCAGTTCAGTAGTTCCCCACATCAGTTCAATAGTTCCCCACACCAGTTCAGTAGTTCACCACATCAGTTCAATAGTTCCCCACACCAGTTCAGTAGTTCCCCACACCAGTTCAGTAGTTCACCACATCAGTTCAATAGTTCCCCACATCAGTTCAATAGTTCCCCACACCAGTTCAGTAGTTCCCCACACCAGTTCAATAGTTCCCCACATCAGTTCAATAGTTCCCCACACCAGTTCAGTAGTTCACCACATCAGGAATATTGCATTCATCAGTCTAGAATTTGTCACTATTGTTGACAGCAGACTCTGATGCTTCAAACAATCAGATAGGACTTGGTTCAAGTTATATCAAGTTCCTTAAATTAAACCCTGAGGACCAATAAAGAAGAAGAGTTTAGTGCTTACTTTTACATAACTGTGATAAACATGTTAAATGCAATGTTAAAAATCCTCTGATATTTTGAATAAAATAGCGCTATTTTCCCCAAATTGTATTGAATTCCAGATAACTCTGTGACTGCTGTCTGTGTATCCCCTCACCTGGCAGTCCTGGTGGAGGTTGGTTCAGGTCACCGTGACCTCCCATTCCAGGTGGGGGGATGAAACCCGGAGGGGGGGCATTCCCAGGAGGTATCTGAAAGATACAGCTTCATGAGGATATCTGCCTTTCTGAGTGCTTCAATTTCTGTTCTGTTGGACAATGTCAATTTCAGTTCATGGTGTGATACACTCAAAAGGTTCAATGATTATCAATCTGCAATACAAGTTCCTAACATGGTAAATTCATCATGTACATTAAATAATACACAAGCATTCATGGTTTAGGTAAAACCTTTCATGATATATTGAACATTTTGCATCTCACACTATGCATTTCTTCCTTCTTCTTTCGATCCTTATGTGGAAACTTCCTTAAAGAAAGTTTCTAGCTAGTAAAACCATTTTGCCCGAACATCCCCATAGTCACAAACCAAATAAATGGGTCACTCCCTACAAACCAGGGCAAATAGACGTAAGCAGTCTGATCACCTGACACCCACATCATTCTCTGACAGGCTAGCAGGGCTTTACATGCAGGCATATAACGTGTGAGATAGGATAAGTATATAGATATACAATTTCATATAAAATTTTGAAATTTTTAAGCTTAACCTTATCTCACACAATGCATTTTATCACACAGTTGGACAGTGGGTCGTAGTACGCTAGCCTGTAGTGGTCTACAACTGGGAGAAATACATGAGGAACCTGGTGCTGAACATGCTTTTTTCAAGATTGTAACACAATAGCGTCTGAAAGACATGGACTCGTGACTGGGTAGAATAAGTGAGATAACGCTACTAGAACACAGTTACTATGACACAACGTCATGAAATTGGGTATAACATGTGTTATGTGTCTCCACGGAGGACATCGTTTCCAGAACAACCGCATAGTTTTGAATTAGGGAAACTATTCAACTACCACTTATAACCAATTTGGAAGGGGTCTCCATTTGTAGTGGGACGATACACCGATGCATCAGTGGATTGCGATATTTTATTTCTCGACACAGGTAAAAACAATCGCACACTAAGTATAAAGTATTGAGTCTTACCTTCAATATATTCTTTAATAAATGTTACACCAAACACAATTTACAAGTGAAAATGAGTTGTGAAAACATAAATATTTTCATCCATTGCACCATAAATGACACTGCAAACTGTAAATTGTTAGTGGGCCAGGAATTTGGCCATCCTGTCTGTGAAAAAGATAGCTTACACACCACCGATAAGAGCACATGATATACGGTATCGTTTCGGATCATGAGCAAGGTATCACACAGTTGGTGTCCCAGTCCTAGTCTCAAGTCAGTTAGTCTTAAAAGTCTACAAGACAAACCACGACATACGCTCTAAGACGGATGGATGATCAGTTTGGCATGCATCTCTTTTAACGCTTCGTCGAAGCTATCAATCCCACGTGGGATTGAAGCATGCTGAGACGAGAAGAGGTAATCATCAACAACATCCATAAGAGGATCTTCAAACCAATACTGAGACATCTCGTGCACTAGGCAGAGGTGAGAAGGTGAGGGTTTGGGACATCGCCGAAACGGACGCGCCTTGGGCAACCTCATCGTCGAAGACTAGTGTCTCTACAGACGAACGTCGACAGACTCCAACGAGTACTCAATCTGGGGACCTGACGTACAAATAATAAACAAAGGTATGGCCCTCAATAATTTATTCAGTATGTACAAGATACGAAGTACGAGTCTGTGGGAGCAGGTATGTGTATTAATTATCTGCGTTGCCAAGCCGTCATCAGTTTTGTTTGTTTGATTGTCGTTTAACGCCATACTCAGCACAATTCCGGCTATATGACGGCGGTCTGTAAATAATCAAGTCTGGATCAGACAATCAAGTGATTGACATCATGAGCATCAACCCACACTATTTGGATACGATGACATGCATCAACCAAGTCAGCGAGCCATACCGATTCCATTAGTCACCTTTTACGGCAAGCATGGGTTGCTGAACCCCTATTCTACCCCGGATCTTCACGGGTCAGCTGTCATCAGTTGTTGTGCAAGGACCAGCAGACCAAATTGATGGAGGCCTTGTACATCAGAAATGGAGATATCACGTAAGTAGTCGGAAGCGAAGACTGTATCCAACTTCCAAAAACATCCCTCCATGATGGCGTTGAGGCTGCAGATACTGTGCAGTGCCATCGTGGATGCGAAAGCTATCGTCTCGCGGGGATTCGCTGTCTGAGGCAGCGGCAAGTCGGCAAAGGTGTAGGCTCAGACCGGACATAACCAGATGTCCTCACGATTCTAAGATGGAGGCCTGGGGCGATATGGTAAATAATCTGTCGGGTTTTCCTGGAAGCTGGTTCTTCATAATGAAGTCCCAGTGGAGACAAAGATGCCATGACTGCATCTCAAAAACAAAGGCATGTATCTCGCCAACTCTAGCAGCAGTAGGGAGGGCCAGTAGGACATTCGAAGTCCTTTCCATCCAGAGGCTAATAATCTGCCATTGTCAAAAGGCAAAGAATAACACTCAGGTCCCAAGCAGGCGGATGTAATCTGGACGACTGTTCAGCAAGTTTGTAAGAGTTCAGTGGGACCCATTGTGTCCTGTAACATCATCAACTGGCTAGCGGGATGCACCCTCTGGAGCGATGTGGATGAGACAAAGGGGTCGTCCAATATGACCCAAAAGTCCCAGTCTTCCGCTTACTGGAGACTGAAATATTGGTACGACTAGAGACAGAAGGTCTCAGTCGTCCCGTAGAAGACGGGAGTCATTTGGTGGAGATGATGCCTTGCTTGGACGGCGCTTCATAGTCCTTCGTGGTAGTGAAGGTAACTGTCCTTTGTGCTGAAGACAAAGCCACATTGACCGCTGCGCCCTCTGCCACAATTTTTGTTGTTGATTCTGGAATTCCCCAATCAGTGATGATATAATCGTATGCATCATGACATGTGCATGTCAACATGGTTGGGGGTATTCTCCATATTCAGTATGAGCTATGATATTCAGGATTAAATCATGATTCCTCCTATCAATGTTTAACCTTAATCAGTGTTCAGAATTAAGCATCAGTGATAGACTGGGTGACCTGCGACTGCAGCAGCTTTTTTAGACACTGGTGATGGTGAACTTTCTTCGTACACTATCTATTTTATATTGGGAGATCCTTGACCATCATATTCATACAGATTAGAATACTGTAGTTGGAAACCTCAACATGCTCAAGGACTGGATAAATCTCTTTTGATCGAAAAATGCTCCTTACCCCAAAAGGTGGTCTCATCATTGGGTTTGGGGGTCCTCCCTGATTAGAAGACGCCTGAAAAACAAAACACCATGAGTTTGGTATTACCGATACTTATTTAAACATGTTAAACACCAATACATAGCACCAGTCTTTCAGTCATTTCAAGCAGTGTCAATGACAGCTTAATGATGGAGGAAAGCTCAAAGTGATGCAGAATGACCAATACCAGTAATTAGGACCACTGGTTCTATATCATGGCCAAAGGATATATATAAAGTATATAACTAAAGTACATGATGAAAACTTTTTATCAATAACTTAGTTACAATATGGCAGAAAAGGGGCAAACATTGCAGTGATCACTCAACAAATATCCCCATATTTCATAAGTGTAGCACAATATACGTGACATAAAATATGAATGTCATGACCTTAAAACTGGGGTGATCAGCATTCACTGTTCATGCTGTTGCACATCGCGCTGTGTATACTGAGTTGAAAATTAGCATAAGTATACTAGTCAACTTAAGGAAGGACTAGTGACATTGTTGACTACCATTTTTACCATTAAGTAGATGGCAACTCTGTAGAAGATCAGTTTTGTAGATTCATGAAAATTACTTTCTAACCCTGAATTGTTCATGTTGTATGATGTTGTGGCACCAAGAAGGTCCAATTAACATATTTCGCAAGTTTTGTTTCGATGTTGTTTAGCGCCTCACTCAGTAGTATTCCAGCTATCATGGCTATATGACGATGGTCTGTAAATAATTGAGTCTATGCCAGGCAAGTCACATACTGACATCATGATCACTGATCTACATAATTGGGATATGATGATATGCATCAACCAAGTCGGCTAGTCTGACCACCCGATTCCATTACCATGATAACCATGATTGAAATATAGCTAAAATGGAACCTCAGCAAAATGTCACTGAGTGAAATAGGCACCTAGCCTAAAGCAAAAACAGCTACTATTGCCTGACAAAAACGTCACCTTATTTTTTATTGCTGGAATAAATAAAATTAAACTCGAATGGTCACATGCAAACACAAATAATTGTGAAAAGTTAATCGCATTAAAACAAGTTTACATTAGAAATTAGTCTCAACTCCAATTTACTCGGCAACACTGAACATTTGTGAATGGGAGGCGCAAGTAAACTTATTTTTCACATCACATGTGTAGTTTTTAAGTAGCCATACTCAAATTAATTTAATGTCAAGCTGAAACAGTATTTAACATTGTGTTTAAGAGGGTGCTGTCAGAAAAATTATTATTCACAATGTCCTTTCGTTGCATGCGAGAAGAATGTCAGAAAAAAAAAATCAACATCCTGTATAGTGACTACTACATAGTATAAATCCTTCTTATCGTTATTAAAAATAGAGGTGCCCTTTTCGCCGACAATAAGTAGCCGTTTTCACCAAAAGTGGGGCAACAAAGGACCAGTGTGATGTGAATTACACTTAACATCATTAGCATGATTAGTAAAATGATAAGGTGGCTAAAAAAATATATATAAAAACTATACACTGAATCATTCGATACAAGGATGACGGTGATAGTAGCCAAATTAGAACACGTGAACACGTTTAAAACACCGATTTCGTAATAAACTATGTCGTATGCTACTTACGTTGCGTTACGTTCCGTTAATGTTTTATTGTTAAGCAAAGCAGCCAAATGATCGTCAGGTTGGCTGACGATGTTTCGGTGAACGAGGGGTTCAATGAGATGATCTCAAGACGTCTTTGTAAGGTTCGCGAATACCGAAGGGCTACATTATTGGAAACAGGTCTATCAAAATGTCATCAGCATTACGTGGTAACCGGGTTATATAGTATGATTCAAAGAAGACAAGCAACTCTCAAAAAGTAGCTAGCAGCTTATAGCGGTACCCTCCAAGACATCATTTCAATTTAATCGAAAAGTGAACGCACTAGGCCTACTCACCGCCATGATGCCGGAAGTTCATAAGGGAGGCAACTCGTCCATAAGCTGGGCCCCGTCTTTCAAATCATAAGTTGACGACCCGCATCGTGAGCCGGGAACCAGCTTGCTCGTCCAATCGTTTTCGCGCCGTCATATATTTTGAGAAACATATTAACACATATATGAACCAATGAAAACCATGCTCACTTACTCTGTCATGTTCTTAAGACTTCCGCCAATAACCCTTTTCCAGAAGTATTAAAAAGCATTTATGTAGGTTAAGGTTGCCCTAATCCATTCAGTAATAATATCACAATCAAATGAAAAGAAATGTGGGAGTTCTATTCAAACGAGGAAAGACGCAAAAATAGATCTACCACGTATATCCATTAAAGGCAAACCAGTAAAATTCGAAAAAATCGCGAAATGTTTATGATCGACATCTCACTTTGAGCATATAGAATATATTGAAGCAAAGCCATCAAAACCTGAACGTATTCCTGTGGCGGGATTGCGTCAGGTGCGCACAGACAACAGACAATACGATGTTCGTCAATGGCCAATATGTAATCCAAGATAGTATTCATGAAAGTAAAACCACCCAGGTGTGTGCATGGGCCTGGGTTGATATCCCACCTGGGGACGATGCCGCGCCAAGTTTCTACACAGTAGTACAAAACGCGTCTTGGAATTTGATCCAGAGATCCTTGTGAATAGCAAGTGAGAATATAGATATATGCATGTTTATCCTTATAGGGTTATAACTGTAGTGACCACTGTCCTTTTGGCCTATAGTATACAGCCTGGCTGCGTGCCCAAGCTGGCCATATAGACAAAAGGGCTTGAGTAGGGAAAGGGCTGAGGCTTTTGTGTTAGTGCACAGGGTGTGACTTTCACAAACTAACCATGCAGTAAGCATGCTTAGAAAAAGGGTTGTGACTGATTGTGTTGTGTGTGTGTGTGTAAGGTTGGCTGAGCAATAGATTAAGATGACTAAACCTGCATGCAATTATGTACATGAATTATACTTAAGAGGCAAAATGCAAGAAATATTCAATACAACTCCTTAATCCGACAGGAACAGCAATGTACAGCTACCTCACTAGAAGCACTACAAGTAAATACAGGAGGGCCCCCCATTGAAACTAAGAAGAGGAGGCAATGCTATCGTTATGGGGACGATCAGCAAACCCTTTTGTGAAAAAAATATAGCAAGCCGAAAAGAAAACGCCGAGATGAAGCCCTTGCTCGGGAAATTCCCTCTCAACAATGCACCTGGGCCCACTTGCACAAAGCGATCTTAGCGCTAAGATGATCGTAACTCCCATACTTCAGCATAGGCTTACAACAGTCTTAGCGCTAAGACTGCTTTGTGCAAGTGGGCCCTGGGATATTAGTACGTGGACTCACAACTTATGACCACATTCAGCCAGCAGAAAGTCACTACCAAGGGGTATATCCTCCCTGGACATTTAGAAACTCCCCAAGACGACACTGCGTTAACATCAGAAGTCGCTATAAAGAAAGAAAACCCAAACCTAGTACGATCAGTAGCGATCACTAACATTCTGGACAACGACAGCTGGGCCCATATACAAGTATATACACCGTATATACACTGATCCGCTTATACCTGACGAGCATCATTCACTACTGCATCACGTTCCCTAACGCCAACCAAAACTTACAGAATCAAAGGCAGTCTTCATATCGGACTTGCAGAAACTCAAACTCTAAGACAAGATTGAGTCAATGATATTCCATACGAATATACAAAACTCTCTGATCAGGGAAAACAGGTAGAACTATGTTTGATCATATCTCACATGGAAATGACAAAGTAGACACGCAAAGCGGAGATCCAGCCTTGTTCCCTTCAGAAAACTAGAGGTAGAATACAAAATAAAAGCCCCCATGGCCCAAAATGGCAAGCCCATATGGGACGCGAGTATGCTGATCCAAATGTCATATCCCCTAAAGCCAAGGAGATGCAATAGCGAAGACAAATCTAACTCTATTTCTGAAAGATGGTCCGCTATCTGAATAGAAGAGCCAAAGCAATTTTATCAATTTCTTTAATTATATATACATAAACGAGTGATTTCATCAGGTGTATAAGTATTAAATATAAAAAGTCCAGATATTCGTGCTTGTCAAAACTCCTATATCCACACAAGATCTTTCGCCGTTCAACGGCTCTTCAGGTGTAATGAAACCTTTAACTTACTTTGTAGTCTTAGGGGACGCATAACAGTGGCACTACCAGTTGTTATTCAACATGTAATTAAAGTCTCGCCCGCCGACCTGATTGTGGCGGCGTAAATCTGAAGTGCCAGATGTTGTTATGCAATTTTTTATCGCTAGTATGTACCAACAGGTCTTAAATGGTTAACCGACAACTTATGAATTGAAGGCGAATTTCACAAAAAGTTGAATAAAATATAGCAATTTTAGCACTGTTACAATAGTATTTGTGGCGTCGTAATGCCTATATATATATATGTTTAACAGTGACAATAGAGGGAGAAGTAAAACGTAGATATCAATACAAAAGCAGACATCTATCAATACTAAAATCTCCATGTGGATGGGTGTGCATGTGTATGTACCTACTCACGCACGAGGCCCAAAGAGGTTGCAGGTCAAACGAGATTGAGGCAGAAGGCGACCTATTAAACACTTAATAAGCGACGGAGAAGTATTTCAGTAATTGGATTCACAGCTGAATGACCACCGTCACCTTATTGCGATTATATCAATCGCGTCACGCCACTAGCCTAACGTGTTACATCAGATATATAGAGGTCACATCTATTAGGAATATGTATCATAAACTGGAAATGAAGACCTTGGTGTTTCGTCAGGGTATCTATACAGCTTGGCTTCCCAGTTTAATGAATATCAAATATTCCTGATTGCTATGGGTATCCATTATCACCATACATAAGTCATTGGGCATTGAGCGCAACCTATCCTTGTAGTGCCACGATGTTCATGAATAACATGGTTAACTTATATTCTGACGAGGTGTCTGTGAATGGAACAGCTGAGAGCTGTAGTGGGGTCCGAGAGTCATGGCATTGATTGTGGCCACATCTCATGTAGCAGCTAAGTTTTGCGTTACATGCAAGCCCCTGTGTATGAAGCTGGAGTTTTTGTTGAATGCAAATGTTTCTATCTTGGTGATAAATGCTGTTATGAACATTGTTTTAGAATCAGCATCTTATCGCTTGTTATAATCGATCTCGATGAAAGATGCGCACTTTTTTGAGAAAACAAGTATATATTGTCGAACCATCAGCTGCAAATGTTGTATCCATACGCCACCCTTATACCAACATCTTTCTTCAACTTTGAATTGTTCAGTGTAAATCCTAACTAGGCTCCATGGTGACCAGGGCCCCGTTCCACAAAGCGATCTTAGCACTAAGGTGATCGTAAGTCCCATACTCTAACATAGGTTTACGATCATCGTAGCGCTAAGATCGCTTTGAGGAACGGGGCCCTGTTCCAGCTCAAGTCGAGCTATTGTAATTTGGGTGTCGGCCCGGGAGTGCCAAATTTGATATTTAGGAGGAAAACTCCTCTTGGCGTTCCCGGGACCAGTAAGGACTCAGACACGGTTCATTGAAACCGGATTTGGCACTCCCGGTACCAGGCAAATAAAACGAGAACAAAGGAGTACCACTCATCAATTTCATTACCGTATTTATACATTAGAGTTTTAAATGTACAGAGTGTGGGCCAGTTCTTCAACATGGGAGAGTCTGTCTTCACAGGTTGAAAGGCGCGCAGTACACCCGACGACAGCACACCTCCACTACTTTGTTTCATGATGCGACGATATTAATATACCCGCCATAGTACAGTGCCTGCCCGCCTCTCACTCTCTCTAGTAAAATCACACTCACTTGGGCATTTGCCATTTTGGTGGTATATTGTTGTTGTTGTTGTTGCTTTAAGTGTTTAAGAGGTCGCCTTCTGCCTTAGCAATTTCGGCTGATCTGGCCCTCTTTGTGACTGGTGTGTGTGAGTTGGGTAATTATATCTATTGCGAGTTTTAGTATTCATAGAATTTCTGTTTTTGTATTGATATGATTTCTGTTTTCGTATATTGATATAATTTCATTTTTATCTTTGGTATATACGTTCGTGTAGCTGTCCATCTAGTTTTGATCTTAAGCGCTTTATCTGTAAACACATCCGCATCGTGAGTAGACTCACTAGCTGCAACTGTAAACACAGTCAAAAACTGAATAACTCGTTTATATAATAATTTTACTAATGTAAAGGCTTTACAATAAATAAAGAAGTTGTTATCCATAATTATCTCTACTTTGTCATCCGTCAACTTCTAAGTAATGCCTATCAAACAATTCACTCCCGGGACTATCTGAAATTCAGATTTGGCGATCCCCGCCCAAAACCGTAATTTGCACCATCTTTGTATAATAGGGTAATCGTAACCGTTAGATTGATTAAAACCACAGAACTGGAGTTAGTAGAAAAAAGACAAGCGTTATTTTTTAATTACTGGAATCAATCTCATCAGAAGTGTCCCTAGCCCAGTGAAGTTGTGTGTCTCTAACTGATGTCCATTGATAAGCTGAAAGTGCATGTGTTGCAACTCGCACGCCCAGAAAACACTAATGAGTTCTCCATATGTTTTGGCAATTTCCCCAGGGCCCATTTTATAGAAGTTGGTCCAGTGGTTGAAGCATCTGCATCCTGGCATTGCTTATGTCCATAGTAAGCAGGCACATTGGTGCTGGTACGACTTGCAAGGACTGCCACTTCACTCAAGCCTTGTCCGTCTCAATGTAGATGGAAGTGCGGTAGATTGTTTTCAAGGACCAAGGATCATCATCTTGGATTAGGAACAACCACCAGCGAGTCCGCAGCAACCGGACACTTAGATCTTGGCTACCTGTGTTTGGTATAAATCCACGTCTTAGAAAACACGCTTGATAAAGGTACTTAGATCTGTACGGAAACATTGCATGGAAATGATTAAAAGGACATGGCAAACCTGAAGTTAATCCTGTCTCTCTGATACTACAGCTTCTAAAAGCCACTTGGGAAAAAGAAAGGATTCGTACGCAACGAAAAAGGCTGGCCGCACCAAAAATTCTTGTCAGATTCGCCCCTGTTTTCAACATTTTTCGTACTGACTGACCCATACCCAAATTTGGAGGACCCGAAGCCATTTATGTTTTATACCAAGACGTCTGAAACGGCATTGCTTTAACCGGTAGAGACTACAGCACTAAATTCTCATATATTCTGAACTACACTTTCATAGCAATTTATTTATAGTATTATTACAATATTTACAAAATTCACTCATTTTACATTTCAAACATTCATTCATTTTACATTTAACATTTTCACTCATTTTAAATTTCAAATATTCATTCACTTTACATTTCAAATATCCACTCATTTACAGTTCCAACATTCATGCATTTTATATTTCAAATATTAATTCATTTTACATTTCAAACATTCATTCATTTTACATTTCAAACATTCATTCATTTTACATTTTAAACATTCATTCATTAGTTTCATTCATAAGTTGGTGAATGAACAATCAACCAAATAACTCACTCAATGCGAAGTGACAATGAATGACTACTAAACAGTTATTCATTCTTTAATATACTAGTAACATTAGGATTGAATACATTAAGTTAACTAAATTGGCCCTGCTCACGTTTTGTTGTTTTAGTATACAAACTACTAAGTTCTTGGAAGTCAGCCGGTGAAACAACTGCACACAAGACGGTCACACAGTCGGACAACCTATGTGTTTGCTATACCAAACACAAAACAAACAAAGCCTTAGTTGAAAACATGTTTAATTTGATTAATGTTTAATCAAATCATACATATTTTCATTGGGTAAGGATTTGCTTTTTGGGTTATGAGTCATCCAGATGATTAGGTACGAGTGGGAACGGGCTATCCACATTTGAAGATACGGATGGGCTGGTTGGTTGTGTCAGTGGATTACTCTGTACTGTTGGTCCAGGTTGTGACATAAGTGGAATGTAAACTCAGTACTGCTGGAGGATGTGACAGAAGTGGATTACTCAGTACTGTTGGTCCAGGTGGTGACAGAAGTGGATTACTCTGTACTGTTGGTCCAGGTTGTGACATAAGTGGAATGTAAACTCAGTACTGCTGGAGGATGTGACAGAAGTGGATTACTCTGTACTGTTGGTCCAGGTGGTGACAGAAGTGGATTACTCTGTACTGTTGGTCCAGGTTGTGACATAAGTGGAATGTAAACTCAGTACTGCTGGAGGATGTGACAGAAGTGGATTACTCTGTACTGTTGGTCCAGGTGGTGACAGAAGTGGAGTACTCTGTACTGTTGGTCCAGGTTGTGACATAAGTGGAATGTAAACTCAGTACTGCTGGAGGATGTGACAGAAGTGGATTACTCTGTACTGTTGGTCCAGGTTGTGACATAAGTGGATTACTCTGTACTGTTGGTCCAGGTTGTGACATAAGTGGAATGTAAACTCAGTACTGCTGGAGGATGTGACAGAAGTGGATTACTCAGTACTGCTGGAGGATGTGACAGAAGTGGATTATTCAGTACTGCTGGAGGATGTGACAGAAGTGGATTACTCAGTACTGCTGGTCCAGGTGGTGACAGAAGTGGATTACTCTGTACTGTTGGTCCAGGATGTGACAGAAGTGTATTACTCTGTACTGTTGGTCCAGGCTGTGACAGAAGTGGATTACTCTGTATTGTTGGTCCAGGTTGTGACAGAAGTGGATTACTCTGAACTGTTGGTCCAGGCTGTGACAGAAGTGGATTACTCTGTACTGTTGGTCCAGGCTGTGACAGAAGTGGATTACTCTGTATTGTTGGTCCAGGTGGTGACAGGAGTGGATTACTCTGTATTGTTGGTCCAGTTGGTGACAGGAGTGGATTACTCTGTACTGTTGGTCCAGGATGTGACAGAAGTGGATTACTCTGTATTGTTGGTCCAGGTTGTGACAGAAGTGGATTACTCTGTATTGTTGGTCCAGGCTGTGACAGAAGTGGATTACTCTGTACTGTTGGTCCAGGTTGTGACAGAAGTGGATTACTCTGTATTGTTGGTCCAGGCTGTGACAGAAGTGGATTACTCCGAACTGTTGGTCCAGGCTGTGACAGAAGTGGATTACTCTGTACTGTTGGTCCAGGCTGTGACAGCAGTTACAGCTTCTGGTAGCTGTCGCAACTATGGAATGCTTGTTACAACTCCACAACACTTGATTCAAATAAATATAAGTTCCCATTACTAATCATCATAATGATACCAGCTATCATTAAGGTTATCTGTGTAATTAACTTTATTGAGATGGCTTCATTAACACTACAGACTGCCAAAATGTAGCTCTGACACTGTCCATGTGTTCACTAATATTGCATCTGCTTCAAATCAGCTTCCTGAGATAATAAGCTAAACTGTTCATAATCAGGCGAACTGAAAAGTCAATGCAATGACCCCACACTGAAAGACTACAGAACAGTCTTCACCTCACCCTCAGATCATTTTTCAATAACTATTTATTTCAGACTATTTCCATTTTGAAAAAGTAACAACATATTTATACTGTCAAGGCAATTTATTTTTCATCACCAAATATAAAAAAATGTGAATTAGTACAACCAAGAATATCTTATAAGTCCTAAAGAAACAGAACATGGTACCAATTTGTACGAACTCTGAGGGACAGAGTGTCACAAATGTTTGTGCCAACAAGGAGCACATCCTGTGAGATGCTTCTGTGTCCACAAGGTGTCCCCCTCTCAGTAACACATGTCTGAACACAGGTCACACAAAGCTTCCCTTACCATTGACAATTTTCAATGTTAAATAGAAAGTTCCATTGTATAAGTAACCTAGATCCATAGCATGTTGGACCTATTGAGCTGATTAATGATCTATTTCTTTGAATACTAACTCTACATAATATGTCTATTGATTTCTCAAGAGTAGAAAAATATGAAATTTGGTCTGAGACAAAGATGAGGGGATTGTTAACAGTGGTTGTAAGTCATGAAACCAATACAATACAGTAGAGTGCATTCATTCACTTAGCATTCCTTCAGATCACATGGGTACTTAACATCAAATTTCTGAAACCACAATCACACATAATGCATAATCACTTCAGTAAACATCTGCACATCTTATCTTGGGACAGAATATGTAGCACCTTTCTATCAAGAAGTCGTCTAGTCTTTTCTTTCAGTTAGAACATTTCATGATTAAAAGTCCATAAACAAAACAAATAACCGACTGCCATCAGCTTCCTCACTTCACTGCTCCCGATGTTTGGCAATTCGTGAGATGCTGAGTTAGTATCAGTATATAATACAGGTGACATGACTTATTCATATTCTTTACAAGACCTGTACATTGGATAACAAATGACAGTGAATCTGCAATGACCAAGGATCTGCGAATCCCAAGACTCCAACATACAAATAGAAGTTCCTGGGACTTTCAAGTGTCTTATACAAATAGTTCCCTATTCTCTTTGAATGCCCACAAGAAAACAAAACTCAATACTTTGTTTAGTTCTAAAAATAAGGAGGCTTCATCACACTTTCACGTTTCTTCCAGGAATAACCTAATTATCTTTGAATCCCAGCTTCCCAGGGAATTCATACAACAATCATAATGAAAACAAGAAACATATTTACATTGTCTGGCAATTACATTCAGATTTGCTTCTCAAACTGTAACGTCTTTATGAAAGTTATATACTACTCAAAAAAAGTAAAGGATCACCTGATTCTTTCATATTACTATAGTTAATCGCTCATGTCATGACAGATTAACTTTAACATTATGAAAGAATCAGGTGATCCTTAACTTCTTTTGAGTAGTATATATAAGCACAATGAGAAAATATCTTTAGACTTATATACACACGATTGGTGCAATCACACAGGATAAAAATATCATTGTATATATAATCCGTGTGCTTAGAAGTTCTTCATTGAAATCATGACATACATATTTTGTATACATCAGTAACAACACATTACGTTTTTACACAATTGCAGATGCCACATCATGTCCGACAACCATAGTTCTCTTCAGGCACTTTAAGGAACTTCCTGTTAAGATGAAAAATAAACCAGTCCTTGAATAATGACTCTGTTGCAGGCTAATACTAACTTGCTAGAAGCTATCCACTACATCAGTGTAAGAACATAGGCTCTCACTGCAGAGCTTTGTCTGATGTGACCCATACATGGAAGTGAGAGAGTTCACCTGTCATCCAATGATAAAGAAAGTACAAGGATTTCACCATTGTTACAGATCACAAAAGACAGCTTGGCAAAAACCCCAGCTACAGCTACTTAAGTGTTACAGCAAATGTCTGGTACAGGCAAACCATGATAGTGACAGGAACCACACGGGTTCAAACTGGTGGTCGGCTTACTCCACCGTTACCTCCTCAGTGATATGACGCGGGTGATGTGATTTCTACCTACCCTGTTAGGTAACTCAGGTGGCATATCTTGAAAATCCGACATCAAACACTTAAGTCATACAATATTGATAATAAAACATTATGCTTTTTCTTAAACAATCAACAGAATAACACACAAACTAAACAGCAAGAAACATGACGTGTGCCAACTGCAACCCATTAAGCTCATTGGCTCTTGTACACAGCAATATGTGGTTTAGAAGTTTGGTGGAGTAGTTTTCAAATTGCAAGTGCGGCGTTTGATGTCCAGAATTATAGTGTATTGTTTCTCAGACATATAGGACAAGTACTTGTGAAATAACAGAACATCCTAAATTTCACAACACAAGAAGACTTCATATGGTGCAACTTTGTCTTGAACTGGATGAAAGGCAGTCCTCCAACACTGTTTATTTACATCCTACAAACTGAGTTGAAAATGGCAAGATTGTTCTTTCAAAATAAAAACAGTATATTTGAAGAACCCCTGTCCATGGTGGATCCTCAGATGTGTTCTATATATCCAAGCAATGGTAGGTCTTATTTGTCCAAAAAACTAAAAAATAATAATGAAGTTACATTTTGAATACATACACATCACCAACCAAACTTTAAACATCACTTACCTTAACAACATAAAAAGATGCTCAAGGGCATTTATTCATAAATAAGGAACCATGAACGAACAAAACACAAGTATGTAACAGGCAGCTTTCTGTGACGTCGCTGCATCAATATATTGACATAATGACATGCATTAATGACAAACAGCAGTGCATATTTCTGCCCTGTGTCTGTGACAAGCCAGGTTACAAGTCCAGTATTAAACCTCCCATAAACAAACCTCGAAGCAGTACTGATGTGAGAGGGGTCTGAATGTTTGTCTCCTGCACAGCAGATGGGGGGATTCAACTAATGGGGGTGGTGCTCGGTGGAATGAATAACAAATGGTGGGCACTTCACTAACTCTGGCAGCCATTGGTAGCTGGCAGGAAACAAAGGCATACAAACCACTATCAACCATAACGCAACTGAGGACATCTACTCCCCATGATCAGAGGACCAAGCTACAGTACAGTTTCTATATTGCATGCACAGTCTTTGTCAGCTTAGCAGAGAGCATTCATTGCAATAAAAACAAAGTGCTTTTCAGGTCATGTTTTGTACTATTTTCTTGTTCTGGGCATTGCCAAGTCTCCTACATATGCAGAAATTTAATACTTCTCTACTGAGAACTAACCTAATACTAGGTGTTGCTTGTGTGGAGAACTGATGTTCGAAATGTCTATTCTGTTATTTAAAGGGCTGTTCTATCCAGTGAGAAGTGTAGCCTGACAATAAACACTATTATGATTTACAACAATATCAAAAGCAAAAACATATAAATAAATGGTGAAACAAGTGATGAACACAGGTATTCCAAACAATTTCTCAAAATCCTAATGCAAACAGCAACAGAATATCAAGGCTATGTCAAACTACTTGGTCACGTGCACATTTATGTGGCTTGCTAGCACTTGGTGCATGAATTATTTTCTGAAATAGGAGTCAGGTTGAAACCAAAATATTAAATTTATGAATGTTCTTAATCTCTTCAAGGTGTTGTGTGCTGGGTGAAAGTCAAAGCGTTACTTCTCTACAACTTAGAACTTTGTTAGCATTACGAAAATTATAGCAGATTTGGGGGAAGAAGACATTTTGTTCAAAATAGTCTAATTTAATGAAATTGTGAAATTAGGGTTCAAGGATAAGTAAAACAAGTACCTAACACAACACACCTTGTTTCTGTGTTCTGTGGGACTTTCTACAAACATGACTGACATTGCTTCCTTACCCTGACCTGGGTCATCAGCTTCCTTACCAGAGGCACAGATAAGCAGCATATGTTTTGATGGCATTGCTCAGACATTAAGCAATGCTTTAATTGCCTGGCATCAGAGCATCGGAATTAGTCTGATATCAGGAGCATAGCCATTAGCCTAAATATCAGGAGCATAGACATTAGCCTAAATATCAAGAGCATAGACATTAGCCTAAATATCAAGGGAATACTGGTAGACATGATCTATGCATATTAAAAGCATCAACATGAGCCGCCATGTCAAGAGCATAGATACATGCCGGGTGTTAACTTCACCCAGGAGGTGTGACATGATGACTACCTCTAGTTGATGGCTGGAACGTCACTGTCGTGTTGTTTGATCGGTAAATGAGGAGCATAAATAAGATGGACATGATACAGTTAATATTGGTTATGATTGTACAAAAATTAAGAATATTAAATAAATACACATCTGGTGATTTTCCATACCTATAAGGTGAACATAATATAAATAGTTTCACACAAAATCAACAGGCTGTTTGTTGATGGGTGCTTCTCCTACAGTTAATGAAGTACTAGTAGACAACATCCCTACATTCACCATGAAGTTGTTGAACACTTGCATTAAGCATCACAAAAAGGCGGAATAAATGCTTATGTTATGGAATGAAAAGAATGACAGACTTGCACTTTGTCCTATAATTTGTATGATTAAAAGCAGCATGTGCATGATTATCTTATGAATGTACTGTCTATTATAAACACTTCTCTGCATATCAAGTAAACATGGAAAATGTGTTGCTGCACAGACATGATGACATGTTACTGGATGATAGCATCACACCGAGTGTGACAAAAACATGGGATGTGAACACTCCATCATGCTGTGATCAGTGTGCCAGGGCGACAAGCAGGCCACGAAGAACTGAAGGAGATCTTGCTGCCACAGACTCGAGGTGTTGTTACTTACAAGCTACATCCACAAGGAGTGAACACAGACTAATGGCCTAATCTGGGCTGAGTAAGCGGTACATTGACACAAAATCAAGTGCTAAACATCAGTATCTTGTAAAATAGAGGAACATGTAGGATATGAACAGTTTTAAGGACACATTCATTTGAGCAAAGTCTTCAACTTGTCTGATGTGAGGATTCAGCTGTTTGCTTCCAGCTGCTCACATTCAACCAGTGACACTCAAATCATGTATACAAACTCTGTAACTAAGTTCAGTGTGAAATACTGTAAACCTTGAAATTAATGCGAGCGTGAATTATATGCAAAAAATGCGAAAAGGTCTCCAGTCTCCACTGTGTGGTTCAACTGACCACTGAGTATCCCACTGACCAGTCTCCACTGAGTGTCCCACTGACCAGTCTCCACTGAGTGTCCCACTGACCAGTCTCCACTGTGTGGTTCAACTGACCACTGAGTGTCCCACTGACCGGTCTCCAGTGTGGTTCAACTGACCACTGAGTGTCCCACTGACCGGTCTCCAGTGTGGTTCAACTGACCACTGAGTGTCCCACTGACCGGTCTCCAGTGTGGTTCAACTGACCACTGAGTGTCCCACTGACCGGTCTCCAGTGTGGTTCAACTGACCACTGAGTGTCCCACTGACCGGTCTCCAGTGTGGTTCAACTGACCACTGAGTGTCCCACTGACCAGTCTCCAGTGTGGTTCAACTGACCACTGAGTGTCCCACTGACCGGTCTCCAGTGTGGTTCAACTGACCACTGAGTGTCCCACTGACTAGCCTCCTCTGTGGTTCAACTGACCACTGAGTGTCCCACTGACCGGTCTCCACTGTGGTTCAACTGACCACTGAGTGTCCCACTGACTAGCCTCCTCTGTGGTTCAACTGACCACTGAGTGTCCCACTGACCGGTCTCCACTGTGGTTCAACTGACCACTGAGTGGTTCAGAGATAAGATGGAACAGTTTGACCCTGATACAATTAATGAATAAGTAGCCCTTCAGATGTATGGCCATTGCCTGTAACTGTAACACAATATATGTACAGCAAAAGAAGGAAACAGTGATCATGAAATAAAGGAATCATGCAGAAACGTTGTATTCCTATAAGCACAGATTGAATCTTGGTGCCAGATGGGCAGCATGCAATACCATATACTCATGGATCATTCTGGACTGACATGCTTGCTGCACACTCTAGAGAACAGCAATGTTTATTAATCTTTCTTCAAATAAAGTTTACCCACCTCTGATTTCACACATTTGGAATTCCAACTAAATCCTTTTTGATAATTATAGAGTTCCAAGCCATTCCACACAGACTTGTGGGAAAGGATATATTTAACTCAACAAAATAGTAACGACCCAACATGTTACAATTCAGTGTTTGAAATTTAAAGCATTTACCTTGTAAAGATTTGCATCATTTGACATTGTATAGATGCTTGTGAGGCAAAGATATTTTCCACCATGATGGACTTTTCAAAGTTAAACAGAATATTTTGAGCAAGATCACGTTAAACACAAGATTGAAGACACATTGATGATACTTGAAACTAACAGCTGACATCATGAGTGATCATTCCTTGTAACTAATGTTGTTATTTCTTGTTCTAAGATTTGTTGTTCCATTCATTTCTGTTTTGGTTGGTTCTGGCTCGGAGTCCTCGTCGGACAGATCTGCATCACTCTCTGTGTCACTCCGAACATCTTTCTGCAGCTGGAAACAGAAACATCAGCATCAGTATATGGAAGACCTGCCATTTTATTGCTTAACACCGCACTCATCAATATTCCAGTTTCATAACGAGAGTGAACATAATCATATTTGGACGAGACAATCTAGTGATTGATATTGTGAGCAGCAATCCACTCATCAGGCCACAGTGACACACCATCACCAAGCCACCAAGCCTGACCACCACAGGGTTGCCTCTTACGACCAGCATTGGTTACGGGGGAGCAAATCTAACACTGCATCTTGATGGAGATGTCAACCTGCCAATAACTGACTAAGGCCAGCCAACCTAGTGGTCAACTGCATGAGCAACAGCCTATACCCTTGATCCTCATATACACAACAAGAGGACAAAGTCATATATATTCCCCACAATGGTAAATATCTGTTGTCAATACATCAACTAGTAATACTGACTGCAAAACCGTCCCCATTTTCAGACTAAATCAAAGTTGTTGCTGTGAAAACCTAAAAATTATCTTTTAAAAACTACTTAACTATCACAAAGCACCAGTTCCTATCTATGTGCCAAGTTTGGTGAATAAACATTGTACGGTTTTCAAAATCTGCTACAGAAATAACATCTTGCACGGACGGGGGGTATCCATTTAATTTGAACACAATTCCTCAATAGTTGGCTCTAAGACAAGCATGGGGTACTTGGGCCATCTTTCACCTCATTACCTCGCCACTGATTCTGAAACCTGAATCAAATTACTGTATTTCATGTAATTCAACAGTACTGATGGCAATGTTTTGCACTCACAGCTCCATGTGTGAACTTCTGGAGAGCTATCTTGAGGATGAGGTATGTCCAGATGGTGTGGAGCACGAGGAGGCCAAGCAGCAGAACCGTGAACATCCGGTGAGAACTGAAGGGGGGCACATATTCAGTGATCTCAAACACCACCGAGTTCAATACTCTGAAACATAAACAAATGATATTAACACACAACACAATAAAACTTGACAACACCAACCTTCATGGAAGAAATATAGCCCCTCCAGTGACATCTGAATAGCAAGCTATTTATGTTGCAATCATGCTGACCAAATAGTGCCAACGTATCCCAACAGGGTATATGTCTCTTATCCTTGAATCCAATGGTCCCTTGATGAGAGATACTATTGTTTGACACGGTAAAATCTTGTGAGTCTGTGCCATGTTAATATAGCAATCTCTCCTTCGAGAAAGTCATTTATATAAACACAATACTCTGAACCAAATTTCAGAAATCAAGAAATGTAAATATTTTGACAATTTCTGTGGACCTAGGTAAAGTGAACCAGTGAGAGTTTATATTGTTTCTATCTGACCTAGGTACAGCGTGGCAGTGAGAGTTGTTACTGTCTATATCTGACCTAGATACAGCGTGGCTGTGAGAGTTGTTACTGTCTATATCTGACCTAGGTACAGTGTGGCTGTGAGAGTTGTTACTGTCTATATCTGACCTAGTTAAAGTGAACCAGTGAGAGTTTATATTGTTTCTATCTGACCTAGGTACAGTGTGGCAGTGAGAGTTGTTACTGTCTATATCTGACCTAGGTACAGCGTGGCAGTGAGAGTTGTTACTGTCTATATCTGACCTAGGTACAGCGTGGCAGTGAGAGTTGATATTGCTTATATCTGACCTAGGTACAGTGTGGCAGTGAGAGTTGTTACTGTCTATATCTGACCTAGGTACAGCGTGGCAGTGAGAGTTGTTACTGTCTATATCTGAACTAGGTACAGCGTGGCAGTGAGAGTTGTTACTGTCTATATCTGACCTAGGTACAGCGTGGCAGTGAGAGTTGTTACTGTCTATATCTGACCTAGGTACAGCGTGGCAGTGAGAGTTGTTACTGTCTATATCTGACCTAGGTACAGCATGGCAGTGAGAGTTTTTACTGTCTATATCTGACCTAGGTACAGCGTGGCAGTGAGAGTTTTTACTGTCTATATCTGACCTAGGTTAAGCGTGGCAGTGAGAGTTGTCACTGTCTATATCTGACCTAGGTACAGCATGGCAGTGAGAGTTTTTACTGTCTATATCTGACCTAGGTACAGCGTGGCAGTGAGAGTTTTTACTGTCTATATCTGACCTAGGTACAGCATGGCAGTGAGAGTTGTCACTGTCTATATCTGACCTAGGTACAGCGTGGCAGTGAGAGTTTTTACTGTCTATATCTGACCTAGGTACAGCATGGCAGTGAGAGTTGTTACTGTCTATATCTAACCTAGGTACAGTGTGGCAGTGAGAGTTGTTACTGTCTATATCTGACCTAGGTTAAGCGTGGCAGTGAGAGTTGTTACTGTCTATATCTGACCTAGGTTAAGCGTGGCAGTGAGAGTTGTTACTGTCTATATCTGACCTAGGTACAGCGTGGCAGTGAGAGTTGTTACTGTCTATACAACTCTATATAAGTACAACTTACCTGAAGGGGTAGATAATCATCCGAGACACAATCCAGATGACAATGAAACATGCGAACAGCGCCTCACAGATAGTCTGGTGTTTACTGTACTTAGCCATCTTTGCTGCCTGAAATATAGCAATTTCCTGTTTAAAGACCCATGATAAGTGCATTTATATGAGTTCCCTTGTTGCAATTGGGAACCTGATGATTAATAAAACGACCTCGCAAAGAGTGACATTGAGGCCTGAGAACTACTTCACAATGTGACACTGAGGCCTGAGCCCTACTTCACAAAGTGACATTGAGGCCTGAGCCCTACTTCACAATGTGACACTGAGACCTGAGCCCTACTTCACAAAGTGGCATTGAGCCCTACTTCACAAAGTGACATTGAGGCCTGAGCCCTACTTCACAAAGTGACATTGAGGCCTGAGCCCTACTTCACAAAGTGACATTGAGGCCTGAGCCCTACTTCACAATGTGACACTGAGCCCTACTTCACAAAGTGACATTGAGGCCTGAGGCCTACTTTACAAAGTGACATTGAGGCCTCAGCCCTACTTCACAATGTGACACTGAGACCTACTTCACAATGTGACATTGAGGCCTGAGAACTACTTCACAAAGTGACACTGAGGCCTGAGAACTACTTCACAATGTGACATTGAGGCCTGAGGCCTTCTTCACAAAGTGACATTGAGGCCTGAGCCCTACTTCACAAAGTGACACTGAGGCCTGAGCCCTACTTCACAAAGTGACACTGAGACCTACTTCACAAAGTGACATTGAGGCCTGAGAACTACTTCACAATGTGACACTGAGACCTACTTCACAAAGTGACATTGAGGCCTGAGGCCTACTTCACCATTTGACACTGAGGCCTGAGCCCTACTTCACAAAGTGACACTGAGACCTACTTCACAAAGTGACATTGAGGCCTGAGAACTACTTCACAAAGTGACATTGAGGCCTGAGCCCTACTTCACAAAGGGACACTGAGACCTATTCACAAAGTGACATTGAGGCCTGAGAACTACTTCACAAAGTGACACTGAGGCCTGAGAACTACTTCACAAAGTGACATTAAGGCCCGAGGCCTACTTCACAAAGTGACATTGAGGCCTGAGCCCTACTTCACAATGTGCCATTGAGGCCTGAGACCTACTTCACAAAGTGACATTGAGCCCTACTTCACAAAGTGACACTGAGGCCTGAGGCCTGAGACCTACTTCACAAAGTGGCATTGAGGCCTGAGGCCTACTTCACAAAGTGACATTGAGCCCTACTTCACAAAGTGACATTGAGGCCTGAGCCCTACTTCACAATGTGACATTGAGGCCTGAGACCTACTTCACAATGTGACATTGAGGCCTGAGAACTACTTCACAATGTGACATTGAGGCCTGAGACCTACTTCACAAAGTGGCATTGAGGCCCGAGGCCTACTTCACAAAGTGACATTGAGCCCTACTTCACAAAGTGACATTGAGGCCTGAGCCCTACTTCACAAAAAGTTTGGTGGACTTACAGCCATCCAGTAGTCAGACACATCGTGAACCAAAATGATGAGTGCGCCAATTCGGACAAAGTTGAGAATCCAGGAAAAGTAGATGAGGTTAATTGTTATCAGGTGGTGTGCTGTCATCTCCAAGAAGTCCTGCAACATCAAATCATCAGTTACATGCTGACAATGTAGTTTGTAATCACAGAATACAACAAACTGTAGATATTTCTTACCATGGAAGCAAGTGTTGAATTAGACATTCATTGGTCATGTATTGGTAATTGGTTGAAAAACTCCTTTCGTTTAATAGAGATTCAATAATTGCTCTATTCAAAATGTGGATTTTTTTTATCAATGTTTAACGCCTTAGTATGTATGTTAATCAAAATGACATGAGCAGACAAAGCTGCTGTTGTTGCGGTCAGACGGCACAGAACCCACCAGGGATGTAGGATCTGTAACTCTTGGTGATATGGATAATGGGAGAAAACAAGTTTTAAAAACATTAATTCAGGGCAAGATAATCATGATAATGCACAAGTGGGAGGTCAATTTCATTGCTGGGTCCTGTAAAGTTTTTTAGAATTGCAGAACCCAGGGACTTTGGGTGTATATCTGTGTGAGTCCTGGGTATTGGGCGTCCCACGTAAAACCCTGTTGAAGCCCTGACAGAGTGTGAAGCTCCTCACCTTCCTCTTGACATCAGTTAGAGAAGAAAACAGCAGACTCCAATAAAAGCCTAACTCAGCAAGATAAAACAGGTACAGCGGATTGTCAACATGCTGAAACAGAACGGTGAGTGTGTGAGTTGGTGCTCAACAGTCAGCTCAATATCACCAGCTGGATGTGAGGGAAAAACCCAAAGTAATCAAGTCACAGACTTTTACCATTTGGGTGAAACCAAGAATCCTAACTGGCACGCATTTGAGAACAGAACCAAACTGCATCTGACCATGTCCACTAGGGCAAGAACGGACACAACTTTGGGGAAAGGAGGGATGATGATCACAAGTTTAAATACATGCCATTTCAGCAGTGTTGTACTACACTTCCACTTGTGTGTTTAGTTTCAATAAAATGAGGAGTACACCCTTTAAGATTCTCATATATATAGATTCATCATATAGATAACGATCATGATTACAATGTTTTCACATAAACTTTACCTAAAACGGAAATGCAGCCCAAGAAACAATTTACCTGATTTGGCCAGCCGACGTAGGAGTATTTGGTCTCCCAGAACCAGTCTCTCTGGAACAAACATGGCGACTTGATGACGAGGATGACAGGGGTCCAACAAGTGTACACAAAACAACATGGGGTAGTGTCACAAGTGAATGTTGGTCAAAGTCACGGGCAGCAATATTACAGCTACATATCACGGTACCCAGAACATTAACGAGTCTAGGTCTGACAAAAACCAGGCATTATAACAATGAGCAACATCCCATGCTGTCCCGGCATTGATGGTAAGCAACCAACCAAGTCTATGAGCCTGACCACCCAATCCAATTAATTGTTCTTTACAACTTAAGTTGGAGGGAGCACAGGCCACGGTCTGAAACATGAACTGTGTCAACAGTTGCTTTATACCAATACTTTAGTTCTTCTACATCAATCAAACACTTCATGTTGACTTGGTTTTTTTATACAAGTGCAGGCAAAATATGTAATTCTGTAAGCATTAAGATCTCTGATTCACTGGCGTGCCTGATACAGGTAGCAACGAAGGTACTTACCTCCCACAAAATATACACTCCATATACAAAGGCCGAGAAATAAAAGAGGAAGTGCCAGCTGAAACACACAGAAATAGTAATAATTACAACACAGAAATAGTAATAATTACAACACAGAAATAGTAATAATTACAACACAGAAATAGTAATTATTACAACACAGAAACAGCAATAATTACAACACAGAAATAGTAATAATTACAACACAGAAATAGTAATAATTACAACACAGAAATAGTGATTTATAAATTACAACACAGAAATAGTAATTATTACAACACAGAAATAGTAATAATTACAACACAGAAATAGTAATTATTACAACACAGATATAGTAATAATTACAACACAGAAATAGTGATTTATAAATTACAACACAGAAATAGTAATAATTACAACACAGTAATAGTAATAATTACAACACAGAAATAGAAATAATTACAACACAGAAATAGTAATTATTACAACACAGTAATAGTAATAATTACAACACAGTAATAGTAATAATTACAACACAGAAATAGAAATAATTACAACACAGAAATAGAAATAACAAGAAAACAGTGTTATCACTATCCCCTGCCAATGGGCACATTAGAATGCTGTTTGTTTATAAAGTAGTGAATATAAACTGTAAAATAAGAGTCCTATAAAGCCTTAAGAAGAGACAGGGACAAGGGTCGCTTTATGTCATCAGAATAAATTGATTAAATGTGAAATTGATACACACAAAAGGCCCCTTCTCTGAAAATAATAATTTATGGCACCAGTTCTCAAATTTGGTCTTGATAAGTATCTCTTAGATAAGCTAACTTCAGCAGTTTCTGAGAAACTCTGGAAAAAAATAATTTTCAGGACCAGTTTTTTAATCTTGACAAGTATCTCTTAGATTAGCATGCCATGCAAAGGTTCATTCATGACATGTCAGTAGTTTCTGAAAAAACAGTAAGTTGAATAGCATGGAGCAAGGGCTATAACTCTGTAAAAAAATATTTTACAGCACCAATTCCTAAACTCAGACTTGACAGGTATCTATAAATATGAGCATGCAAACTTTCATTCATGTAACTTCAGTAGTTTCTGGGAAAACTTGTCCCCATTTCATGCAGTATGCACTAAACTGAAAGCACGGAGCAAGGGCCATAACTCTTAAAAAATGAATTTAACACACAAATTTTCAAACTCATTTGAGATCATGACCAGTAATATCAGTACGTACACTTTCATTACTCTAACTAAATTAGTTGTTATGAAAATTTGTCCCCTTTGAGAAGCAGACGGAACGAATGATGGATGGACGGAAGAGCTCTATTCCTGTATTCCCCACCACAAGGACAGAAATAGTAATAATTCTTACACAGAAACATGGTAAGGTCTCTTCTTCATTAATTAGCTTACAGGCTTTTTCCCAAAAAAGTAGGGTAATTGGGCAATACAAACATAAATTAGTGAACATTTTAAGATTAAAATAAATGAAATGAAATAATGTTATAGATGTATATAACTGTTTTAAATATATAGGTGTAACTCAGAAAGTAAATTAGCTCGTAATTGTGCTTCGGAAATTAGCTTCTTTGTACGCATGCTGAAAAAGCTTCATTGGGTATTTACGCGAGCTGTTTTTATACATTTGAGTTTTTCATTTAATGCATGCGTTTCTGTATGCAAGTTAATTGAAAGTAATTGGGTTTTGAATATTTTGGGGGTTATTTTACATAAATACACAGTTTATCTGTAGCTCTGCATAAAGTACCATCTCACATCATTTGTAATGACTTACACAGAACAGCAATAACTTACTACATATTAAAAACCATTTAGATGAATAGAGTGTGTTCAAAGATCATTGTTGTGAGGACAAGTAGGGGTTAGGAAGACACACATTTGAACTGTTTAACATGCACTGGGTGCATTGAGACATCAATGAGCATTTTTGAGTAAATGCAATGTTTTTATACTAAGCTGATGCTACACAGTGATATTAGTGCAGCGTCAGGTAAGGTAAAATATAGTAAGTGGGTTTTTTAATAATAGGTTGCACTGGTGCTTGTTTTAATTAAATTGAGCCCTGTAATGTGTTACAAGTGTTGTTCAACAAAGGGCTTCCAAAATATCTCCAAAACCATACATTATTGCTCTTCTGAAAAGGTATGTGGCATGGTTTGAATTAAAAAAATGATGACAAAACATTAATTCAAACTTTTCTTGACCTAAAACTGGTCACTATGTTCCTATGATTAAATCAGTGAAGCCATTTTGTCACCTATGCTAATGGTCGTGATGGTGATCACATCTCTGATTAATACCCCAAAAGGATGTGTCTGAAGTGTTCAATGGCTTAATTCAGTTAGGGGCTGCTTGTAAACAAAAACATGCTTCTCTAGGTGTGTGTTTGTGGGCACAAAATATCTATTCCAGTTTAGGTACATATACAATTACACTCATTTCATACTGTCGTATCTCATGACCTCCTGACAACACATGTCATCATCCTCGTGAAGGACTAACTCACAACACTTGGAACACTTCCATATTTTCAAATATGTCTGAATGAGAACACAATGGGCATGTCAAGTTAAATGGTAGTTTAGACACATGTGTCAGTTATAACACACATACTGAATGATTCTGTTGAGTCAGCACAGATGTATAGGTCAGCTAGACAACAAGTAGCATGGAATCAGTGCATTCAAACACGGGCACACACGGACAATTTCAGAAGACAAAAAACTCTACCTAAATTCCATGGTTTCACTTACGACAAATTGAGATACTTTAACATTAAACATGTGTCTTATTGTCTACGTATGCATGACATAAATCTAGGCGTGCACGAACACCCCAAGGAAAGCCAATATTTAGTTATTAATATGCATATCTAAGCAGATATTAGCCCCTTTTTTCATGTGGGTTGCAGCAACCATCAGCACATCAATAACAAGGCACTGGAAACCATAGTTACAACAGATCAGGGGATACTCAAAGGTTAAGAGTGGTAATTATGAAATGGCTGCTGTCTGTGATGCCAATATTGTCAAATGATAGGAGTGGGTGCCACGACTAACTGACTGAAGAACATTGCCCAATGGTATTCACAGACTTTTCAATGCTTATGAAAACTGTAGTATCATTTCTTTTTCTTCGTCCCAAAAATGTGAGATTTGTAATGGCAACATTAATATTACATTCATAACACATTATGTCATGTCAGTATGTACAAGAACAACTGTACATTAGGTGATTTTTCTCTTCATTCTGCCAAACAGGGAGTACATTTGTCATTGAAACAGATGACATCATCCATTGTATCATCAGTGATAATGGGTGACAACATGGCCACGATATGGTCCTGTAAGTTCAAAATGTCTGCTGATAATTCTAGCGAATGGAACAACAACAGGACAAATCTTTGTCAACATATTGCTGGGCAGTCAAATGTCCCTTTACAACAACCAAATCAGTTCAGCTGTCATGTCTGACGCCACCCAGCACATGACAGTATCGTGCCCATATGCATATGGTCAAGAATTAATGCTCTGGCATACCCCTCACCACTACATCGCCAACAACGTTTTCTACCATCTGCGAAAAACCTTAATTCGTCTTCTGTAAACATGTGTAACGCCATTGGGGCACAGCCCGTCCCTGGTATTGCCTAGCATGCCCCAGTCTTAAGAAGGCTTTGCAAAAGGTGGGCTGCATACAGCCAGTTTGTATTGTTAGATGTTGAAATTCCCCTTCCTTTTATTGTACGGAATTCTCTTTTGATAACAGGAGCAGATTCGAATCTGTTGCATAGTGCAATCAATGTAATGAGATGGTCTTGTCTAGGTGTCATGTTTTTTAGGCCTGCCACGCCAAGGTCTCAGTGATGGTACATTGCCACACATTTGGGCAACTTGGGATGTCGATTCTCTCTCTCTCTCTCTCTCTCCCTCTCTCTCTCCCTCTCATCTCTCTCTTCTCTTTCTCTCTCATCTCTCTCACTTCTCTCTCAGGCACGCACACACACACGCATCCCTCTATCATACCCACAATTCGCATTTTGTCTGTTCATTTAGATACTGTCTCAGAGGCATTTTTAAGCATTTGCTCAATTGCATTTGTGATTGTGAGTTCCCTTATAGGCGCACACACTTTGACTTGTGCGTATGTTTGCATGGGCATCACATGGTGTACTGAGTATGGTTAGGAAGAAGCAGCACAAGCCCTTTCATCCTACTGCATCAGCAGGTGCTCCAAGGTAGTGTGAGACACAATCAACCTGCTGTAGAACAACACTGTTGGTTTCACCATACGGCTGGAGACTTGCTGTCACAGGGTCTTACAAAGGGATGGTTTAACAGGCATTGTCTGACACATGGATGGTCTTACATAAGGACCCTATTATGCAGGCCATGAAGTTATGGTGAGTGAGTGAGTATGGTTTTACGCCGCTTTTAGCAATATTCCAGCAATTTCACAGCGGGGGGACACCAGAGTGAGTATGGTTTTACACCGCTTTTAGCACTATTCCAGCAATATCACGGGGGGGACAACAGAAATAGGCTTCACACATTGTACCCATGTCGGGAATCGAACCTGGAGCTTTGGCATGACGAGTGAACGCTTTAACCACTAGGCTACCCGACCACCCCATGAAGTGATGGTCTTATAAAGGGATGGTCTAATGCAGGGGTTCTCTAACAGGGATGATCCTACATAGGGATGGTCTAATGCAGGGGAGCTCAAACAGGGATGGTCTTTCATGGGGATGGTCTAATGCAGGGGTTCTCTAACAGGGATGGTCTCACATAGGGATGGTCTAATGCAGGGGTTCTCTAACAGGGATGGTCTCACATAGGGATGGTCTAATGCAGGGGTTCTCTAACAGGGATGGTCTTTCATAGGGATGGTCTAATGCAGGGGTTCTCTAACAGGGATGGTCTCACATAGGGATGGTCTAATGCAGGGGTTCTCTAACAGGGATGGTCTCACATAGGGATGGTCTAATGCAGGGGTTCTTTAACAGGGATGGTCTTTCATAGGGATGGTCTAATGCAGGGGTTCTCTAACAGGGATGGTCTAATGCAGGGGTTCTCCAACAGGGATGGTCTTTCATAGGGATGGTCTAATGCAGGGGTTCTCTAACAGGGATGGTCTTTCATAGGGATGGCCTTAGGAGTTAATGGCCTAGCTAACACATGGATAAAACACACCGCACAGTGCAAGACAAATGTTTCTTACAAATGTCAAACTGACTTAAAAAATTAAGTCCTTGACAGAGCTGGTCAAAATCAAAATGCTTCTTCGACAAATAGGGGCCCACCACCTTGCAAAAAACTACTAGCACCAGTAGGGAAAGAAGTGACAGCGTTAGAAATTGGCACTAGTCCTGTAGTCCTTGCCAAACTGCCCAATAGTTAAGGTATCATAAGGACTAGTAGAAATTTGCCATTTTTAAGGGGTTTGCTATATGTTATCATTACAAGGACTAGTGGACTAAAACTGTTAGTTTCTACCGCTGAGTGAAGTTCTACATCACTGATTCCAGCACTATTGGTAACAATCTAAACTTAAAATAAGAAGCCAATCTTACTGCATGGACAGCTAGGATGAAGTAGACCTCTTCACAAACATACCATTGCAAGAAGTCCCACAGAGCAAGTTTACAGACCCACATTGACCACACACTCTCTCCATCAACAGCATCATACAGTCAACAGCCTCCTGCTTGAACACTTGCTTCATCACGTGCAGTGGCGAGATCCATCAGTAGATTCATGCCTCCCAATGTGTTTCCCTTATCCCACCTCATCACAGAAATTGTTATGACCAACTTTGAAGCAGCTGCCCTTAAACCTTTATGCTGGTACAGAAAACTAGATGACACATTCATCATCCTTGACAAAGGCCAGGACCCTGAAACCCAACTGGATCACCTCAACAATCTACACAAAAGAATCAAGTTCAACATGGAGACAGAAAACAACCACATATTACCATTCCTCAATGTTCACCTTGACAAAATACATGACAATGTCCACACTGCCGTTTACCTCAAGCCCATCCAACATGAACCTGTACAGTCACTATGACCAACATCCACCCACAGGGAAACAAGCCATACTTGCCACCCTCACCCAAAGAACCATAGCCATCTGCAAACTTGACAGTTTCCTCAAATGAGATACACAAAGCATAGTTCAGAAAGTCACTCAGAAATATTGTTGTTTCAAACTGATTGGCCATGTTTCATGCCTTGTCTTCCACTGTTTTTATTGCTTGTGACACTGCCCTCGTGACATCATAGCAGTCCATTGCAGCAAATAATCAAAGATGATATCACAGATTATATTTTGCAATGTTGTTTCAACAATAGCTTGTCTTTGCTGATGTTCTTGCACGTGTTCGAGAAAAACATACGTTTCTACATTTTCCAATAGAAATGATTGTGGCTAACATCTGTAATAAGCTGCTCGCAACTCAAAATTACACATGATCTTACCTTTGTGAATCAATGTTATTAGTTCATCAACATGGTATAGATTTACAACACTGGAGACAGACAAGATGCAGCTTGCTTTGTAAGCTGGTAGTTGCTCATACCTGCATTCTCTGAACTTCTTCATGGACGTATGGTTGTCCTTTAACCTTCTCTTGAAGAACCATCTTTCTACCTCTCGTATGCTTAATTCTGTCTTCTTTGATAAAATCTGGAACAGTGATGCACACACGAACATTAACTGACACCACAGTTGCAATGGCTATGTCTTAATCATGCATATATATATTCTTCACATGACACAAATTAAACAAAATGAAGTAGAATGTGTTTTTACTCATTAAAACACATGCCCCCCCCCCCCCCCCCTTGGTAAGGGGGGGGGGGAGGGGGGGAGGAGGACTTAGGAGAGAGATAAAAAAACACACAATAGGGCTCCCCTCCCTTTGGGGGAAGGGGATATAATTGAGAGCACTATCTTTTTTCAGAGGAAAGTGCCCTGGGGACCACTTCCTCATTTCAGATGCATTATGTTATATATTTTCATGAGGAAAAGCTGATATCAATCCATTAATATTTGCTTTCAGAGCCCAATTATTCACCTACTACTATTCAGTAGATAATGTGCCCAGTGTCCTCCCATTCCCTGCCAGGTTGCCAGGATAAAGCCACAGTCATCTACACAGGGTCTTCCGTCCTACATACTCACCCAGGCTAAGTGTGAAAACAAGCTTCAACAGTATACTGGCCATGTTATATCATGTTATCATGTTATAACACCCAGGGTGAGCACCTCAAAACCAGAGAATAATCTCTGCTAATGTTATTATTTTATACGAAATATGAAGTAATATTGTGCAATATGTAAATGTATCTCGAGGAATGTCTTGACGAACAAGGTACAAAGGGAATCATTTTCAGGTACCAATATGCATGTACAGGAATCACAAAGTTTCCATCTCTCTGTTTGTTCATTGAGTTTTACTGTCACATGAGGTGTCTGTGTGGACTACTTCACTTGATGTGTATTTACGACTATTCCATGTGCCAAGTGTGTTGACCTCCTCCTGAACCTCCAACCAGCGGTGTCAGAAAGCAGGGTGGGGGCACATGGGCCACACGGGGTTAGCCTGCAGCAGCAGCCCATCACCAGGCATCCTACTTCTGTGTTATCAGGTCCCAGTGTTATCAGGGACAGGGTCACGCCATGTAGTTCAAGCATGTGTGGCTAGGTGGCCAGTATCACCAAATGCTCCTGTGCAACTATCCACGCTATCCACGTCCAGCGCTTTGATAACAGCTCATGTTCGCAGCAAGGCAGTGGATGTGACCTACCACTCAGCTCTTATGTCAAATCATGACCAGGACACAGTACACAGGCGGCACATAAGATTTATCTTGGAACAGGGCATGTGTCAAATGTTTTAACATTGGTCATGGTCTATCAATTCAAATTTGATGTGTATCAAATGTTTGACAGTTGGTGATTCAGTACAGATGTTTAATTATCCAGAATGATATGTTCATTGCATGACAGTGTTCTGTTCAGTTTGTCATTACTTGTCTTCCTTACAAACTATCCCCCCAAATATTCCTGATCTCTAACTTTTTTCGTTCAGTATATATGAATCAACTTCTGTATAATAGAATCTTCGTTTTACAAGCTGTTAGATATTCAATGATATTCCAGTCTCCCTCATATAAGAACATTGTTACAGTGTTACAAGGTGTGTGAGCTGACTCAGGCTTCACATGGTGTGGAGCATGCAGCAAGTCTTGTGACAGCCATTATACCTAGAGGGGTAATCTTGACGCACACACCAAGGCTGTTTTCAGTAACTGAGCTGCCGAACAAATTATCCTCTCAGCTATGAATAGCAGAAGGAAGCTGAGGGTTCTTGTAAAGTTTAAAAGCGGGGGATATGATAGTACCCTAACACAAGCAGTTAGTGTAATCAGGAGTGTGTCATCTGTCAAGACAGACACAACTACGTCTACGACTACGAGGGAAGACATTTGGACTGGCTCTGCACCTGTCATAAAAAACGTCACGGTGAATGGTTTAGTAAACATCCATGGCTATGCCTGTCAAAGTAAATTAAGGTTAAACTATGCTTAAGTGACCATACTTTCTTAACAAGAAAAGTAATGGTCCCCTAACTAAAGTCATAACTGAATCTTACAGTGCAGGACACTGCACCATTTCATTACTTTCTAGGACCCTCATATGTCCTGTATGGATTCTTGAAATTTATTACTGGGTGTCCCCTGGACCCCCACATTTTAAAGTCAAGGTAAAACCCCAGCATATACTTGACCTAGGCCTCACTGTATACAGCATACAATACACCAAGGCCTACATACATGTACACATGTCCCGTTGCCCTGTGTTTAACCCAGTGGGAATCTGGGCTAGACATGCAGGAAGTGAAGCTAATTGCTATGCCTCTCATTACCATGATTAGTGCCTGACTACATATGTCCTGGAGGTGGAGGCGACAAAACTGCTGTCAGTACTGCCATAGCAACACATCGTTCATAAACACTGTCACTTGTAGCGTACATCAACTGATACAGGAACATCAGTGACTGACACAGCCATAAACTCCCCCTCTAGTATGTGTAGTTGTAGCCTACATCAACTGATACAGGACCATCAGTGACTGACACAGCCATAAACTCCCCCCCTCTAGATTGTGTAGTTGTAGCCTACATCAACTGATACAGGAACATCAGTGACTGACACAGCCATAAACTCCCCCCTCTAGATTGTGTAGTTGTAGCCTACATCAACTGATACAGGAACATCAGTGACCTGACACAGCCATAAACTCCCCCCTCTAGTATGTGTAGTTGTAGCCTACATCAACTGATACAGGACCATCAGTGACTGACACAGCCATAAACTCCCCCCTCTAGATTGTGTAGTTGTAGCCTACATCAACTGATACAGGAACATCAGTGACTGACACAGCCATAAACTCCCCCTCTAGTATGTGTAGTTGTAGCCTACATCAACTGATACAGGAACATCAGTGACTGACACAGCCATAAACTCCCCCCCTCTAGATTGTGTAGTTGTAGCCTACATCAACTGATACAGGAACATCAGTGACTGACACAGCCATAAACTCCCCCCTCTAGTATGTGTAGTTGTAGCCTACATCAACTGATACAGGAACATCAGTGACTGACACAGCCATAAACTCCCCCTCTAGTATGTGTAGTTGTAGCCTACATCAACTGATACAGGAACATCAGTGACTGACACAGCCATAAACTCCCCCCCTCTAGATTGTGTAGTTGTAGCCTACATCAACTGATACAGGAACATCAGTGACTGACACAGCCATAAACTCCCCCCTCTAGTATGTGTAGTTGTAGCCTACATCAACTGATACAGGAACATCAGTGACTGACACAGCCATAAACTCCCCCCCTCTAGATTGTGTAGTTGTAGCCTACATCAACTGATACAGGAACATCAGTGACTGACACAGCCATAAACTCCCCCCTCTAGTATGTGTAGTTGTAGCCTACATCAACTGATACAGGAACATCAGTGACTGACACAGCCATAAACTCCCCCCCTCTAGATTGTGTAGTTGTAGCCTACATCAACTGATACAGGAACATCAGTGACTGACACAGCCATAAACTCCCCCCTCTAGTATGTGTAGTTGTAGCCTACATCAACTGATACAGGAACATCAGTGACTGACACAGCCATAAACTCCCCCCTCTAGATTGTGTAGTTGTAGCCTACATCAACTGATACAGGAACATCAGTGACTGACACAGCCATAAACTCCCCCCTCTAGTATGTGTAGTTGTAGACTACATCAACTGATACAGGAACATCAGTGACTGACACAGCCATAAACTCCCCACCTCTAGTATGTGTAGTTGTAGACTACATCAACTGATACAGGAACATCAGTGACTGACACAGCCATAAACTCCCCCCTCTAGTATGTGTAGTTGTAGCGTACATCAACTGATACAGGAACATCAGTGACTGACACAGCCATAAACTCCCCCTCTAGTATGTGTACTAGAAAGAACTTGAAATCAATAATAAAAATAATGATAAAAATAACAACAACAACAACAATAATAATACAGTAAACTACGGTTGTAACGAACTCATAGGGACCATCCATTTTAGTTCGTAATATCCGTAGTTCGTTATAAGCATATATACAGCATATATGCAACACATGGCCGGGGCTAACAAGTAAGTTTGTTATATCGGTCAGTTCGTTATAAGCGTGTTCGTTATAATCGTAGTTTACTGTAATGATGATAATAATAATAAAAGAATTATAAAATCTTTCTATAATCATAAGAAATCTCTGCTGAAAGCAGAGTTCATTGTACAATTCCAACTACGGTATATCTTGTGTTGATTGATACAACAGGTTGTAAATGCAGTACAGAGAGAGTTGTAGGTCCACCCCCACGTAGTAGTGTCCGGAGCTCACCTGAAGGTCTCCCGGTGAAGCCTTTCCCTTGTGGCTACTGTATGCCTTCTCCAGGACTGGGTTGGGTTTGACATATCTTTTCCGATCCTTGACTCCCAGGAATTTGGCAAAAGGAACTATCACCAAACTGAAAGGACCAAAAAAACAGTGGTTAATTTGATGACAAGAACAGCTTTATACACTGTCTGGCTGTCTGTACAAGAATAGCTTCATACACTGTCTTGCTGTCTGTACAAGAATAACTTCATACACTGTCTTGCTGTCTGTACAAGAATAACTTCATACACTGTCTGGCTGTCTGTACAAGAATAGCTTCATACACTGTCTTGCTGTCTGTACAAGAATAACTTCATACACTGTCTGGCTGTCTGTACAAGAATAACTTCATACACTGTCTGGCTGTCTGTACAAGAACAGCTTCATACACTGTCTGGCTGTCTGTACAAGAACAGCTTCATACACTGTCTGGCTGTCTGTACAAGAACAGCTTCATACACTGTCTGGCTGTCTGTACAATAATAGCTTCATACACTGTCTGGCTGTCTGTACAAGAATAGCTTCATACACTGTCTGGCTGTCTGTACAAGAATAACTTCATACACTGTCTGGCTGTCTGTACAAGAATAGCTTCATACACTGTCTTGCTGTCTGTACAAGAATAGCTTCATACACTGTCTGGCTGTCTGTACAAGAACAGCTTCATACACTGTCTGGCTGTCTGTACAAGAATAGCTTCATACACTGTCTTGCTGTCTGTACAATAATAGCTTCATACACTGTCTGGCTGTCTGTACAAGAATAGCTTCATACACTGTCTTGCTGTCTGTACAAGAACAGCTTCATACACTGTCTTGCTGTCTGTACAAGAATAACTTCATACACTGTCTTGCTGTCTGTACAAGAATAGCTTCATACACTGTCTGGCTGTCTGTACAAGAACAGCTTCATACACTGTCTGGCTGTCTGTACAAGAATAACTTCATACACTGTCTTGCTGTCTGTACAAGAATAGCTTCATACACTGTCTGGCTGTCTGTACAATAACAGCTTCATACACTGTCTGGCTGTCTGTACAATAACAGCTTCATACACTGTCTGGCTGTCTGTACAAGAACAGCTTCATACACTGTCTGGCTGTCTGTACAAGAATAGCTTCATACACTGTCTGGCTGTCTGTACAATAATAGCTTCATACACTGTCTGGCTGTCTGTACAAGAACAGCTTCATACACTGTCTGGCTGTCTGTACAAGAATAGCTTCATACACTGTCTTGCTGTCTGTACAATAATAGCTTCATACACTGTCTGGCTGTCTGTACAAGAATAGCTTCATACACTGTCTTGCTGTCTGTACAAGAACAGCTTCATACACTGTCTTGCTGTCTGTACAAGAATAACTTCATACACTGTCTTGCTGTCTGTACAAGAATAGCTTCATACACTGTCTGGCTGTCTGTACAAGAACAGCTTCATACACTGTCTGGCTGTCTGTACAAGAATAACTTCATACACTGTCTTGCTGTCTGTACAAGAATAGCTTCATACACTGTCTGGCTGTCTGTACAATAACAGCTTCATACACTGTCTGGCTGTCTGTACAATAACAGCTTCATACACTGTCTGGCTGTCTGTACAAGAACAGCTTCATACACTGTCTGGCTGTCTGTACAAGAATAGCTTCATACACTGTCTGGCTGTCTGTACAATAATAGCTTCATACACTGTCTGGCTGTCTGTACAATAATAGCTTCATACACTGTCTGGCTGTCTGTACAATAATAGCTTCATACACTGTCTGGCTGTCTGTACAAGAACAGCTTCATACACTGTCTGGCTGTCTGTACAATAATAGCTTCATACACTGTCTGGCTGTCTGTACAAGAACAGCTTCATACACTGTCTGGCTGTCTGTACAAGAACAGCTTCATACACTGTCTGGCTGTCTGTACAAGAATAACTTCATACACTGTCTTGCTGTCTGTACAAGAATAGCTTCATACACTGTCTTGCTGTCTGTACAAGAATAGCTTCATACACTGTCTGGCTGTCTGTACAAGAATAACTTCATACACTGTCTTGCTGTCTGTACAAGAACAGCTTCATACACTGTCTGGCTGTCTGTACAAGAATAACTTCATACACTGTCTTGCTGTCTGTACAAGAATAGCTTCATACACTGTCTTGCTGTCTGTACAAGAATAGCTTTATACACTGTCTGGCTGTCTGTACAAGAACAGCTTCATACACTGTCTGGCTGTCTGTACAAGAATAACTTCATACACTGTCTGGCTGTCTGTACAAGAACAGCTTCATACACTGTCTGGCTGTCTGTACAAGAACAGCTTCATACACTGTCTGGCTGTCTGTACAAGAATAGCTTCATACACTGTCTGGCTGTCTGTACAAGAACAGCTTCATACACTGTCTTGCTGTCTGTACAAGAATAGCTTCATACACTGTCTGGCTGTCTGTACAAGAACAGCTTCATACACTGTCTGGCTGTCTGTACAAGAATAACTTCATACACTGTCTGGCTGTCTGTACAAGAACAGCTTCATACACTGTCTGGCTGTCTGTACAAGAATAACTTCATACACTGTCTGGCTGTCTGTACAATAATAGCTTCATACACTGTCTGGCTGTCTGTACAAGAACAGCTTCATACACTGTCTGGCTGTCTGTACAAGAACAGCTTCATACACTGTCTGGCTGTCTGTACAAGAATAACTTCATACACTGTCTGGCTGTCTGTACAAGAATAACTTCATACACTGTCTGGCTGTCTGTACAAGAACAGCTTCATACACTGTCTGGCTGTCTGTACAAGAACAGCTTCATACACTGTCTTGCTGTCTGTACAAGAACAGCTTCATACACTGTCTAGCTGTCTGTGCAAGAACAGCTTCATACACTGTCTTGCTGTCTGTACAAGAACAGCTTCATACACTGTCTAGCTGTCTGTGCAAGAACAGCTTCATACACTGTCTTGCTGTCTGTGCAAGAACAGCTTCATACACTGTCTTGCTGTCTGTACAAGAATAGCTTCATACACTGTCTGGCTGTCTGTACAATAATAGCTTCATACACTGTCTGGCTGTCTGTACAATAACAGCTTCATACACTGTCTGGCTGTCTGTACAATAATAGCTTCATACACTGTCTGGCTGTCTGTACAATAACAGCTTCATACACTGTCTGGCTGTCTGTACAAGAATAGCTTCATACACTGTCTGGCTGTCTGTACAATAATAGCTTCATACACTGTCTGGCTGTCTGTACAATAACAGCTTCATACACTGTCTGGCTGTCTGTACAATAATAACCTCACATAGTGTCTGTGGTTCTTACAACGTATCGCACATGTTTAATGCACTATTTTTTTGTGATGAACATCTAAGTTTGCAGTTGGCAGTATATATGGAAAAACAGAAAGAGTATTTTCAGATTTTATTTATATTTAAGTTTTAATTATGTTACATAGTCTGTTTAAAGTTTGGCCTTGAAGTGCTGAGTTTGCTAACATACACTTCCTTTTCACACTCACACAACAAGGATATTGTCACCCAGAGTGACCCAAGCTAAATTAGTTGTGGCTACATGCAAAAACAGCTTCCCCGCACTGGTTCCCAGGCCATACCACCTTCTGCCAGTCAACAGAATCACAGCGATAGGACCACAACAATATACAACAGTAGACTTGTAAATACAAGCATCACTATCACTTCACACACACCACTGCATTTTCAAGGTCATACCGACGCCATTGTTGACATCATTCTAATCTTATTGTGATGTATGGTTTGAATGACATCGCACATCATAGCTAAAGATTGTTTACGTCACTCAACAATTGTGGTTCTTGTTAGACAGTGGTTGTTCCTGATCAGTGCATTTTTGCTAAAGGTGAAAGGGGGGTTTCAAAAGGATTAAGAAATAATGGATAATGAAGAAATTTTTACACTTACATGTTTGAGTAATAATCTCTATATAGTCATTCATTAACATGTCCTATACCAAGCTTCATTCACCAACAGTAAACAATTTTTTAACTTAAGTATCATTTGAACAAAAGTATCGGTAGGTTATGACCATGTCCATATCAGCATGATCAGTAACAGATAGGTCAATTTCATAAGACTATGGGTACTAATTAAGAATTGACCTTCACTTTGTGTGAGTTCATTGGAGTATGAACCTTCTTAGAGTGAGGGCCTTATTGAAAGGTGATTGTAAAGATGTGTCACATAGATACTAAGGTACTTTAATTTATTGCTGTAGACTGTCACTGTAGTCTAGACACGGATCGAGTTGACACTACGGTAGTTTGGATGTGCTTTTCTTTGCTTTGTTCTCTAGGATGGGTTGTACAAGGATATCCTTGAACGGACATGCAATCAAACTCTGTGACCTATCCCAATGTACTCTAAAACGCTGAGTTCAAGATTACAGGGCCTAAATGATCAGAAACGATGCTTCTGTATGTTTTCGTGCTAGGGAATTCCGATGGGTTTCCCCAGGTATGTGGAAGAGGTCCGTCAGTGATTACGTTATTTCAAGTACATAATCTCGTGAAAACTTGTGAAAGTCAAATTGTGTCCTTCATACACTTATAAACGTCAATTTTGCAGCCATGTGACCGACCACACGTCCAATGGAAAAGCTGTATATTGAGTAAACTTCAAATTACAAAAATATGCCCACCATGTTAGCTTGGATCATTCATACAAAGATTCAGCTCCTGTCCATTTGCCAATGGTGAAGTTAAAGACAGACAGACAACTGAACAACGCACCATGACATAAGCTCACTTGTCGTAAGAGGCGACTAACGTGATCAAGGGGTCAGTCTCGCTGACTTGGTTGATGCATGTCACTGTATCCCAATTGCATGGATCAATACTCATGATGTCAGTCACTGGATTATCTGGTCCAGACTTGTTTATTTACAGAAAGCTGTCACATAGCTGGAATACTGCTGAGTGCGGCGTTAAACAAATAAAAGTAAAAGCTCCTCAATTGTAGATTCAGTCTTGGTGCAAATAATTGCATTTTATTAATATGAACCCCTGTTATCAGAGATAAGTATGCAACTGATGAGAACCTAAACTAATGTATATGTATTGGGAAT